GAATGCTATAAGGTTCCACGCGTGACGCAGGTTTGGCTGGTGGGATTCCCCCAGTGATGTCAATATGCTTTGAATACAATAGACGAGGCTGTTAGCTGTGCACGATGCTAAATGTCTTTGACTGCGTCGTTTGGGGTTGCCCAGCAAAATAAGCATAAAATAATCGTTATCTGTGAATTTTACTGATAATGCAGCAGAAAAGGGTGTTGAATACACACCCACATTGACTGTGCACTAGATGGGCTATCACATAACCTGAATGGCAGGCTGCAGTCAGTCTCTACTGAAAGGGGAATTCCATTTTTCACGATTTTTCAAAATTTCTGAATGATTCAGACCTTGAGATGTAAACATTCTGGAGGCATTCTGGTGTGAAATGGTTGATTGGAGAGGCTCAGATTTCTTTACAGTGATGGTAATAGGAAACTAGGAGTCACCATGACTACCTCACAAATATAGACATTTTATTTACTATCCAAAACCATCAGTGAACCTACACAAGTTTTATATGGAATGCTGATGATGGTGAAATAGTCATAAATATGAAAAATGGGATTTTCTTTGGGGTATATTGGGCCTCACAACACCCTGCATGTACCCATCCGCCATAAAACAGTGTCTCAGACATCAGGCAGTGAATTTATAACCATTTCATGTAATAACTTTCCGTGAGGGGTCTTTTAGAGATGGACGTTTGGTTCCTATCACCATCACTGTGAACAATTCTGACTCAGTAAGTTCCTCTAGAACGGAGCATTTCACATCAAACCACTCTGAATGATTCTGTTTACATCTCAACCACTTAATTACGTAGAATTTTTGAAAAATTATTGGAGTTCCACTTTAATGCTGATTCATGTTGAATGGCTGTGTTCATCTAAAGCAATAGCAAATCTACAGTTTGTCAGAACTGTTGTTTAATGATAATTAGTGTTTAAACATGTTTAATTTTCAGAGATATGAGGCGACGTAGTGAATGTTAGCCATAAAAACACAACCTAATATTAAAAAGTATTCTAAGTGAACAAATAACACAACATTTATTTCATTTGTTAATTAAAGAACATTGTGTTATCCCTGGTAGTATACTCTGAGAAAATTTAACTGACTTCGAAGTAAACTCTGTGCAAAAGTCAGAGACACCCCCCCCCTTCATTTATTTATTTTCCAGTCAAAATGGCCATTAAGTACATGCAAAATCAGGAAAAAGTGTTCAGTCTATCACTCTTCACCTTTATTACAGCTTCCATTCTTTTCAGGAGACTCACTTTCGGTTTCTCACAGAAATCTGCAGACACATCTCCTTTTCTCAGTGAGGCTTCTTGACAGCTACACATCCTTTCAGAGCCATAGCGCTGAGTTGTCTTCTCACAGTGGAAGGATGGACAGAAACACCTGTGGATGTTTTCAGATCTGAAGCAGCTTGATTTTCTCCTCTCTCTCAAAAGATGAAGGCTTTGAGTGCTGTTTATCTGATGGGGGCAGTTTTGGTGTCTACCAGGTCTTCAAGGTGGTTGTTAGGAGGCATGTTTTCTCTGTAGCTTTTTTGAACACCTGTTTAGGTAACTCTTGTTTTTTCACTTTGTCTTTCTCGTTCATTGTGCAAGTGGATTATCTTATATCTAATCATCTCAGAAATATCTCCTGAAAAATGAATAATTAGTACTTATTGGCTTTTGCACAGTACTGTACATGCTTTTAGGCCTGTTGATGAATGAAGCTTTTCTAGAGACACGAGTTGATTTTATGACTTTCAATTACATTTACTGCAAAAAAATAGTCATAATAATTATAAGTAGACACATCACCACCTTCTACAGCCAGCTTTCAAATATACACCACGTGTTTTTGAAGCGCTTAGTAGTTATAAACCTGTAATGTGTCTCATTCTGATGGAGATGCTGTAATGTTAAGCCCGTAACACATGACTGTACTTGCATTAAAGGGCCCATATCCTACATTTTTCTTGTGTTTCATTATTTTCAATTGTGTTTTTCATTATTTTCAAACATCCTTTTATGACATTTGCATGATTTATGTACCAAAATCAGTCATAATTCATTTCTACATGACCATTTCCCACCCTCTCTTCATTCCTTAAAGTTAGACAGCATGTTTTTGTGACTGTTCCTTCAAGACAAATATATGTAAATGAGCTCTGTTTAAATCCTCTGAACTCACCTGCATGTCAAACTCAATGTTTCTATATATGTTGTTCTATCTTTGCAATAATACAGCATAGAAATACGGTTCAGACATTTCCTGAATCTGTAGAGTCGTCCCTTTCCATTCTATCTTATTACAAATGTTTGTATAATTCTCTAATATACTGTATATTATATTGTATTATATTATATTATATTATATTATGTTAAATTATGCATCTCCTTAGGCCAGCATTTGTATAGACATTCACATCTGCATATGTACAGATATTCCACATCCCTTTAGCTCTGTTCTCATTGGCTCTTTATTATTCTCTCTTATTCACTCATTCATCCTATTTATTGTTTTCTTATTTTGTTAGTCTCTTAATTAAACACTTGTTAACAATCTGTGTGCTTGTCTGGTCTGTCATCCATGTGTGACCCACCAAGACTAACTTCTTGTATGTGTAACATACTGGGCGAAATAAAGTGACTCTGATTCTGACATATTACATCTTTTACTAAAAAAGAGAAGATAATCTGTATTATATGGGCCCTTTAAAGTACTATATCCTATACTCAGTTTAATCAAATACAGCTGCCTTTTCTGGTCTGAAATTCTCCTCTGCGATTCTTGATTAACAGATGAAAATTGTTATATGTTATAGTGTTGTACTTTTTACATTGTTTACATAAGTTGAGTGGCAGTTTAAAATGCCCTAATTTATTTGAATCAAATAATCATATTTTGGCTATGTTTTTGCTATGACTCAAACTGGAAGAGACAGAATCAGAGGAAACTGAATGCTTGGTCAATGACATGGCTAACTTTCGTTTAAACTAGGGCACTATGGCTTCACCACAACAGATCCATATTGTTTGAAGGAGGATGATTCAGCTTCAATGGGTGGGGCTGAATGTTGTCACAAATACAAGAAGCAAGAAGGGCCTGTGTTCGATTCCCCAGCCGGGTGACCAGACTCCTGTCTGTGTTGTGTTTGTACGTTTTTTCTGTGTCTTTGTGGTGCCCTGGCATTTACACACATCTGCCTATTCAGCCTATAACTCCTATGCCCCATTCACTCACAGTTATGAGGACTTTAGAATGAAGGCCAACACAGGGCAACCAATCAGAACAGAGCTCATTTACATATATCAGTTTTAAAGACACAGTAACAAACCAGACTATTTAATTTCAAGCGATATAAAAGAGGTTAGAAAGTAGTCATGTAATGGAAAGTTACCAATTTTTGGTATATACGCGCACTGAAATGTCATACGTGGACCTGGAAGAAAAATAAGACATAAAAACAGTAGAATATGGGCCCTTTAAAATAAATTGGGAAAAGCCACACATTCTTACTGGTGAGAAATGCCATTTACAGCATACTGTAATAATGGACAGAATGCCTTGGGAGACAGTTTGGTTATTGCTGCACAAATATATAATATAATAATAAAATCAAGGTAGGAAATAAGATAAGGTTCAATTCTGAGGTTTAAACTCTGTGTGGAGTTTGCATGTTCTCCCCGCCTCTGTGTGGGTTTCCTCCCGGTGCTCGGATTTCCTCCCACAGTCCAAAGACATGCAGTCAGGCTAACTGGAGGTACTAAATTGCCTCTAGATGTGAACGTGTGTCCCTGTGATGGACTGGCGACCTGTCCAGGGTGTTTCCCGCCTTCCGCCCAATGAGCCCTGGGGTAGGCTCCAGCTCAACCCAGGAGAATAAAGCAGTTTAGATGATGATGATGATGATGAATGAATGAACGTTTTTGCAGTTTAGTCTTCATATATGAACTGGGGAGTGGATGGTACATTTTAAAACTTCAACAAAGTTTTGGTTTTCCATGATGTGGGCCCTTTAATTGTCAATAGGCATTTTGTAGTTCATTCTGAAAATCTAAAATGTCACCCCTTATATTACTTTGCACTGTTCAGCCACCAGAAAGTGCTGTGTAACTGGCATCACCATCACTATTATAATAGTATGGCACAACATGACATGGTAGACACAGACCAGCTTGAAATGTATGATGGGTCATGTTGTCAGTCTATTTAGGATTTTGTTTTCAGCAAAGTAAATGAATGAAGTGAATCCATTTTTTTAAATTATGTTTAAAACTGGTAGTAGTATTATAGCAATGACCTGAAGCAAAATTTAGATTGGGATATTTATATTATTAGGGTCACTGCTTCTCTTTAACATTAATGGACATTGAACTATTCATGCTGAATTGTTCTTGTAATAGTAAATTCATTCTGTTCTTGCATGTAAGATTTCAACACCATATTTTACATAGGCAAGTGAGAAAACAATATGGATGTGTAATACTTAATAATTTCAGTTTCAGTATCTCAGAATTTAAATTTTATTAATCAAATTTGAATTCTTAAGCCTATTATTGAGAAAGTCTATGTATAATACATATATAATAAACTTTTATTTTGTGACATGAATGTTCTGTTTGGTTACTTTAAATATGATAAAGCATAGAAGAGCAGATATATATGATAAACTTAATATTCTAGCTAGGTTTTTTATATACATACATGTAAGTCCTTTAAAAAACACGGTTCTTTTACGTTTTTTCTAAATGAAACTGAAGAATACATTAAAACCATAAAGCTTTGTGACAGTAAAAAAGCCAAAAACTGTCAACGGATGTGTGAAATGTAATACTTTCATGTGATGTGTCCTTTTTTTCCTTTTTTCAATAATTATCTATCACTACTTTTTCTAAATATTTTGTCCAGTCGTGTCTATAAATAGTTATTCCTAATAAAAAAACAAAACAGCTCGGTTCTGGACGCAGCTTTAGCCACGCTGCAGCTCAGAGCGGAAGCTAAACCACAGTCTGCAGCTGCCCTCGGAAGTGAACAGTAAAAAGAGAAACAACAAGGACAGACTCTGCCTAGCGAGCTATAATGTCCGTTTAAAACATCTACAGAGGAACAGCTCCCGACATATTTGCTTCGCTGCTGTTTCAGAGCTGTGCTAAAACGTAAGTTTGTTCATTTTCCCCTCAAATACGCCTCGAAGACTCGCGAGCACTCTCTGCACCAAGACTAGCCTGCTCGCTAGGCTAGCTGATAACCGAAAACCGAGCCCTCCAAACAATGTTTTTCAAATAAGTGAGCGTTTTTCTTTCATATTTTGACCCTGAATGCATTACATGTAACCATATATTCACGACCAGACGGATTTCAGCCTTGCAAGCTGTCAGCAAGAAGCGAAACAGCAACGAGAAGCGAGCTAAGAAATCAGTGAGCAGTGGATGCTTACGAGGCTGAAGTTGGCTTCCTGTTCTCCAGCTTCTTGTTCGATTTTTCCCGTTCCACCTTAAATGGTGCAGCAGTTACATTCTAGCTCCAGAATGTAACTGCTGCATCATTTAAGGTGGAACGGGAAAATTCTAGCAAGAAGCTGGGAAATAAGAAGCCGACAAGCTTCCCTGGGCGCTTAGCTTTGGCTCAGCGCGGTTCTAGATTTATTTTTAAAGATAAAGAAACTGTAAACATCTCGGTTTGAAATGTAAGGAGGACATTTCATCTGTCTTTTAAAACGTTGTTTTTTGGCCATCTCTGTTGTTCTGTAATTTTGTCGTGTCCACTTTAAACAGAACAGACAAAGCTACGAGAAGGAGCAACTTCTTGAACTATGAAGAGGAATTCATGCCAGATTAAAAAGCAGCCACTACAGTGGAAAAACGTGAAATGCAATGCACACGACATTCTTTCTGTAGTGACCTGCAGAATAGGTGCCACATTGAAAAACAAAACCTCTTATGTTGTTTTCACCTTGCTCGACCTCTTTACTGAAAAACAGTGCATGAAGATTTCAATTTAAAAATTAAATTGCTGAAATGCTGAATTAGTGTCAGAATTGAATACAATCCACCGTGCACTACTTTAAACACATTTTCCTTATTGAAATGCAACCCTAACAGTAAAAACAGTGAAATACTATGCACGTGTCATCACTTTTCTACAGATGAGGTGCAGAATTCCTCTCTATATTGAAATGCAGTGCACACACAAGATTGCATTTGAACAGTAACACTTAACGTTGTTTTAAGTACTGCATGGTGGAAAGCAATATAGTCATGCCTTTATTACATTTCAAGGCGGATGGTATTCAATTCTGACGAGAATTCAGCATTTCATTTTAAAATTCACCTCCTCATGCGTTGTTTATCATTTAGAAGTCCAGCAAGGTGAAAACAGTAATGTGGGTTTTCTTCTTCATTTTCGTGTGTTCTGCATGTCACTATGGAAAGGTAATGTTGTGTGCATTGCATTTCACGTTTTTGCACTGTGGTGATTGCTTTTCAGTCTGGCACAAATTCCTCTCCATATTAAATATGATTTTTATAGAAAATCTTAATACATGTGAATAGAGATGTTCAATATGACAATATTTTGTTGTGATCATGAGAAATTGTTGCAATATGTTCGTCTGAGCATATCGTGAATATCATCAGTACTTAAAAAACGCTGACTACATGCTTCATTGCATAATGTGAGCATAATTAGGCCTGTTTAACTGGATTTAGTGCAGTCTTCAAAACACTGAATAAATCATTGTAGTTGTAGGATTATTATTATTATCATTATTATTATTATTATTATTATTGTAGTATTTTTACACGGAACTACAGGCACTGTTTTGTCTGTTCCAACTTATTAAATCCTAGAAAAGCGAAATATCAGGATGCATATCATGTATCACGGAAATGTCTTGAACAATTGTGATGTAATATTTTTGCCATATCGCCCACCCTAACATGTGAACCAAATTGTGATGTAACGCAGGCAAAAATGGGTTGTCAAATGTATTACAGAGGCCATTCTGGCCTAAATGAAAATGGACCAATTGCTACATCTGTTGTGAAGATGTCTGCTGTCTCTTACAGTCTTGCCACAGTATTTTCAATTTTGCAGTTTTTCCGTTTAAAGACTAAAAAAAGGTTCAGATAATGTATCTTGAAGTTGGGAGGATGTTTTAAAAAATGATGAGTGCTTTAGGGTGGATAATTAAGTGTAGTCAGTTTTATTTACGTTAGTGTGTTTTTTATGGCGTTTAGGATTCCCAGTAGTTGTATGACATATTTGCACAATGCATGCTGGATATTGTAGTGATTGGCATAAATTAAACTAAATTAATTTAAATAGTGTGACAAATTAGAGATACAATGCTAGTTTTAGGCTGGAGTGGCTGACTATACTGACAGTTTTTTTTTCTTGTTCACAGGTTCCACGGCAAGAGTTTTAAAACATTTCTAGTAAAAGTGTGGTGCACCTGCCTGTCCTCATGCAGTGATGGTCAGGGTTAATAACCGTCCATGGCATCATGCTTATGTCTCACTTGTGCATATGAAGAAGTGGTTGGCACCAAATGTGCTGCTGCACTAACCTGAGCCTGACTCATTTGTTCTCTTGAAGATCAGTGGAGCCCGTTACAAGTGATGACGGGTCCCTGAGCCTTCTCAGTTTAGGCAGACTTCGGGTTTTCGAGAAGGACGGACGTCATGGCTGGACAGTGGGATCCAGTGGACATAAGCGCTGGGATTTCTGTGGGTGATGTCCCAATGAATGACCAAATATGTGAAGAGACTTGCTATGGATCCCTTTCCTCCCATTCTGTCCTTAGTCAGTCACAGACAAAGGAAAGCGGTGATCCAGCATCCGAGGAGGTGCTGGACAGTCTACAGCAAGAAGACTCTGGTTACATGGAAGCGGTGGAGGATAAGGAGAAAGCGGAAGAAAGTGGATATACAAGAACAAATGGCAGGATGGATCAGCTGGAAGAAGACGAGAATAGTGTGTTTAATGAAATTGATGATGAGAAAGGATGCAGAAATGGAGCAAAGTTCAACAGCGAGTCTGGCTCTCGGAATTCTGCATCAGCGAAGAAAGGAAAGTCCAGAAAAAGTGGATCAGGCTCAGGGCCAGCTGAGCAGTGTTCGTCATGGACATCCCCATCATCCCTTTCCTATAAATCCTGTCTGTCCTCCTCTGGATCGAGCAGGCACAAGCAGGTCCGTCGACGGAACCACCACCATCACAACCAGGGCCGCTTGAGAAGGCAGACCGGCGCCCAGTTGATGGCAGCGTTCCGGGATTTCTTAGCGGAGTCAGTCAGCCCGTGGACTATTTCCTGTATCCACATGGTAGTGGACCTCATTGTGTCTTTGACCCACCGCTGTGGGATCGCTGTAGAATCAGGAGCAGTTGCACTTTACGACTTTGGCTCGCTTGTGTTCTTCAAGGTCACGGATATCGCCGGAATGAAGCAGGATCTAAGACGAATAGCGGACTGGACCTGGTGCATGGGTGCGGCTCTTGTGGTTTGGGTTAGTAAGGCCACAAGCATGGCCCGACGAGGCATTGTGTCCAGTTTTGGTCTCCTGAGTGTAGCAGTGTGCTTGGGCGCCCGATTGATCAAGAGTGTCTTGGAAAGGCTGGGTGGAGAAAGAGGAAGGCGATGGTGGCTTGCTCTTCAGAACTGCTGGGTGTGGAAGAAAGGGGCCATGATTATTGGAAGGGTTGGAGGATGGTTCTGTAAGCGCAGCTCCTCAGACGAAACATCAAATCCAGAATCTCCCTACAGAGATAAGTGTCAGCCTGGACAAGAGCTTGAGAGACTGCTGGCACTGGCGCAGGTAGTTAACCTCACGTTTTTACCCAATTGTAGGGAGATATATCGAATGTACCAGTATACGTTGATATTGATATTCCTTTTCAATTGTAATGACTTTTTACCAATATTTTTTTAGATGTTTAGCTTTATAACTATAATATAATGCATATAATATATACTGTATTATATGTACGTAATATAATGATATATCATAATATATGAGTGTCCTTGTTCTAAGCGTTTGTTTTTTACTTTGTTTTGTTTTCAGGCTTTTTTTTTTATTATTGTATTTTGAAGCGGTAGGACCAGACAGTTAACTGCAGTGTCGTTTATTGGGTGTCTAAGACTGTTTTGAAAGGACAAAATCCATAAAAGTAAAGAAATAGTTTATGTTCTGGAAACTCCTTTCCCTTCTGTTTCCTGTCTGGTTAACGTTTACAATACTGTATAAAATTCCCTTTGCTATTGTTGAGAGAAGAAAACAAAACAATCTGCATTGTTTCATTACCTTTATTAGTTCCATCTTAAATATTATACTAATATGGTGAAAATGTTATATCCCACTTTTCTTGATACTTGATAATACATCATGATATTGGTAAGTTTGATAAGTTAGAATGAACAAAAAGCAGCATTAGTGCTACATTTAAAAAATTCTATTAGAAAGTGTAAGTAGAATGATTTTTATTGAACATTTCACACACTGCACTGCAGTTAATCAGGAATAACTATGATACTCTCTTTGTAATGAAACGCTCAGTTGTTTCCTTGATCCTCAAAGGGCCCATGTCCTGAAGTCCAGTTATAACATTTGTGTGGGTTTATGTATCACAAAGTCCTAATTAATTTCTGTATGACAGTTGTCTAACTTCTCTTTATCCCTTGGAATTAAACAGACTGTTCTGTTAACGGTCTCTTTAAGACGGTTATATGTAAAGAAGCTTTGTTCTGATTGGCTGCCTCATTCAAAAAGCAGTCTGGATTAAAGCACTCATAACTTCAGTGTGAGTGGACAGAGCTGAACTGCAGTCAGTTGAATAGGTTTTGTAAATGCATTTGGTTTCTGTGACATCACAGAAATGGACTTCTTTTGCCGCTAAGTTTCCATATATGGACTGTAAGGACTGGGGAGTGAACGACACGTTTTGAAACTTGTAACAGTCTTTAAACACTACATCAAACTCCTTTATTTGAAGAAAGTGAGGAAAATTCAGTTTTTCATGATGTTGGCCCTTTGAGTGCTGACAACATCCACGATACGCTTAGAGAAGCTTAATGTGACGTAATTATGATGTATATATAGTGATATTGCCCATGACTGTCTGGATTGCACTACATAGACAAAATACTAGTATTGCTATTATATTGCTACATATTGTGATCATTAAAAACACATTGGTGTTACATGGTTAAAGATCGGCCATCATTAGTTTGACCAAAATAATTTACCTGTTTTGGAATACACAAATATGTTGTTTCATCACAGCACCCACAGAAACTCATCTGGAGCTGTGATTGGTCAGGATACTCAAAGCAAACAGTAAACAACATTGTGATTAGAGAGTTTTACATGTTGCAGGTCTCTGAGATTTCTAACAATAACTAACAAATAACATTTAGCCACAATCTGTGTGCATGTCTTCGTGTGAGGTATTAGAGCACGATTTTTCCCATCTGTAGCATGATAGTGTTATTTCAGGTTGCTGTTAACAAATTAGATGGTTAGTAGGTTGTGTTATTGTCTTGCGCCCTCACTGTTTATAACTTAAATGTGTTTCCTTGGGTCATTTTACTGTTTCAGCAGTGATTACTATTAGCATATGCTATTCGCAGTGTCGCTAATAGGTCTGTGATTAGAGGGAATGTTCTCTATATGTTCTCTGTATCTGTAAAAGATGAACAAGCCAACGGTTATTATTGGTAGGAAGTACTGAGACTTGTAGTGAGCGGTTATCTCATGTTCAAAGTGTCCTGGGGTTCTTTCTGACTGAAATTAATCATGATATTTTGTGCTCCGTCATGAAATGAAGACAGTGCACTTTTAACCTACACTGACAGTGGTATTTGCATTTGATTATCATGTTAGATATGGTTAAAAGGAAGGAAGGTATCTTATTTTCCTTTAGGAAATTAAAGGCTTCGTCTTTTACAGGTCCCTGAAGATGAGCTGGACCCGTTTAACGTCCTGGGTGTGAACACCCATGCCACAGAGTCTGAACTTAAGCGGGCCTATAGACAGCTGGCTGTACAGGTAAACTTCACCTTCATCTGCAAATGTACTACACTTTAAATATCCTTGGATTCTTGCTACCTTTTAAAATTAATAAGAAAGTATTTGGCACTCGAACAGTCAGTGATCACTCGAACTCAAAGTGAAAATGAAATGTGAGGCCTGTGTATTTTTGGCTTTTAGGTCCATCCAGACAAGAACAAGCACCCACGTGCTGGCGAGGCTTTCAAAGTCCTTAGAGCTGCATGGGACATCGTCAGTAACCCAGAGACAAGACGGGAGTATGAACTGTGAGTGCACGTCTAAAAATGAATGTTAGATTTGGGTTGGAGCTGTGAGGCTATTGTCCTTACGTGAAACTGTGTTGAGTTGTAATCTCATGTACACGTGCTTATTTGAGTTTTGACATCATAAGACTTTTTATCTATAAACATGGACTAAAGCACGTTGCGTAGCTTAAAACAGTAGTAACAGTCATCTTAGTGCCTGATTTTGACCATTCTTTGGTCCATTATTATAGAAATATTTATTTTTTTCAATTCTCATGAATCAAATGACAAAATATCAAGTCTCTTTGTTCCTGTTCACCCAATCAGGAAGCGAATGGCAGCAACAGAGCTATCCCGATCAATGAACGAGTTCCTGACAAAGCTGCAGGATGACCTGAAAGAAGCCATGAACACCATGATGTGCACCAAATGTGAAGGCAAGCACAAGTACGTATGCAAAGCCATATTGTCCCTTTATTAAATTGGGGTCATATCAACAGTGGACACTGCTTGCTAGTGTTTTGGGTGTACCTACCTTGGCCCTACATTAATTGGCTGTTTTATTAGGTCAGTAAGGTTCCATGAATGTGTTACGCATACCCCCAGTGGTAGGTTGAATGACGCTGGGGGTACATAAAAAAAAAAATCCTGATATTAATCTTTCATTCAGTTTAATTTAATCAGCTAGTTACACAGGTACTTTCCTGATACGAGAAACACAGACAAGGCAGACTTGAGCTCTTATAGTCAAGTCAAGTGAAAGTTAATTTATATAGTGCTTTTTACAAAAGGCATCGTCACAAAGCAGTTTTACAGGAAAATCTGGGTCCAAGCCCTCATGAGCATCGCCAATGGTGATGGTGGCAAGGAAAAACTCCATAAGAGCAAGAAAACTTGAGAAGAACTAAGACTCAAAAGGAGAACTCATCCTTCTCTGGTCCAGACCAGGTAGCAAACAATAACAGAGGAGCAATATGTGCAAAGAAAAAAGTCTGACCATTAGTATAAGATACTGAAAAAGGGAAAAGCAGGAGAAGCAATGTGCAGCAGCATTGTCATAAGGAGGGTCATGCAGGTGAGGTTTGTACAGCAGGAAGAAGGCAGGCAAGCAGTGGGCGACCGATCAAGGCAGATGAAGCAACAGCGTCAGACAGCACAGAATGGGCAGTTGTTCAGTTTGGCAGTAGTTCAGCAATTCACTCTTTTATTTTAAAAGGCTGTACTAGAGAGGAAAGTGTTTCACTCTGGCCTCTCCTGAGTGCCGCACATTCAGGGCAAAAACTAGCTACAATAGAGTTTATTCTGTTTATTGTGCACTGTTATGTGTGTGAATGATGTTAAGTCTCCTTTACTAACTGTTAAGGCCTGTATGATCCTATTTGTCATGTACTTGAGTTAGTTTCACTTTCACAGATGTGGTTTAGCTCGCAGTATTAGTTTGTAGCAGCTGTTATAATAGCCGTTAGCTATTAGCATTTTGTTTACATGTTTGTAGTGCCGTTAAACGTTGAGCGGATGATGTTACCGTGATGTAGGCGATCTCTGACGCTGTTTAGTGAACATTTTGTTACTCGCTGTTCTTTTTACAGCTGCAGAAACTTTCTCACATACATACTGATGCTGCAGCCTTAATTACAAGTATTGTTTGTTTTAAACGTGTGTGTGTGTGTGTGTGAGAGAGAGAGAGAAATCAAGTTGAAGGGAAATCAAACCTGTTCTGTGGTGTGTGGATCTGTAGCCTGATCATTAGCTTAGCAAACAGCAAACACCCAAACGATGCCACTCACCACAGAGCAGGCCTGATTCTGACTAACTGCTGCTCTGTTGAAACAAGTGTAGGTGATTAAAAATTAATGTCTGAGAGAACAAAAGTGGACTGACTGGTGTTGGAGTGACAGAAAGCCAAAATCAAACCTGTCCTGTGGGTTTTAAGACTTTTTGGGATTTTTAGCAGGTTTGGTGCTGGTACAAGTATATCTGGAATACCAACCATGTCTGAACTTGTTTTTAAACACTGTGTACACTTACTGACCACTTTATTCGACACACCTTACTTGTTCGTACACCTGGTGTACAGTTAGAGACTATAACTCACTCTTTTCCTTGCACCTTTTTATGTTAGCCATCTTATATCAGTGGTCACTTTCTGACCACAGAGCCACTCTTAGCTGGATATTTTTGCTGGACAAACCCCAACCTAGCAGTGACAGTGATTATAGAATTAGTGCTAACTTAACACACATTTCTTTCATTGTTAGCCCTTTTTAAAACTGTTTTAAAAAGATTAGTTAAGAATTCTTAATTAGTCTGTTCCTCTTTTTTTCTCTATGCTGCAGGCGCTTTGAGATGGACCGGGAGCCCCATGAAGCCCGGTTCTGTGCTGAGTGCAATAAACGACACAGTGCTGAGGAGGGAGACCTGTGGGCAGAGTCCAGCATGCTGGGCCTGCGGATCACATACTTTGCCTTTATGGATGGCAAAGTCTATGACATAACTGGTATTTTATATTACTCATGACTGATAGTTGTTTTATGGTTCTGCTGCTTATATAAAGCTCTTTAGTATGTTGTGTGTTGAAATTAATTGCTTTGTAGTGAAGTATACCGATCTTTGGTTTTTAATACAGAGTGGGCTGGTTGCCAGCGGATAGGGATCTCTCCTGACACACATCGTGTGCCCTATCACATCTCTTTTGGTTCTAAAAGTAACAGTGGCACCAACCGCCATAGGTAACAACCTTCATGTTTTTCTTTGGTGAACGAGTCTAATCTAGTTGACATCTAATCAGAGGTAGAAAAAGTACAGAAAAACTATACTCAAGTGAAAATCCTGTATCAAAATTTCACTCAATTAAAAGGGGAAGTATGGAACTAAAAATATACTCGCACATTCAGAGTGGTTTGATGAAAAATGGTTGATTAGGAGTGTACAGAGATGGTTCTTGAATGTTCATTGGTTCTTTAGTAAAAGAAAATGGTTCTGTAAAGAACGATGAACACTCAAAGAACCCTTTGCATGATTAAAGATTGTCAGAAAATGTGCATGAATGTGCTATAAATGGTTCTGTATAGGGTTATAAAGGGTTCTATATAGCACTCAAAAGGGTTCTTTTATTGTTGCAGGCTTGACACTGTAACAGTGTAAGAGCTCTTGGGTGCTATATAGAACAATTTTCAAAAAAGTTCTATATAGAACCATCTACAACACATTCTCCATCAAGCTGAAGAGCATGCAAAGGGTTCTTTGAGTGTTCATGGTTCCATTTCCTTACTAAAGAGCTCTTGAAGCACCATCTTTTTTTAAGAGTGTAGAGATTTCTTTACAGTGGTGGTGATAGGAACCAGGGGTCGCCATGACTACAACACAAGTATAGCCATTTTATTTACCATACAAATCCACTAGTGAACCTTCACATTTGAGTTTTATATGGAATGTTGATGATGGTACAATAGTGGTAAATCCAAAATAATATTCTTAATGTACTTTTGTGCCAACACTATGCATATATCTCTCTGCCTTGCATGTATTATAAAAAAAGTCTGTCTGGTTCCCATCACTACTTCTGTGAACATTTCTGACTTGACAAGTTTCTCTAGAACTGAGCATTTCATACCAAATCACTCTGAATGACTTTGTCATCTTAAACTTTGACATCTTAATGATTGAATAGTGCAGAAATTTGGACACTTGGTGGAATTCCCCTTTAAACACACCCAGTACATAAAAGTTCCTTGTTTAGTGGTGTGTGGTGCGGTGACTAATGGAGTCCTCACAGAAATATGAATGCGCATCTGGGGGAAGTTTCATTTTATGCTGATATGAATTTGGTTGCTTTTCAGAAAAATAAATTTAAATGCAAGGTAACCTGACTCATAAGCAAATAAAGTAAAACATGTTATTTATTTATTTATTTATTAGTTTATTTATTTTTCTTAATTGAGAAAGTATTTCAAATATTCAGCTTCAATTATACTCGGTACACATCCTCAAAAATAATACTCAGATAAAATTAATCGTTTTCCACCCGTGTCTAATAACAGCAACTGTAATTCCACTGCATACATGAATAGCAGAACATAGTGTATAAATGGCAGGACATGGTGTGTATATCTATGTTATGATGTGATGACACAACACACCAGCTGTACACTCTCAGCTGAGACCTGTGTCTGATGTATTTTCTCTCTCTCAGATCCCCTTCAGACCATCCGCCAGGTGCAGGCTCACCTGCAGACCTACAGGACTTCTTCAACCGTATCTTCCAGGGGGGTTCTCCCGGTGATGCTTCCTCCAACGGTGGGTTCTTCCCCTCAGGAACGCCTCCCCATCATCCCTCAGGGGCTGGCACAGGGACTGGTGGACTGTTTTCAGGTCCCCCTCCCCAGCCAGGTTTCTTTAACCCTGGGGCGCAACGAGGAGACCCTAGTGAATGTTGGACTGAAGGAGGAAAACACCCACGCCGGCGGAAGAAGGCACGCAAGCCTTTCCAGCGCTGAGTGGTGCCATAGCGTGCTCCGACGACCTTGCAGGAGGAAGACGGACTGCAGCAGAGCGCTGCCACGGCCTGGCCTGACGGACTTGTGCCGGGGCACAAGGACAAAATGGGTTGGGTTGACCTCAGAAGAATGTTTCAGTGTTGGTGTGTCGAATCTTCTCGATGCCAACAGGAACTAGCTGAAAACTGTGCTCTGTTTGAGAAGGCTGGCGAAGGAAAAGATCTACAATTGTAGCCTTTTTGTCGGATAATTTTCAAGCCCTTTCTTTTTTATTTGTGTCTGGAAAGGCACAGCTTGCCCATGCCACTCGTTCCACAGGTTTATTGTGTTAAATGATTTGCAGAAGTTAAATTTCCATGGCCTTTCGTATGTTTTTGTCATGCACAGTTAGATGATGGCATGGTTTTTCATGATGAAGTTTGCATAATTTTTTTGCCATTCTTTGTAAAAAATTTTTGCATCAGTGTTTATGATTCTTCTGTCGACCATGAATACACCTCAGGGATGACTATGGTGCGGTCACAGTTGGTCTGCGGAGAACAGAGAGAAGAAGCTGATGATCTGAAAGGCAGTTCAGAATTTGAAATATAAGTGGAATTTGCACAGAGTACAATAATGATAGTCCACAGCCTTCTGAGGATGGTCAGGAGGAACGCTACTCTGTCATTACTCTGCCCAAACTCACAGCAGTTCACTTCTGTTTACACTTGAATGAATTTTGAATTACTTTATTGTTCTAGATTTTTGGTCACATTTTGCGTAGTTTGAAACAGATGTGAGACACACAACTATCGCCAGTCCTCTTGTTTCTGCTAACTGCTTTGTTAGCTGAACCGAATGAGCTGCTCACTGAAATTTAGTTGGAATGCTAGAAAAATTTAAAATAAGCACTTTTTGCAAGTTTGTTTCTTGCTAAGCAGCAAGTGATTATATTGAAAACAGATGCTGAAATACACATCAGAACCATCTTTTTGGTTTTTATTCTTATTGATTTACTGTATTTGAATTACTGTATTTGAATTAAATCTGTTCAAATCTATTGTAAACCATATTTAGGCAAAAAGCAAACAGCCTGCTTTCTGAAAAGTGTTTTTTTGCACAATAATCCTGATGAGACGGTATCCTAAGAACCATGTTTAATGGGCTTGGTCTTAATACTGTGATGGTCTTAATACTGTCCAGATTGATATTCAAGATCTTCGTCCACTTTCTATTTAGTCCACCATACCTTCCTATGTTTTTTTTCTGCCTTGTCACTTCAACACTCTTAAAAAGATGGTTCTTTAAGAGTTCTTCAGTAAAGAAAATGGTTCTATAAAGAACCATGAACACTCAAAGAACCCTTTGCATGATTAAAAGCTTCTTTCTGTAGATGGTGCTATATAGAACCTTTTTGAAAAGGGTTCCATATAGCACCCATATGGGTTCTTCTATTGTTACGATGTCGAGCTTGTAACGATAGAAGAACCCTTTTGGGTGCTATATAGAACCTTTTCAAAATGGGTTCAATATAGAACCATCTATAGCTCATTCTCCACCAATCTGAGGAAACTTTTCATGATGCAGAGATCGCTTATTCATTCAGAGGGTTCTTTGAGTGTTCATGGTTCTTTATAGAACCATTTTCTTTACTAAGGAACCCTTAAAGAAGCATCTTTTTTAGGAGTACTATAGAATGTGAAATATAGCTGCGCTTGCCAGATCAGCCATCGTTTCTTAATTGGGCAGTTAGAATGATGATAGTGCTGAAGGGATAAAGCAGGCATGCAAAAAAATAGCCTAAACACACTAACAGTGATAGAACTTCCCAGAGTATGAGTGTGTTTTCAGTGTAAAGTGGGGATAAATGTGCAATTAATTTCGATCATTTTCCTTTTCGTTTAATGTCTGTCAACCATTTGTATAAAGAATGGCTCCATTATATGAACAGAATTTTGTCACATGTTAAATTTATTAAATTGAACTTTATATTTGCTTGAGGACTCTTAACTGTAAGGAGTTTTTTCCCTCCCCATCTCAGTATTTACAAATCAGTTTGATTCCAGTGGGTCACTTTCACTAAATTTGCTTAAAAGAAATTGGATGCATGGCAGCATAAATGTTCTAGTTTACATAAGAATGTGTCTTGATGAAGGCAGTCTGTTTCTGGATGACCATCCCAGAATAAGGTGTTAAGTGAATTTAAATGTATATGCAAAAAATTTATATAACTAAAATCTCAGACAATCATTATGATGGTGCAGGACACTTATATCCATCCTTTCCCCCATAATCAGTCATCAATTGCTGTTTTTTTTCTTTTCATATTAAAGTTGATTTCCGTAACTATTTGCAGTATTAAGTCTTTTGTGGGAGGTAGCGTTCTGTGGATTTATGTACTGTAATTTTCAATGAAACTTAAAGGGGAATTACACCATATTTTCAAAATTTTGGCATAATTCAGTGGTTAAGACAGAATGTAGGTTCACTGGTGGCTTTGGATAGTAAATAAAATATCTAAATTTGTGTTGTAGTCATGGCGACCTCTGGTTCCTATCACGACCACTGTAAAGAAGCTGAACCATTTCACACCAAACCACTCTGAATCATTCTGTTTACATCTCAAACACTTATATATAAATTTAGAAAAAAATGGTGGTATTCCCCTTTATTAATGCCTTCAAACATCTGGACATCTGAAAACAAAGTGTATTTATAGAAGAAAATGCCAGAAACAAGATCATGATGCGATAATTTATTTCAAACGGCATAATTCAGTTTTCCTGCTTCATTCCAAACTTTGAACTACAAAAGTTCACAGATCAGAATTTAGCGCTTATATATATTTGAAGTACGGCCCACAATGCAAATTTCTTGTGATCAGAATTACACACTGTTTAAAAGTTTGGTATCACTGTTTTAAAATAATACAAAATCAAATTTGCTGCAGATAAAGATTCTAATGATTAAATGATTGAGAAAGCTGTCTAATATCAAGAATAAAGCTATAATAAAATATCCAGAATTCCTCATATTTCAAAAGTAGTGATTAAAGGCAGATGACTGACAAGACAAGAAATAACTAGACAATTACAGTACACTATTTATGTCAAAATATCCTGCCACCTATGAAAATATTGAACAAAACATCGAAAATATTTGTTCATATTTTAGTCTACCCCGAACGTTATTGAATAAAATTATTTATGAACAATTATTACCGTGATTCCAAACTTTTCAGCAGTAGCACCAACCATTTTCATTATATGCTACAGGTTAAACAGACTCCAACTAAAATATGGTATTCATTCTAGTCCTACAGCTGAATTGAATAGTGTATAATATATACTCCTTACACGAACATACTCTAATGGTTTAGTCCTACTGTGTTTAAAGCTGAAAAGCTGCAAGATCATGTAAAATGTTCACACAGGAAGAATAGATTTCACCTCATGAACCCCAAATAGTGAAGAAAGTACTGTAATTGTAATTTTATGAGTTTGCCAGTTTGATATTGCAAGCATCCTTTCATGTAGTATTACAGACTAATCTAGTATTTACAGTAAATCAACTAAAGAGCAAAGGCTCTTTATGGCCTTCTAATCTCTTATTCTATTTATTCATGTGGCTTTGGCAACACTTCTTAATGTTTCTTCAGCTGAGTGGAGATGAAATCGAGTTCTCTCTTTGAGAGGTCTTTGGCCATAAAAAGGCATTTCCCAAAGTGCAGATGTATCCTGCTGTTTCCACAACACTGATTCACCGGCAGAGTATAACCCTACGAAAAGAACCGCAGTGAAACCACAGCTCTGTGGCATTCACAGTTCAGGAAATGGACTAATAAGGATTAGTGGATATTTTCCCCATTGATGATATAAATAAATCCAGAACAAGTTTCTGAAACCTGGCTATTTGGTGTGTGTATATATATATATATATACACACACACATACATGCACACACACTATATGGCCAAATGTATGTATGTGGACACCACTCCTAATTACTGAGTTCAGGTGTTTCAGCCACCCTCATTGCTAACAGGTGTATAAAATCAAGCACATAGCCTTGCAGTCTCGATAAACACAGATTGGCAGTTTAATAGGTTGTACTGAGGAGCTCAGTGACTTTGAACATGGCACTGTCATAGGATGCCACCTTTGCCAAAAGTCAGACTGTTAAATTTCTGTCCTGCTAGATCTGCCCCAGTCAACTGTAAGTGTTATTATTGCAAAATGGAGGCGTCTAGAAGCAACAATAGCTCAGCCTTGAAGTGTCACACCACGGAGCCTAGGGTCACTGTGTGCAATGCCAGGTGTCGGCTGGAGGGGTGTAAAGCACACCACCACTGGACTCTGGGAAACAACAGGGTTGGTTGGCACAGTGTCAACTTACAGAGAGAGGAGACACTGTCACCAAAATGTAACATAAAAATAACTGCCCTCATTAAACCGATGTTCATCCAGTTTATCAGGAGCTCTGAACGCTACCGTGTGTTAAGGTGGGTATAAAAAAATCTCCCTGAGTAAACACAGTTCATTTTTAAAGGCAGAATTTTGAAATACATTAAGAGATAGCAATCGGCTGTGTTTGATTTGAAAGCCAATGATAAGTAATGCCAGCTGGCTAGCATGAAGTAAACAGAGTTGTGTCCTGATGTGGGTGGGGTTGGTTGGCACATGTGTCAGCCTGCCTAAGTTATTTTATATTATACGCTGCACACATACTACATAGCATACTAACACGACTAGAATCCTGTGTTTATATTAAAATTAGATTACATTTATAACAAGTTGTTTTTACCTCTAAGCTGTCTACAAGAGTTTGTATTTTCACTTAGAAAATCAACATTTTTCAAATGTGAAATACACATACTCAAATTTTTGCTTGAGTAATATTGTATGAAAGCTGTCTCTTTTTTCACAAAGCACAGCTGTACATTGTATGCTACTAAAATAAAAATAACATTCTGAACATCTAATTGATTCGAAAATGTCATTTGGTTGCCATTTAGTCTGATCATTTCTATTTGTTGCTTCAGTCTTTGAAATTATATTTATTGGCACTGTGCCAATGAATTCTATGCTGGGGCTGGTTGGAACAAGTGTACAATATTAATTTAGTCATGAATGCACAACCAATTCCAACCAATACTTACTGATATTAAAAGGGTCTGTCTTTTAGCCACGACCTTTGCTGGAAAGTGGTTAATTTTTAGAACTTTTATATGCTTATTCTGTCTATCAGAGCAGTTGTGTTGTCTCTAGGGCCTAAATATTTCAGGTTAGGAATGTTCTGCATGTTCCTATGCCTCTTTATCACTGGTATGTAACCTTGATGTTTATCAGGGGAAGACAGTTTGGGCTGGCTGAGGGTGATAACACTCTCTGTAATGTGTGAACTCCTGCTCAGTGGCAGGAGAAAGAAGAAAATGGTGATCCGTTAACATCTCTGTATGACGATGTCTTTTAATAAACCCAACTTTCTCCGCACAGGTGCCTGAGTCTAGTTTATTCTCAATAGCTTCAATAATTTGGGAGTTCTCAACAATTGGCGAGCTGCCAGCCAGATTTTAGATCACGATCAAGAAATGTCTGCTGAAGAAATAAAGTTTGGGCCATGAGCTGTGACGACCTCAACACCTGCAGTGGTGAGTTGAATGATGCTTTCATTGCTGAAAGAAACATCCATTAATTGGAGAATCATAAAAGCTAACTGATGCTAAGTTAATGAAATTCGTATGAAGTTATTTGAGTAATAAATGTACACATCTAGGTGTTTCACTTGCTGCTAGGTAGGTCATCCTAATGTATGGTATGCTTGGGATAAAGGCAGAGTGCCAACGAACCCCGCTCCTCCATACATGATTTGAAAGTGCCAGCTTTCCTTTACATTGCATGAAACTTTCATGATGAATCGCCCAATAAAAATTGTCCAAACAATGTGTAAAGTCAGCATTTTCGAGGTACATTCTAGTTTGTTTTGACACTGACGATTTGGAGTAGAACATGCAAACTCAATGGTAACTTTATCTTTTTTTTTACTTTACATTTTCACAAACTTTATGCTCTTTTGCATAACTCTAAAGATTACACAGTATTATATGTCTTTAATATTACTTTAAGAATTTGCATTACATACTGCATCTTAAAATATAATAGACATAACAAAATATAATATTGCATTCTGACTGCCTGTTTTTTCACTGGCAGCTCCAACATTTGCTAGTTTGAGAAAAATGGAAATATAAATGTACGCAATAGATTACATGTAGGCTACGTAAATGAAACTTAAAAAGGTCCCAATCAGGATTTGTCTTGTTTTCATAGCTTAAAAAGGATTTCTGTATAGACTTTAAAACATTTTGGCATCACTGAATCTCTCGATACATATAATAGTCTATAATGCCATGAAGATCTATGTCAACGAATAGCAACAATGAACATACCCATAACTGTTAATAAAAGAATAAAACCTGCTCCAAAGATAAACATCTGACAACATAATAACTCAAATTTTCCCAACAAGTGCACCCACAACCCTGTCAATAACTGCAGAGTCCAAATAGGCCACCAGTCCGCCTTGGTTTGCCCACCTCTCTACTCCCTGGCAGCCTGCCTGGGGCTGATGGTAGGTCAGTTCGGCTTTAAAGCCCTTGTTTCCATCGCTGACGGCTGAGAGACACTCCCCGAGGTCGGAAACTCCTCCCCCAAGCGCCCGGAGCAGGGCATGGGGGGCACAGGAGTCCCACTTGAAGGTGCTTCCCTCTGAGAGCACGTACACATCCACAAGGCCTTGGATGACGCACAGGATCTTGTACCCGGCTCCAGAAGCATACTTCAAACGGCCATTGCAAAGCGGTGCTAAAGCATCCTTTACTTCCCGGCGCTCACTGGAGCTCAGGACCACCGAGAGGGAGTCATTTTTCTTCTTAAGAGACTGCTTGGGATGTTTGAAGGAGTAAGTATTTACTCCTCCATATGACACTCCCCAGAAGTGCTGCCCCTTCCACCTAAAGTGATAACAAAATGAAAGACAGGGTTCATAAATTGGCAATAGTTGACACAATTTACCCCCTTCCCTCAAATACAGTCAATCTGCCAAGACATGTTTGGTGTCTGAAGTTTGCTTCTATAGTTTTAGCACTGGAGCTACGAGGCTAATGTAGCTAACAAGTAATGGAGGCTTACAGCCAATATATCCAATTAGCATGATGCTAACCGCTCACCTAAATCAACACACACTTGTCTGTTTGTTCCATAATCTCTAACAGACTTGCTTATGTGGTTTCTGACACTGTACGACTGTAAGCTGCACAGTTATAAACTACTCGCCCTGTTAAAGCCTGAACTTTGTCCATAGTTTAGTTTACAATACTTGTTAGCTTCATTAGCCTCGTAGCTCCAGTGTTAAAACTACAGAAAGACACCAAACATGTCTTGACTGATCAACTAGAGTTAGGGAGAGAAAACTGTGTAAATTTGATTTTCCGCTTAAATAGTACTTTAATTCAGGGTTAATTCAATTGTTCATGTATGGTGAGTCACAGGAATAGTTACATAAATTAATGTGGACATAAAAAAGACATATTTTAAAGGAACACTCCAACCAAAATGAAAAATGTAACTTTCGCTACATCTGTCATAAACATGCCTATCCACCTTCTAGAGAGGCGCTCCTGTAATCAATATGGTGACATTTTGTGATTTAAAGACTAGAAAAAACCCTTTGATGATGTGTCTTAGGGTGGAAGAAACTGCTTAGAGTTGAATTTTCAAGGCCATTTGGACTTTTTCTGTTTTTATTTGCTGGTGAATGCAGAATGAAGCCAGATAGCTAAAGTTATTGCTCTAATAACTGTAATAAGTGTATAACTGTAATAACTGTCTTCATATCATTATTATAACAAACAGAATGGGTCCCTTAAATGACAGAAATGACTCAGATCAGGAGGACAACAAGCTATAGATATCGCACCTCAGCTCTGCTTTTTTTGTTGTCTAAAAGGGTAAAATCTCATTTCTGGCATTTATTTTGTACTGAATAAAGACAGAATTGCTGTTTCCTTTATGATTTAGTTTGATGAGGTAAGAGTTGCAATAATGCTAGCTCAGTTTTATTTATTAACTTTAGCTCAGCTGCTAGACTAGCAGTCAACAAGTAGATTTGTTGACACCACAGATTTCCAACAGTTATATGATGTGTTTGAGCAATGCATGCTGGGTATTGTAGTGAGAGAACACTGATGAATGGAAACATGAAAACAATATAAAACTGCAAATTCTGTCAAACCGATGAGGCTGAGGGATGCAATGTTGTGCTAAAGAATATCATAACAGGCCAAACAACACATTTAATGCCAGGTTTGGGCTGGAATCCTCTTTTAAATTACTTAAGAGAAGCAAAAGTATCTGTGAATTATCTCTGGAATACAATTTCACTTACTACAATTAAAACTCTAAGAAAATACACTGATTGGCCAATTTATGAGGTACACCTCCAATAAAAGACCACTAATGTCCAGATATTATTTTAATGGTAGACCTTTTTTTTTTGGTTTTCTATGGAGACTATACAAGCCGTTTGTGCAGAGCTGAATGCTTGTGTCAGCAATGAGTACAGCTGAATTCACCAATTAGAGCCCTCTGGACACCTCTGGACATATAATGTAGTGCTGATAAGAGGACTCTTACCCCTTGCCTGTTGAGTCTTTGCGGCTAAATGGTTGATTAATGACACCCATTACTGGTTCTCCAGTGGCCCGCAAGTAGACCCCAATCAGAACCAGTGCACATCGAAGTCCTGAAGGGCAAAAGCCTCCATCTGACACCTCCTCTTCCTTCCCTTCAATATACTGACTGGTGGCATCTGCACAAAGAGAACATTTCAGTTTGCTTAATAGGTCATGAGTATTAGTAATGACATATGAGCCTTGGGCAAAAATAAAGGAGTACGCTCCATGTTTGCAAGACATTAGCTAGAAAGGCAGTAATCTCTAATATACTTAGCTAATAGCTTATGTGGTTTCTAACACTGTATGACACAATATTATCTATAAAAACAACAGAACCAAGCAAATCCAGGTTTTAAGATGGCTGCTATTACTGCTTTTAGCTATGCTGTTTTCAAATGGTCCATAGATTACAGTATGTCATACAGAGTCAGAAACTAGGGATGCATCGATATGGAAGTCGTGGGCTGATACCGATATTTTTCATGTACATATCTGCCGATGCCAATTTATAAACATTTATAAAATTTAGAAATTGAGATCGACTTGAATCAGCACTACAGAGAAATGTACCATTTGTTTCTGTAGGGTTACAAATGCAGTAGAATACATCAAATTCCATATAAAACTCAGAAGACACGTGTAGGTTCACTGGTTGTTTTGGATAGTAAATAATATGGCTTTAGTAAATAATATGGCTATTTGTGTTGTAGTCATGGCGACCCCTGGTTCCTGTCAGCACCACTGTAAAGCCATCAGATTTGGCTCCACACAATTTGAGGGAGGTGAGTTATGATTTAGATGCTAACAGGTGAAGTACAGGCTTCCATTACTTGTTAGCTACTATAGCCTTGTAGCTTCAGTGCAAGAACCATCTTCAGACCCCAAAATGTCTTGGCTGACCAACAAAATTTGTGGAAAGGAACAAACTGTGTAAATCTGATACTTCACTAAACCGTCACCTCAAAATATCTAACATTAATCAGCGTGAATGTGAAATCATAAGACGCTCTTCTCTGTATCTGTGAGTGAAACACAACACCAGGGAGGGTGAGCGTTTTTCTCTTCATGATAGGTGGGGGTGGGAGGGGTAGCTAAAACATGATATTTTTGGTTAATGTTATTTTGCCCCGCCCACTGGTGCACAGTGATATCATCAAGTTTTAGAGCTGGGACCAAAGTTGTTACATTTTAATGGAAGATTACAAGAAAACAAGAATTTAATCTTTTATATGATATGATACAACAAATCATGCTTAACATGACCAGGTCATTAACAACATAAAAGTCCAATTTGAAATTAGGTCAACATTAACTTACTACTAGTGATTTCAACACAAAACTATGACTGAAACAGATCATGAGTTACCAATGGGATCAATCCAGATGCCCACATCTGCTGGGCTGAGAGCAAGCTGCAAGGATTCTGCCTCTTCATCTCTAATCTGCAGGTCCTGGTGGATTGCTTTGGTCAGGAGGACTGCAGCTGCTTGGTCACCATCCAGCACCTTGGCTAACAAGGCAGCTGTGTCCTCTTCCTTGGCACAAACTGTAACGGTCACACTCTCTCCTAAAAGGAAACACAGAGACGTCCCTAACAATGATGCATAATATAACAAAAGCTTGAGGATATAAAGGCTATTTTTATGAAGACACACATTTAAATCAAGTACATTCAAGTTTTCAGTGTAGATGAAGATACAGTACAATATAAGATACAACAATTCAAAAAGCTGAGACAGAATGTTTGTTATGTTATTCCAGACCTGCAGTGCTGGGCAATACTGACAAAATTCAATATAACAATATTTTCTATATATATGTCACAATATCTCAGTATCAGATGATATTAAAGCTTGTACTGATAATGTTAATGATCCCATAAGAATGACTTACAAACCAGAAATTGTATTGATCGGATTGCTGTGTTCTGTTTCCTCCTTTTTAAATACTACAGAAGTGAACCGCACAGTGTATTAAGGATGTCAGGTTTATGGACTAGTATGTTGTAGTGCGCAAAATGCTTCCTTTAAATATTTCTAAAACTAAACATCAGTACTGCTGTGTGAAGTAATAATGGTGCAGACGATGCATCACTTAGCACTACCTGCAGTTTCAGGGAATTTTTTTTTGTGTAATATGTAACGTTGACATTTTAAATTCCTTAACCGCACATTTTAATAGCAAAAATGAGAAGCAAGAAATTACAAAGATGAAAAATAAACAGTTTTTTTTCCATTTTTTCAAGTTTTTTCTTTACATGAAAACAGATGAAGTCAATTTGTGGATGTACTGGCTGTATTTTAGGTTGCTTGCTAGCTAACAAAGCACTTTCATACTAAATATTTTGAAACTTTTCGATATAAAGTTAACTTAGTTAACTAGTTAGCTGACCAACCATAACCCTAACTCTGCTTTAAGCATCAGGGGGTGCGCAAACCTAAACTATGGTGGATCCTCACATCTCTGATGCCAATGAAAACATTACTAAATGTAATTTGCCTTGTGCTCTCACAATAATGAATAAAACCAAAAGCACATTCGTTGAGAGTTCCTGCATCTTCCTGCCTTTTCTCTCTACCTTAATAAAATAAATAGCATCCTGTTCCCGGAGTCTCTGCTGCGCTCTGTTATCACTGTATACCGTAATCAGTCTCTCTTAACTGAATGAACTGCCTGTGTGTTTCTCTGCTGAGCTGAACAACTGCCCATCCTGTGTGGTCTGATGCTGTTGCTTCATCTGCCTTGACCCTCCTGATGATGCGGCAGCATTTTTGTAATCACAGACATTGCTACTCCTGCTTTTCCCCTTTTCCGTATCTTATACTGATGGTCAAACCTCATTCTCCACTGGTATTGTTTGCTATCCAGTGTGGACCAGAGGAGGATGGGTTCCCCTTTTGAGTCTTGGTTCCTCTCAAGGTTTCTTCCTCTTGCTCTTAGGGAGTTTTTCCTTGTCACTGTCGCCACTGGCGATGTTCATGGGGGCTTGGACTCAACCTTCTTCATGGCTGCATAATGCCATCAGTCAGTACTTTCACTTTAAACACTTAAAACCTTCACTGTTTTAAACCAACTCAGCAAAAAAGGCATAGAAAACCTTTTTTTTCCAACTGCAATATGCAAAAACAGCATTAGCCTGCCCAACTTCTGCAGATACTGGAAACTTAAGCTGTGCTCATTCATAAGCTACTACTTAACAGGCTAGCACGCTAGGTACACAGTAAAGTCAACTGGGGTAAATAAAACGTTCAATATTGTCAATTCTGTCAGCTGTATTAGCAACCAGGTCGTCAATGTGATGTGAGATCAGCAATTGTATGCTGGGGCATCTTGAGGGAAACCACTCACCAAGTCCGTTCTCAAACTTGTTTGATTCCTCTCCATGAATGAAGCCGGTCAACTCTGGAAACTATCAAACAAGAATAAACACAAAAGAGCAGAAAGATAACATTATGATAAGCCACAGCCAAATGATAATATCGCCCAATTGACAAATACAATCAAATATTTGCTAAGCACCTGTGTGCAAACATCATGTCGAATCATTTCTTGTATCACCACATCGGCGAGCGTCTTGAAGTCCTGGACAAACTTCTTGTTCTTATCAGCTCCTGTTTTCTCCTGTACCAGCAGCTCAAAGAGTGCCGCCTCCTGCCTGCACACTCGAGCAACATTGGCAGCCTTTTCGGACACGCTGAGCAGCAGACGCAGCAACTCTGCCATCACTGTGAATAACACAGGAGAAAAAAATACTGTTTACTGAGGTAAAATACATTGCCAAAACTATGTGGACACACATTCCAGCCACACCCATTGCTAATAGGTGCACACAGCCATGCAATCTCTGTGGACAAGCACTGGCAAACTTTTAACATGGCACTATCAGAGGACGCCACAATTGAAAAAAGTCAGTTTATAAAATTTCTGCCCTGCTAGAGCTGTCCCAGGCAACTGTAAGTGCTGTTATTGTGAAGTGGAAATGTCTAGGAGCAACAACAGCACAGCCATTATTACAGAACAGGACTGCTAAGTGCTGAAGCACGTAAAAACCAGTCTCCAACACCTGAACTATTTACCAATACAGAGTACTGATCCAATATTTTCTCTTCAATTTAAAATTTGTACATCTCCTATAATGTGCAGTCACAATTAAACAATTCATTGCACAACCTGTCATATCTATTTTAAGACATTATGGTAGCAAAAGAGTTTTAAAGTGAGGCGCACTCACCAAGTATTTCATATCCGACCATATTCTTCAATTATATTTTATTTTTAAAACCTGACAACAAAAGTCTAAAATGGTTATTTGCTGTCAAAGTTGGTTTGAAGTACAGAGGAATTTAAGAGAGCCCTCTTGCACAAATCATCAATACTGACGCACTGTCATACACTGTTAAGAGGGGCTTTTACTGTGATATGCTGCAGTGCTTTAAAGAGAAATTTGCGCATTTCAAGTTTGAAAAGACACATTCATTTCATTTCCTTAAACAAAAAGGTTATTAGTTTGTAGAGTACTCAGTTCCATTAATATGTGAAAATCTGTAATGTATTCGTTCCATTTTTTCCATCTAAGATTGCCAGGAGTCAGCTAGAGAGGTCTAAACTGATGACATGCGAATCTGAGTTTGGGTGCAGGAGAACACTACTTGCCCGAAAATAAAGTTTGGTAGAGCAGAAATAATTGGCTGGTGCTGTTACAACGAGCGTGTTTACATGCACTTAATAATCCAATCAAAACCGGATTTCTGCTGTTATCTGATTGTTCAAATGTTCATGTAAACAGCACACTCCGATTTCTTAGATCTGAGTAAGGTCTAGAAATCTGATCAAGAAATCTGATGAAGAGAGCTGGATTTTTGCTCAGTAATCAGATTTCTCAGTACATGTAAACTCTTACTCTGATTTCTTTCGGATGTCTCAGTCTGAGAAAACAGACTGCTGTCCCAGAAATAAACAAGCTGTGAGATGACAGCAAAACACTTTTGGAGCATTACATTCTCGACTGAATGAAGGATTTAAATACTCTTCATTTTCTAGATGATAGATGTTCATATTTTCAGGTAAAGTGAAGCGATGTTCTAAGGCTGCGGCATGAAGTTTGAGTTACGTTTACTTCACGTCTTCTTCTGTGAGTTTACTGGCTGGTTGTAAAGCAGAAATCTGATTACTGCCTGACTCATGTAGACCTGGAGTTTCCCCATTATCAGATTACTCAAGTGCATATAAACGCATTGATCGTATTTACTGACCAAATCTGATTTGCTGCAGTTATCGGATTATTAAGTGCATGTAAATTAGTTCGAGTAAAGGGAAATCTTAATGCTACAGCATGGAATAATCTTCTAGATCAGTGGTTTTAAACCTAAGGGCTGTTTTTTAACCATTTTTTGTAGACATTTAATCAAATGTTATTTTAAAAATGATGACTTATTCACAAAAACAGAACATCATATTTAGGTTGACTTCATTTATAAGTCTGGCAAACTGTTAGCTATGTTTACATGTTCAGTGCAAGTCGTTTCTCTTTTATTTCGTAATAAATTCATCCATCACAGATCGACAGTTTTGAAGACAGTGTTTCACAAAGAAAGATCCCAAGGCTGCGCCAGAAAAGGAGTAACTAGCGCTCTGCACTGAACTGAACATAAAGTTTGGTGGAGGAGGAATAATTGGCTGGGGCTGTTATAATGATTTGGGCCCTTTAAGCAAGGTTCAAACCTTCAAAGGTCTTTTTTTTTTTAGTCATCTCCAATTCCACCCACTAGTTAGGACTCCCCAATCACATGGTACTACCAACTCTAGGAAGGCGAAGGCTAGCACAGGCTTCCTCCGAGACCTGTGAAGCGCTACCGCTTCTTTTCAAACTGCAGACGTCATTGCAGAGCTAAGACGTCATTGCAGGGCTAAACGCGCGCGGAGGAAAGCGCCAACCGCCAGATCTGTTACGTCAGCTAACAGACGCCTGCGCTAATTAGCATCGCTTTGAGTGATGGGGGGAGAAGGAGGGGCCATCCTACCCACCTAGAGAGCGAGGCCAATTGCGCTCTCTTGGACTCCCGGCTATGGACGGCTGTAGCATCACCAGGGATCGAACTCGCGATCTCCTGATGAGAGGGCCAGCGCTTACACGGTTGCATCTCTCTGGAGCAAAACTTTGAAGCCAAAATACTCTGTCAGTTGAAGGCTAAACAAATATGCATCTAAACCTATTAAACTAAGACAGATCTCTTTTCGCAACTTTCATTTCTTCAGCATGTCATCCAGTAGTTGGTAGCTGCCAAACATCAGCAGCAAACTCATTAGGTGAGTCAGAAAATATTATTTATTTTATTAGTGTTTATTGTGTTGCATTCTGTTACAAAATCAAGCAGAACTGACAGGCTACGTTGATTTTTGCATTAGATTTGTTTAATGTTGGTCATGGCTGTGTGAGCTGCGAGTTAGAAAAGGTTGGGAATCTCTGTTCTAGATGATCGTGTGTTAACTTTGTGGCAGGAGTTTGGGGATGACTCATTCCTGTTTAAGTAGGACAGTGTCCCCGTGCACAAATGAGCTCAATAAATAAATGATTTGCAAATTTTGGTGTGGAAGAACCTGACTGGCCTGCCTGGAGCCCTGACCTCAACCCCATGCAAAGCCTGAACTGTGAGCCAGGTCTTATCACCCAACAACAGTGCCTCACTAATGCTGTGGTGGCTGAATGCAATCAAATCCTTACAGCAACATCTAGTGTAAAGCCTTCGCAGAAGAGTAGAGGCTGTTACTTCAGCAAAGCAGGACAAACTCACTGTTAATACCCTTCATTTTGGAATGAATGTTCAGTAAGCACATGTGGATGTAACGGTCAGATTTCCACATACGTTTAGACATTTAGGGTCAGATGTGGTATTTGGTGGACTTTACAAAAGGCTCTCTGTGGTAAAACACTGCTGTATATCATATATATAACGCTGCAAGGCCACTTATTATGTCATTAAAGTCGTTTTTAAATTACATCAAAACACTCCTTTTACTTTACTCTTTTGATTTTATCCGTTCTTTTTCATTATAACCCCTTGTTTAAATAGTTGAATCTTTTACCTGCATTTATTTCTTCTTTTTTAAATGCCTATATTGTTTTTTTTATACGACCCCTCTGTTTATGCTGCTTGGACTGAGTGGTTAACAGCTATTGTTGCTTTGATTTTAATGTATGAAAGGTGCAACATAAATAAAGACTTTTATTATCAATATTATTATTTTTAAAATCATGTGCCAATCTCCGCTCTTTTCTGTGTCGTATGAATGTTTTATGAATCAGACGCAGAGTACACTCATAAAGATGGTTCTTCAAGGATTCTTTAGTAAAGAAAATGGTTTTATATAGAACCATGAACACTTAAAGAACCCTATGCATAATTAAAGGGTTCTCTGTATCATGAACAGGTCCTTTAAATTGATGGAGATTGTGATGTGCTAGATTGTTCTATATAGATCCTTTTTGAAAAGGATTCTATACAACACCAATCTTCTATTAACACAAGCTTGACATCATAACCATAGCAGAGCCCTTTTTGGTGCTGTAAAGAACTTTTTTACAATTATTATTATTATTTTTTAAATCATGTACTGCAGAATAAAGTAACCAAATCATTAAACATGTTGGATTATATCCTTTCTGCCTTTTCTACTCAAAGGAAATAATGCTATACTTATTATTTACTCTGATTTTCAACTATTTATATATATTAGCAATACATCCTCTATCAATAAATGGGGGTTTTGTCCTTTTGCTGTACAATTATTTATAGAAAAGTATGTATTATACATGCACTGTACTGTATTAGTACATTCCTGTCCATGACCAGGTGAAGCTCTGTGGGTTGCAATTTTGCTTTCAAAGGTCTGATGTTTAAACAACAGTACTGGGTAATAATAATAATTATGATACTATTTATTCATATAATAATTTGCAATGTAGTTGCAGTGTGTTTAACATAGATAGTAAGGTGGGGTTACTGCAGTGGATCATTTGAAATCACCCTGTATACATAATACTATAATCAGGTCAGGCTGCGTGAAAACTAGAAACAAAAATATCACGCAAACTGGGACACCCAGTTAGAATTAACCTACTATCAGAGGACTGAGATCTAAAAAGGTTCTAATGGTTTAATATAGAAAATCTTTTGAAAGATTGCTGATGTCTGAGCTGAAAGAGGGCCTGATACAGTCCTCCAGTTGTGCAGGCGAATTTCGATAAACTTCAACATTGCAATATTTTCTGAATATATCACAGAATCACAGTAGCAAACAATATTTAAGGTTGGGGTAATAAAGTTAGTGATTCCATGCTGCTCTGTGCTAAAGGAATCTTTCAAAACTTGACAAACCTCATCGTTTTGATTGGACTGTTTTCTTCTTTTAAAAATCACACCTCACACAGTATTAGAAGCATAAACCAGGAGGAAAAGACATTTCCAGAAATTAAACTTACTATTTACTTGATTTCCAAAGATATTTAAAGGATTTTCTTCCTAAACAACCTAAAGCACAAAGTACATGACATACATTACAGTTTATTTGCGATCAATTCGCTTAAACTATTATCAACATCATCTATAATTACATTAATCAGAATAAAAACAGAACATTATGGTAATACTAATAATTTGTTCAGATGACAATCCAGTACAAAAGTGGATGTACTTATTTTACATTCACATCAACAATGAACACATTTAAAATGTTTAACTGGATTTAGTGCAATTTCCAAAATACTGAATATAAATCATTGTAATTAAAGGTGTATTATTTGTATTATTATTATTAGTAGTAGTATTAGTATTATTGTATTTTTATATGTGGCACTATAGGCTCTATTTTGTCTGATCCAACTTATTAAATCTTAGAAAAAAACTAAATATTGTGATGCATATCATGTCTCGCAAAAATGTCTTGAAGTATTGTGATGTAATATTTTTGCCATATCACCCACCCAATTCCACTTTCCATTTAAAAGCATATTACACTGTGTTTGTTTTATAATACTGACTTTGCCCACAAAATAAACAATACAAAATACAGCTAGTGCAGTAGCATCTCATACACTGCAATAAAGTTTAAATATACCATTAATCATATCACATTTTATTCTTCACAGTCATTGTAATTTTTACACTATAAAGTTTGGTCAGTGGGCGGAGCAGCACACTCACTACTCTCCCTCGAACTCCGCCTACGAGCACAGCCATTGGCTTACAAGCCGCTGAATTAGGGCCTGTTCCATGTGAACGAGGTGCTGTTTGGCTGGCGCTTGATTTCACGCACTGAAGCTGAAACATTATAAGCCCCCTCTTCCCTCTTTTCCATGTGTACGTCGTTTCATGAATCACACGCCGAGCAGCTCATGAACCCGGGCGGCACTCAAATTCAGTGCAAGTATGATTTGTAAAGAGCACCACTGGTTTTGAATAAGGTGACTCAGTGATGATGCCACACAGCCTGAGCCGACATAACAATAATAAACGTCCTGCAAAAACCATAAATGACAAATACTATTAAAAGATCAGACTTTTCGCTTTAAACCACAATCATTAACATACAGATACAAACCATGTAAATGTTCCTCAAATGTACAACAGTGGTTTTAAGGTCCAACTGTGCACCTTAAATAAGTTTTTCCAGGTGAAAAGTATGTATTTGTACCTTTTCTTAACCTAAAGTTATAAGACAGTACAATAAAATAAAAAACCTGGAGGCGAGACGTTGTTTGCGGAGTCAACACAACTTAGAAAATATAATTTCAGTGGATTATGGTACAGTTATGTTTCCTGACTAAAGATACTGAGACGTACCCTTGAGGGTCCCAGCCCAGTGATAAGCGAGGTACTGCCCCAGTGATGGTTTCATATCTTTTATTTTTGAGAGTTTATATTATTAACACACTTAAAAAAGACGGTTCCTCAAGGATTTCCTTAGTAAAGGGAATGGGACTATTCAGAAATAGTCATGTATAGAACCATTTCATGCTTAAAAGGTTCTGTGCGTGGTGAAATGGTTCTTCAGATTGATGGATTAATGTGTTGTGTACGGTTCAACATAGAACCTTTCGGAATAGAGTTCTATATAGCACCAAACAGGGTTCTTCTATTGTTACAAGCTTGACATCCCAACAATAGCAGAACCCTTTTTGGTGCAACACAGAACCATTTTCTAAAAAGATTCTACATAGAAGCATATACAACACATTCTCCATCACTCTAAAGAACCATTTAAGCATGAAATTGTTCTATATACACTTGCATAAAGATGGCTCATCTTCGGTTCATTGGTTCTATTTAGAACCATGAATTCTATAGAACCATTTCATGCTTAAAAGATTCCTTGCATGGTGAAATGGTTCTTCAGACTGATGGAGAATGTGTTGTATATGGTTCTACATAAAACCTTTTTTGAAAAAAATGGTTCTATATAGCACCAAAACGGGTTCTGCTATTGTTACAAGGTAACGAGCATAACATTCGCCATCATTTCGTTTCACCATGCAAAGAGCAATAAAAGCAAGCCAATGGTTCTATACACTGTTCAAAAAGATGGTTCTTCAAGGGTTCTTTAGAAAAGAAAATGTTTCTATGAAGAACCATTAACACAGAAAGAACCAACAGAAGAACCCTTTTGGGTGCTATATAGAACCCTTTTCAAAAAGGTTCTATACAGAACCGTCTACAGCACATTCTGAAGAACCCTTTAATCATGCATGCAAAGGGTTCTTTGAGTGTTCATGGTTCTTTACAGAATCATTTTCTTTCCTGAAAATGAACAATCTTTTTAAGAAGGTATAGAACGCATGGTTCTAAACAGAACCACTACCTTTACCAAACCCAAAATCTTTAGTGCACAACCCCTAACACTCACTCAGATCTGTGCATTAGGCTGTAGTAGAGACTTCCTCCTACTCGATTTTTTTCCATTCCACCTTAAACTGCGGAGCAGTAACGCCAGAATGTAACCGCTGCACCATTTAAGGTGGAACACGAAAATTCGAACCAGAAGCTGGCGAGAGAGGAGCTGACTTCAGCCTCCTCACCTGTGCAGTTTATGTAGTCAAAACTTACCAAAGGTCAGGCAGTCAGGGAGCACAGCCGGACTACAGACGGGTCTGAAGAAGCTCTCACCTTAAACTAACGCCGCTCCGGTCGAGCTGCTTTCGATCTGGATTTTTTCGCCCTTGAATTCTTGCTGAGTTCTTCACCAGTCAGTCAGGCAGGCAGTCAGATGCGTGTTTGCTTCCTGTAGCTGCTGCTGGCCCTCTGCACGGACTTGTCGAGGCAAACAGGGCAGGTCGACCTGAGCCGACTGCTTTCTCTATCGAAACTCAGCTTTCATTTTGACCGAAACCGCTGTTTGTGGTTTGTTTTGTATCGGTGTTTTTAGCGCTCGGTGCTGAAGCGTATATTTTCCCATGGAAAACGTCAGCGCAGGGGGGCGGGGCCTGTGCGCTGCTGCTTCTGTTGCCCCCTGCTGGCAACATGGAGGCATTTTTTTCTGTATCCGAATCAGAATCACTCTTAACATTTTAAAGCCCATGTGTCTAACAAAAGGCCTGAGGTACAATTCTGTCTGAATCTCTTTGAATCTGAATGTCTTTACTTTTCTATTAATATTTACAATGCACCGCACTACAATCCGAAACATGCACTGCATGTACATTTCTAAATATGGCACAAATGTCCAAATATATTTTGAGGCCACTGTGTGTCCACTAAATGTATTTTTAAATCAGATTTATCACTATTTTACCATCATTAACATTCAATAAATGATTTTGGCTGAAAATGTATTTTAAAAAGTCATTCATGGTGGAGGGATACATGCAGGGTGTTGTGAGACAAAATAACCCCCAAAGAAAACATATTTGTTCAGCCTTTCCACTATTTTCCCATCATCATCATTCCATATAAAACTCAGAAGACACATGTCGGTTCACTGTTGTTTATAGATAGTAAATAAAATGTCTATATTTGTGTTGTAATCATGGCAACCCCTGGTTCCTATCAGGTTCCTAAAGAAATCACTGTCCAAAATTCAGAGCTCAGTTCATTTATTTGGTTTTCAGTCAAAATTGTTTTTCACATTTCAGTGTTAGAAAAAAGCAAAAAACATATATTTAACATAAAATCACACAACAACTAAATCTAATATTGGCGGCACGGTGGTGCAGTGGGTAGTGCTGTTGCCTCACAGCAAAAAGGGCCTGGGTTTGATTGTCGGGTGACCTGGGGTCCTTTCTGTGTGGAGTTTGCATGTTCTCCCCGTGTCTGTGTCTGTGTCTTCACCCACAATCCAAAGACATGCAGCAAGGCCAATTGGACATGCTAAATTGCCCCTAGGTGTGAATGTGTATGTGAGTATGAATGTATATGTCTGTCTGTTTGCCTTGCGATGGACCAGCAACCTGTTCAGGGTGTATCCTGCCTTCCGCTCAATGACAGCTGGGATAGGCTCCAGCACCCCTGTGACCCAGGATAAGCGAAATGAAGGATAAGTGGTTTAGAAAGTGTGTGTGTGTAAATCTAATATCAGATGATTGAGTGTTCAGTGTGTCACTCTTTACCTTTATTACAGCTTCCATTCTTTTTAGGAGACTCACTTTCAGTTTCTCAAAGAAATCTGCAGACACACCTAAAAGTTCAGTCTTAGAATTTGGTTGCATTTTCTGCTTCTCACCTCCACATCATCACCTCCACATAATGTTCTAAAAAGTTCTACACTATTAAAAATGATGTTTTTTTAAGAGATCTTTTGTAAACAAAATGGCTCTATGTAGAACAATGAACACTCAGAGAACCCTTTGCATGATTAAAGGGTTCTTTGCATTGTGAAAGCGTTCTTCAGATTGATGGGGAATGTGCTGTAGATGGTGATATTCAGAACCCTTTTAAAACGGATTCTATATAGCACCAAAAATGGTTCTTCTATTGTGACTATGTCAAGCTTGTAACAATAGCAGAACCCTTTTTGGAGCTATATGGAACCCCTTTTTCAAAAAGATTTTATATAGAACCATCTACAGCACATTCTCCATCAATCTGAACAACCTTTTCATGATGCCAAAAACTTTTTAACCATGCAAAAGGTTCTTTGATAGTTCATGGTTCTATATAGAACTATTTTACTAAATAACCTTTGAAGAAACATCATTTTTAAGTGTGTAGACCAATTAAAGGTTTCTTCTTGAACCGTACATCCACACCAGGAGCCATTGTATTTGTAGGTGTAAGGTTGCAGAAATTAGGCGTACATCATTTCAAAGTGTAAAAAAATTCAACACTCAAAAGTCTTTTTAGGCAATTTATCTCTCTATTTGGTTACAACCAAGAGTCCAGACTGTATGTCTTGAATACTAGACAAATGGTCCTGCTAAGCATTTCTCTCTTCTAACACTCCTACCTTGTTGGTCCACATTGTAGATGTAAAGTCAGAGACACTAGCTCATCTGCTGCTGCACAGTGTTGGTCATCCTCTAGTCCTTCATTAGTGACGCTGCCCACAGGACACTGTTGGCTGGATATTTTTGGTTCTCAGTCCAGCAGCGACACTGAGGTGTTTAAAAACTCCAGCAGCACTGCTGTGTCTGATCCACTCATACCAGCGCAACACACACTAACACACCACCACCACATCAGTGTCACTGCAGTGCTGAGAATGACCCACCACCCTTAAAATACCTGCTCTGTGGGGGTCCTGTGGGGTTCTGACCGTTGACGAACAGGGTAACAAAGTATGCATAGAAACAGATGGACTACACAGTCTGTAACTGTAGAACTACAAAGTGCTCCTATATGGTCAGTGGAGCTGATTAAATGGACAATGAGTGTAGAAACAAGGAGGTGGTTTTAATGAAGTGGTCGGTCAGTGTATGTCCACCATAGGTTTAGAGACACTTGTTCCAGAGTGTCCCATTCTTTTGGAAAAAGGATGCACATTAAAACATAACATAGTGTGTCACTTCTATATCCAGTTGTATTTGATACTATGTGAATGATCCAAATGATTGACTGAGAGGAAAAGACAGCAAAACACGTTTTACTTATGTGTTTTGATGCTGGTATGCTGGTCAACCAGCATGACCATGCTGGGGTGAGCAGCTAAACCAGCACCAGAACAACACAAGACCAGCATAAACCAGCATTGACCAGCTTAGACCAGCATGAAATGCTTGCTGGTCTGTGCTTTTTTTTCAGCAGGGATTTGTTTATTTTTGTCCAGATTTTTTTCATGTCCATTTGTAATTGTATTTTGAAGGTTATTATAAGATTTTTTAAATATATTGCTCATAACTGGATTTATGCAAAATTGTGTACTACAAAATGACAAGAAAAAGGTTCTGTAATAACAGCTCATAGTGTAAACAATAAAATTTCAATGATTTGTACTGTAAAATCCTCCCTTTGTGTAAATGTATGCATATTTAAGCAGATGACCTCTCAGTTGCATTTCTTTTCCAATACAAAAAATCCCCACGGGAAAAGTTTGTGGACTAAAATCTGTGTCACTAGAATCTGAACCTGAATTTATGATGCTTGAAAAAACATCCATGCATAATTTTATGCTTTTGAAAATTTTCACTGTGAATTTTAGATATTTGAATATACTGAGTCTGAATTTACTGCTTTAAAATTCAGTTCTTGAAAAATTCAGGTTAAAAATTTCAGGTCTTTAAAAAGTTTCAAAAATATGACCTGAATTTTCACCACCATGCCAAAATTAGGTGTTGCATTTTGTACAGTTGGGATTTTTTAACCTAAATTTCTTGCTTTTATGAAAATAAATTTTTTTACTGCCTGATTTTTTATAAACTGAATTCCTTACTATCTGATTTTTTTCAACCTGAACTTTTATGACCTGAATTTTTTAACCTGAATTTTCAAGACCTACATTTTAAAGAGGTAATTCAGACTCATATTTAAATATCTAAAATTCACAGTGAACATTTTCAAGCACATAAAATTACACATGTATTCAAGCATCACAACTTCAGGTTAAGGTTTTAGAGACACTGATTTAACTTCATGAAAGTTCCCTATGGCAAAGTGAATGATAAGTCAATGTTTTGTATGCAACCAGTAGGTAGCGTAGTGCTGCACTTTCCCTCCCCCTTACAAGCTCTGTGTTTGCAATTAAACTCCTTTGTCAGCACTGAGTGCACCTTATCATAGCTGAATTAATTGAAAAGGGTGTCCAGATGTTTTGGAACAATGTGTTGATTTGGTTCTTTTGTAGAAAAGGACTGTGTTCTCTGCTCCCCTCTTAAGTTACACTCAAGAAATCCCAGGATCCTTTGCCATGAGTCCTCTTGAGCTGCTGCGTGTTCTGCTAGCTTTCCTCCCCACTGGGTAAACACTGAAATGACACAAACCGCAGGTTTAATAATAAAAAAAAATTGCTGAAAATATTTTTTATTTAAAGGAGAAAAGGACACTTGCATTTAGTAGGCCGCTTTGCCCACAAAGAGGTCCGGGCACAGGGGGTGTATGGAGGCTCGATCAGGTGACCCGCACCAGGGTAAGAGACACGAGTGAACAGGTGAGATTTGCCAACAGCCAGCAATCTTTTCTCGATCTACAGCACAAGTCAGGTGATTGTCATGTTTTACGTATTTCGTTGGCTCTTTGTTTCCAACCTCTCTTTATTGCAATTAAACAGCCTGTTTTTGTTACTACGCCTTTAAGACTGATATATGTAAATGAGCTCTATTCTGATTGGCTGTCCTGCATTTCAGTCTGAGCTGAAACACTCCTTATAACTTCAGCCTGAGTTCAGAGCTAAGCTGATGTAGACTGAACAGAAGGTGAATGGGCAAGGCTAAACTGATGTAGTCTTAATAGAGTGTGCAGGGGTGGGGCTAAACTGATACAGACTTAATAGTGTGAATGGGCGGTGCTAAACTGATGTCGTCTTAAAAGAGTGAGAATGGGTGGAGCTAAACTGATGTAGTCTTAATAGAAGCTGCGTTCCAAGGCCTAGGCTGCAGCTGAGGTAGGGCAGGTCCTCGGTAGGACTGTACTGTGAAGACTCCTCCTTAGTAGCCTATTGAACACACAAATAGAACAGTCCTAATGAGGCTGAGTGGTGACGTCGCCAGAGAGGCGCAAAACTCGTGAGAGAACTGGTGAGAGAAAATGGAGCTCGTTGCATTGTGTTTGTTGCTTTTTCATTTCTTCACAAAAACGGAGGAAACGTTCTTATGTAGTACAATAAACTACGTATATACAAATACTTCTAAATAAAATACGATATAAGGGCGCATTATGATACATGGATGAATTCTTTAATTAATCAGTGATTTTACAGTTTATAATGTAACAAAGAAGAATTCAAGTATGTAAACAATTTACATTTTAAAACAGGCTCTGCTCCAACAGCTTCGTTTTCCTCTATTTTCGTTGTGCTGTTTTTTTTTCTCCTTTGCGTCGTTATTGTGCAGAGAACTGTGGGTAACTGAAGACCGGGAAGGATACATCTGATGGGTCCTTCAAATCACTCCGAATGTAGGCTGAATTTCTAGGCTGTATATGAAGGCTGCTTTACTTCGGAATGACCTGATATGACACAGCAGCCGAGAAATGCAGCCTAGGCTTTGGAATGCAGCTAGAATGTGAATCGGTGAAGCTAAACTGATGTAGCCTTATTAGAGTGTGAATGCATTGAGCTAAACGGATGTAGCCTTAATAGAGTGTGATGGGCGGGGCTAAACTGACGTAGACTTGGGCGGAGCTAAATTTATGTAGCCGTAATAGAGTGTGAATAGGCAGAGCTAAACTGAAGTAGACTTAAAAGATTGTGAATGGGTGGAGCTAAACTGATGTTGCCTTAATAGGGTGTGAATGGGTAGAGCTAAAGTGATATAGACTTAATAGAGTGTGAATGGGCAGAGCTAAACCGATGTAGCCTTAATAGAGTGTAAATGGGTGAAGCCAAGCTGGTGTAGACTTCGTAGAGTGTGAATGGGTGGAACTAAATTGATGTAGACTTAATGGAGTGTAAATGGGTGGAGCCAAGCTGATGTAGACTTCGTAGTGTGTGAATGGGTGGAACTAAATTGATGCAGCCTTAATAGAGTGTAAATGGGCAGAGCTTAGTGGATGCAGACTTAATAGAGTGTGAATGGGCAGAGCTAAACTGATATAGACTTGGGCGGAGCTAAACTGATGTAGACTAAATCGAGCATGAATGGGTGGAGCTAAACTGATGTAGCCTTAATAGAGTGTGAATGGGTGGAGCTAAACTGATGTAGACTGAATAAAGCGTGAATGGGCAGAGCTAAACTGATGTTGACTGAACAGAGTGTGAATGGTTGGAGCCAAACTGATGTAGACTGAATAGGGTGTGAATGGGTGGAGCCAAACTGATGTTGGCTAAATAAAGCGTGAAGGGGCAAAGCTAAACTGATGTAGACTGAATAAAGCATGAATGGGCGGAGCTAAACTGATGCAGACTGAATAAAGTGTGAATGTGCAGGGCTAAACTGATGTAGACTGAATATAGCGTGAAGGGGCAAAGCTAAACTGATGTAGACTGAATAATGCGTGAATGGGCGGAGCTAAACTGATGCAGACTGAATAAAGTGTGAATGTGCAAAGTTAAACTGATGTAGACTGAATGAAGTGTGAATGGGCAGAGCTAAACTGATGTAGACTGAATAGAGTATGAATGGGCAGATCTAAACTGATGTAGACTGAATAAAGCAAGAATTTGCAGGGCTAAACTGATGTAGACTGAATAGAGCATGAATGGGCAGAGCTAAACTGATGTAGACTGAATAAAGCAAGAATTTGCAGGGCTAAACTGATGTAGACTGAATAGAGCATGAATGGGCAGAGCTAAACTGATGTAGACTGAATAGAGTATGAATGGGCAGATCTAAACTGATGTAGACTGAATAAAGCAAGAATTTGCAGGGCTAAACTGATGTAGACTGAATAGAGCATGAATGGGCAGAGCTAAACTGATGTAGACTGAATAGAGTGTGAATGGGCAGATCTAAACTGATGTAAACTGAATATAGTGTGAATGGACCATTGAGTACTTCATAGTGTAGCTCAGTGAGCAGCACTGCTTAAGGACCCAGCACACATTTACTCACTATCAACCCATCAAGGTATGTTAAATATGTTAAACACAGCATCATTGCACTCTCATAACTGATTGGTAACTACCCCAAAAGCAGATTTTTACCATAAAGCGTAATTGATGCTTTATTGATGGCTGACTGTCTCATTTTCCATAACTTAGGTGGCCATGCTTCATGTTAGTATGGCACTCGCCACCCCAGGCCACGACTATTATGCTTCTGGTCCATTTCTGGTGATGACCCCACGGCCAAAAAACAACCTGCTCACCTCGTCTGCGTTCACCATACTTGCACAGCTTAAGTCGTCCTCGCCCACAATGTACAGCAGGGGGCACTCCAGCTTCTCAATCTGGACAAGTTGAGCCAAAAAAGAGACATCAGGAAAAGCCAGTGCAAAGACCAGTCAGAGAGGAGAATTGCCACTCTGTAATGTCTTCCGGGTTTCTCAAACACTAGAGGGCGCTCCAGAGCGAGTCCAAAATAAATGGGTAAAGATGGAGCATTCAAGAAAAATCATAGTTTATAAATGATTAAACATTTTTAATGTAAAAGAATATTTTTCCTGAACACCGGGCAGCATAAAACATTTTAAAACTGCTGTTATATTTTTAAGAGCTTTTAAACTCGAGTTTAAAACGGCGCCTCATGGATGGTCATGATGTCTGTGAGCGTGAACAGCCAATGAGCTGCTCCGCTCACCAACCAATCAGCACTCAGTAGCAGTAATGCTAACCAATCAGCACCCACTAGCAGTAATGCCAACCTTCTTCTGGCCAAACCCGTTTGCTGTAGAGACAAGGAAATATATAGGTGAGTTTTCTTTGCTTTTTTAGTGAAATACATCCTTCTCCTTTCTAAAATTAAAGGAAAGTTCTGGGCGAGTGATTAGAAACTATTTTAACTTTTCGTTTTTAGGCGTTGAGCTCCATTCACTCCCATTCATTGAGGACTCGCTCGCGGGCGCCCTCTGCTGCCAGGCTCCTCATGAGCCGGCTCTGGCCCAATCTCACATCCCCATTCTGATTTCACGTCCCAAAGACCCTCGGCAAGAGTTAGCAAGTTAGCACATTTTCATTGTCACGCCAGTACTGTTAACTGTAAACCATGTCACTGTTTTAATTCAGTTGTGTGTTAGTTTTGTTGCGTTATAAATATATATTTAAATATACAAAAAGCCAGGCACATACATATCTACCTATGCCTTTCGAGGTTCATCCCAGAATTGTTGATTGACGGATGTGATATGTATGATTCATCCAATAAAACTGCGAATACCATGAACGGAAACTAGGGGAAGTAAGATTAGGATGGGAATGTGAGACTGGGCACCACATCAGTTTATGAGGAGCCTGGCTTTTACCTATTTCCCCAGTTATATCAAAAACCTGACTGCAAAATCGCCAGAGGGCACACATGAGCGAGTCCTCAATAAATGGGGTGAATGGAGCTAAACAGCTAAAAACAATATGTTAAAATAGTTTCTTATCACTTGCCCAGAATTTTCCTTTAATTGTAGAAAGCAGAAGGATGTATTTCACTAAAAAAATGTGTTTTTCCTTTTTTCTACAGCAAACGGGTTTGATGCAGCAGGACGCTAACATTACTGCTACTGAGTGCTGATCGGTTGGCCAGCGGAGCAGCTCATTGGCTGTTCACGCTCACTGATGTCATGGACGTCCACAAGGTGCGTTCTGAACTTCTATTAAACTTCTATTAGAGCGTTGGTGAGTTCAAAAGTGTTAAAAATATAACAGCAATGTTAAAATGTTTTATGCTGTTCTGTGATCTGGAAGTTAATATATTATTTTACATTAAAATGTTCAATCATTTATAAACTATGATTTTGCTCAAATGCTCCATCTTAACCCATTCATTTTGGACTTGCTCAGGAGCGCCCTCTAGCGTTTGAGAAACCCGGAAGACTATACGGAGCGGTAATTCTCCCCTCTACAAATTCTCTGCATCAGCCACCTTCTCGGATTTATGCTTCAAAACTGTTGAGAATTTCATGTCCTATGCTGAAAACAGTGATGCATTGTGTACATCATTTCCACATCAATACAATGTATTACATCAACATCACTGTGTCTTTCAGTTTACTTACTTTTGTTAATAACTGTGTCACTGTAGTATTTTCTCTGTTTTCATGTGTCTAAAATGTGTTTGTATAACTTGTCTTAGCCTAACAGATTCACAGCATGATCATTTTAAATTTGCATGGTTAAGATGTAAACAAAGTCATTCAGAGTCAGAATTGTTCACAGTGGTGGTGATAGGAACCAGATGTCCACCTCTAAAAGCTCCCTCACAGAAAGTTATCACACAATGGTTAACTGCATGATGCCTGAGACATTGTTTTACGATAGTTCTGAAATAAATGTTTTGGTCTAAATTAAACTTATTTTTTTAATTATTGTGTGGTACATGCATTTCATATCAAACCACTCTGAATGACTTTGTTTACATCTCACCAAATAAATTATGTGATAAATATAGAAAATCAGCGAAATTCTTCTTTATGGTGACTTGAGAATAACCTGAACATTTGACTGTGAAAACTCACCTGAACAATGTTAGCAGGTGGAAAATTGCTGGGCAAGGATGCTTCCCAGAAGCTCAGGTAACCTTGCTGATTAACACCCCAAAGTTTTTTGCCTCTGTAGACGTAACATAGACACTAATCAGCCGTAACATTAAAACCACCCCTTTGTTTTTACACTCAGTGTCCATTTAATCAGCCCCATTGACCATATAGGAGCACTTTGTAGTTCTACAATTACAGACTGTAGTCCATCTGTTTTCAGGCATTATTTGTGTGGTGGGTCATTCACAGCACTGCAGTGACACTGACGTCGTGGTGGTGTGTTAATGTGTGTTGCGCTGGTGCGAGTGGATCAAACACAGCAGAGATGCTGGAGTTTTTAAACACTGAGTCCACTCACTGTCCACTCTATTAGACACTCCTACCTTGTTGGTCCACCTTGTAGATGTAAAGTCAGAGACGATAGCTCATCTGCCGCTGCACAGTTTGTGTTGTTCATCCTCTAGTTCCTTATCAGTGGTCACAGGACGCTGCCCACAGGACGCTGTTGGCTGAATGTTTTTGGTTCTCAGTCCAGCAGCGACACTGAGGCATTTAAAAACTCCAGCAGCACTGCTGTGTCTGATCCACTCACACCAGCGCAACACATGCTAACACATCACCACCACGTCAGTGTTACTGCAGTGCTGAGAATGACCCACCTCCCAAATAATACCTGCTCTGTGGGAGTCCTGTGGGGGTCCTGACCATTGAAGAACAGGGTAACAAAGTATGCATAGAAACAGATGGACTACAGTCTGTAACTGTAGAACTACAAATTATTCCTATATGGTCAGTGAAGCTGATAAAATGAGTGTAACAAAGAGGTGGGTTTAATGTTATTGCTGATCGTTGTACATAATGACATTCATGTTTATTTCAGAACTGCTAACTCATTTCATTATCTACTCACGTATCACAAGTAAGTCGGTCTTCGTTGGCTAAGCTGTTGTAAACCCCCAAAGGCCCGTTGATGCACACCACACATTTGGGCTTGACAATTAATGGAAGAAAAAAAATGCTGCATGTTGTGTTTTGCATGATATAAAGCATACAACAGCAGACAAACATGTCCAGTTACATTCAGACATTTGGGTGCCCTGTTGAAATGACATGTTTCTGTTGATCTTACTGAGAATATCTTTTACAGGGAACACTCAAATATTGCTGAGTTAAATATTGAAAAACAAAAAAAATAAATACAATAAATTGTGATACAGCTTTTGTACAGGCAACAATTTCCTATGTTAAATAAACAGTAATTGTGCATTAAAATGTGCAGACATGTCATTTAACCAGGTGAGCCTTTTAGCCACACTTAAAAAAGCAGTGCATTGAATTTAAGTGCACACCATTTCCACATGAATAAAATAATTATTGTTAAAATAATTATTAAATAAATTAATAAATCAACTTTTCAAATATATCAACAACAATTAACAATGCATCAACATGTTGTTCTTCAGCTGATTTACTTTTGCCAATAATTGTGTATGTAATTTAAAAATTTAAAGGGCCCGTATCATGGAAAACTGATTATTCCACACTTTCTGGGAGGGTTTCATGTAGTATGTTAAGTTTCAAAACATACCTTTCACTCCCCAGTCCACACAGTCCACATATGGAAATTACACAGGCAATTCTGAATTTATTTAGTTTCGTGATGTCGCAAAAACCAACCTGTACATATATCTGCCTATTCAGCCTATAGAGGTTTAGCCCCACCCATTCACCCTGAAGCTATATGGACTATTTCATCAAGGACTGCTTTTTAATTGAGGCTCAAAACAGGGCAGCCAATCAGAAAAGAGCTCATTTACCAACATCCATCAACAAAACAGCCTCTTTATTACCTCATGGGACACAAATAAAACAGAAGAAAAATGTAAGATATGGGCCCTTTAACATATTTGTAGAAAGGAAATGCATTACTTTTTTCAGCATTCATATTAGTAGCTGCCTTATAATATCACCTGTAAATACTTCTAATTCTTGAATTTTGAATTCATGTTTGCAAATGATACAGAGATCCAGAGAGACACTTATAAGTAGATAATAACAGATGTTTTGTGTGAGTTTCTATGTGTACTTCTATTCAGAAGTTCTTTTCAGACTTGTTTTAAAAGGCAGGACAGCAGAGATGAGCATATTAATCTAGAGGTGGTTACTTACACTGACTGAAGGATACATGGCCATCCGCAGGGCTATGAAGACCCCAAACGAAAGGCCTATAATGGCCATCCTGTTACCACACACCTGTGGATGGTCCTGAAGAACACGCCATGCTGCCTGGAGAACACAATTAAGAAAGCTATTCATCAAATTCATCATGGTGATAATTAGTCTGTGTTCCAACTGTATATCAAACACTAATTCTGTCATAATCCCATAGAGGGTTGGGCTGAATATTAAATACACTGTCCTAAATCAACAAAATATGTAATTTGGCTGGGGAGCCTAAACGTTTGCATACAACTGTATGTATATATCATTAAGTTTACCAGTTGCGAGAATATTTAAACTAACTTGGCATGGTCACGTTTGTGTATATATGTTGAAACAGTCAGAATTCTTTAAATTCATTTTGCATAGCTACATACACTATATGGACAATAGTATTGGGACGCCTACACATTACACCCACAAGAGCTTTTATGACATCCCATTCTAAATCTATAGGCATTCATTTGGAGTGGTTCCCCCCTTTGCAGCTATAACAGCTTCCACTCTTCTGGGAAGCTTTCTACAATATTTTGGAGTGTGTCTGTGCAAATTTTTGCCCATTAATCCAGAAGAGCATTTGCGAGGTCAAACACTGATGTTGGACGGGAGGGCCTGGCTCACAATCTCCATTAGGTGTATGATGGGGTTGAGGTCAGGGCTCTGTGAGGGTCAGCCAAGTTCTTCCATACCAAACTCACCCAACTATGTCCTTATGGACCTTGCTTTGTGCACTTGGGCTCAGTCATGCTGGAACATAAAAGGTTCCTCTCCAAACTGTTCCCACAAAGTTGAAGCATACAATTGTCCAAAATGTCTTGGTCTGCTGAAGCATTAAGATTTTCCTTCACTGGAACTAAGGGATCTAGGCCAAACCCTGAAAAACAAGCCCATATCATTATCCCTCCTCCACCAAACTTTACAGTTGGTACAATGCAGTCAGGTAGGTAATCTTCTCCTGGCATTTGCCAAACCCAGACTTGTCCATCAGACTGACAGAGAGAGAAGTGTGATTCGTCACTCCACAGAATATGTTTCCACTGCTTCAGAGTCCAGTGGCGCCGTGCTTTACACCACTCCACCTGACGCTTGGGATTGTGCTATAAAGCTCCCGGTGCAGTGTTTGTACTGATGTTAAAGCCAGAGGAGGTTTTGAACTCTGCAGTGTTGATCAGCAGAGCATTGGTAACTTTTATGCACTATGTGCCTCAGCACTCAGCAACCCGCTCTGTAACTTTACATGGTCTGTCACTTTGTGGTTGAGCTGCTGTGGCTCCTAAATGCTTCCACTTTTCAATAAAACCACTCACAGTTGGTCATGGAATATCTAGGAGGGAAGAAATTCCATGAATTGACTTGCAACAGTGGCATCCTTTTACAGTACCACAGTATAGTACCAGTACTTTTGTCCATATAGTGTATAACGGAAAATCTATGATGTGACTGCCTATATATGATTACTCAAGGCTAGACCTTGAAATAGGAGTCTCCAACAGTGAAGTGATTTCGGGGGCCTGGAATGTCTTTATGGTTAAAGTAGGCCAATGCCAGGCTAGCCAGACCACGAGAGGCGAACAAAGCTGCTCGATACTCCACCAGGCCTCCGCCAATTCCCCACAGGTCCAAAACTCCAGGAAACGGACCTGGACCTGGAAGAATAAGCCACAATTTACTTTCAGCATTCATTAAAATATAAGTCACTTGGAAAGCTTTTTGTTCAAAGTAAAGTATTCGCAATTCTCATCTAATGAGTTTAAAAGAATGTTATTATGATTTTGCGCTAAGTCCTCCATTGCATTTATGCACCTTCAGATATATGTTCATTTTCCAATCTCGCTTGATACCTTAGTGTTAAACAGGCTGTTTTTGTTACTGTGCCTGATATATGTAAATGAGTTCAGTTCTGATTGTACCTCATTCAAAAATCAGTCTGGGCTGAAACACTCCTTATAATATCAGTGTGAGTGGGCAGGCTCAACTGCTGTAGGCTGAGTAGTTGTATATATGTAAATGTATTGGTTTTTGTGATATCACAAAAGCACTGAATTAAAAAAAGGCTGTTTTTTGCAGCTTTTTTTGCTCCATGTGTGAACTGCATGGACTCAGAAATGAACTTAACCCGTGTTGGCTGTGAATAATTGCCCCACGCCGTTGCAAAGAGGCCCACCGTAGCCCCAGAACAGAAACTATGGCCTCATTATGGCTCCGGCTAAAAAAAAATCATAGGATCGCCACCGGTTATGAAAGTGAGGAATTAAAGTATTGACCTGTGTAAAGATTTGTACATTTTAAGAGTTACAAATCTATCATTATTGTGATAAATTGTCACAATATTTCACAATAAACTTTTCTGAGTGTATTGTGAATATCGTTGGTCCTTAAAAACCACTTTCCAACTGCTAGTTTGACTAAAAGAGAGCAGATTTCATCCTGCTTAATTGTATTTAGCGCAGCTCAGCATTGAAATGTGGAATACAAAACAATGTATCCACAGTTTTCGTTCCAACTAATCATATGTCTGAAAAAATATACGTGACATATGTATTGTGAAAACCTTTTGAAGTATTGTGACATTACAACTTTGCCATATGTGTTCCAGTTTTGAAGAGACCTTTACAATATTATTTTCTCAATATACGACAACTGACAGTTTGTTGCAATGCGACTTTGAATTCGATCACCTTGACATTGTTAATGCCATGATTTGCTAGATGAGCTACAGGAGCACAACGGAACTTCTTTTAATCTCATTTCCCTTCCAAACTCACCTGGAGGCAGAAACAAGGTTCCCACAACTTGGTTCTGACATATTTCTATTCTCTGGACCCCCGGGGCCTTGTACCAGCGCTGCACTGTGACAGTGGCCAGCTCCTGCTTTCCTATCATCTCTTCGTCTTCAGAGGAATCACGCAATAAAATGTGGCCTTCCAGCATGGTCACATGTACCGTATATGGAGTGTCCACATTTTTCTTCCGTAATCTGAATACAAGGAATAGAATTGAGGTTAAAGTTTAAATTGTGCTGAAATAGCAGATTCTAAACTTTCAGTTCATACCATGTTTGTGTTTGTAAGGCAAAGAGGAGATATTTATAAATATTATTATTATTTATTTATGATTTGAATTTATGATCTTTTGGAGAATTTTACCAGTTAAGATGTAAACAAACTCATTCAGAGTGGTTTGGTGTAAAATGCTCTGTCAGAAATGTTCACAGTGGTGGTGATAGGAACCAGACTTCCCCTTCTAAAAGCTCCCTCACCGAAAGTTATTACATTAAATGGTTACGAATACATTCCCTGATGTCTGAGACATTATGACAGTTTTGTCCTGAAACATATTTTCATGATTCCATTCATGACAGAAAGGTACTTGCAGGGCAGTAAAGGGCAAAATAGTCACCAAAGAAAAAGATTTTCCACTATTTTACCATAATAAACATTACATATAAAACTCAGAAGACATGTTTAGGTTCACTGATGGTTTTGGATAGTAAATAAAATGGCTATATTTGTGTTGTTGTCATGGTGACTCCTGGTTGTTATCACCACCATTGTAAAGAAATCTGAACCATTTCACACCAAACCACTCTGAATCACTCTGTTTACATTGAATTATGCAGAAATTTTGAAAAATTGGTGGAATTCCCCCATAATGTTGTCTTTTCATCTTTAGTTAGCTATCCTAAATGTGGTTGTATTTTGAGCTATCCTAAATGTGGTTGTTGTATACAGGTCACTGTAGGAAAAGGTTGAAAACCTGAACCTGTCAATATAGAATGCAAATCAAAGCAAATGTAATTCATTACACAACTGTGCTGTTTATCATGTAATTACACAATTACATTAATAGAAAAATGACCTCAATAAGATGACCATCTTTCCCTTCTGTACCTTAGACCTTCTTCCTGTCCACGTGCAGGCTGCAGACTCCAAAAGAGTCCCATTGGTTCACAACCAATGTATGAGCCGCCCATAGACGAATCCCTGGTCACTGTTAAAGAGGGAGAGTTTTAATTCTATTAATCAAACTTTTGGCCTAAATATGACACAGATTTAATTATTTCAGAGCAGTGTGAAAATGAAAATTCACAACAGATCTTTTCAAACTTCTTTCAAAAACATTGCAATTGTGCCCATTTGACCATAATGAGAGCATTCAGATCTGAATCCAGGGCTTTGCTCACATAGCAGGGCAAATTAGACTAGTTATATAAATCAAGTTATATACTATATACTAATTATATAAATAAAGTTTTTAGAATAAGTGTTCAGATTGTAAGTTAAAGGAGAGCAAATCTACACCCCCATTTCCAAAAATGTTGGGATGCTGTGCAGAATGTAAATAAAAATAGAATGCAATGATATGCAAATCATGTAAACCATATTTTTAAAGGAAAATACAACAAAGACAATATATCAAATGTTGAAACAGAGAAATTGTATTTTTTTTTTTTTAATATATGTCCATTTCTAATTAAATACCAACAACACGTTCCAAAAAAGTTGGGACAGTGGCATGTTTACCACTATGTTTCATCACCTCTTCTTTTAACAACACTCTGTAAGTTTTTGGGAACTGAGCAGACCAATTGCTGGTCTGCTCCAGCAATTTTTGCCAATGCCTGTATATATCATTCAGCATTAATGGTGCCTTCACAGATGTGCCAGTCACCCATGCCATGTGCTCTAACGCACTCCCATACCATCACGGATGCTGGCTTTTGAACTTTGTGCTGATAACAAGCCTGATAGCTTTTAGCCCGGAGGACACAGTGTACATGATTTCCAAAGAGAAGTTTTGATTAATCAGACCACAGGACACTTCTCCACTTCACTTCAATCCATTTTAAATGAGCTTGGGCCCAGAGAAAGTTGCAGTGTTTCTGGATTGTGTTTATGTACGGTTTAGAGTTTAGAGTTTTAACTTGCATTTGTGGATGCAGCAACGAACTGTTTTCACAGACAGTGTTTTTCAGAAGTGTTTCTGAGCCCATGCAGTGATTTCCCCTACAGAATCATGTCTGTTTTTAATGCTGTGCCACCTGAGGGCCCAAAGATCACGGCCAGCAAATACTAGTTTTTGGCCTTGTCCATTGCATACAGAGATTTCTCCAGGTTCTCTGTATCTTTTAATGATATTATGTACCGTAGATGATGAAAAGCAAAAGTTCTTCGCTACTTTACATTGAAAAACGATATTCTTGAATTGTTACCTTATGTGCCCCTGCAGTCTTTCACAGTGGTCAACCTCTCCCTGCTTTTTTATACCCAATCATTTTATTGACGTGCTGCCAATTAACCACCAGGTGTTTTTTTTAGCATTACAAAAAGTTACCAGCCTTTGGTTGCCCCGTCCCAACTTTTTTGGAACATGTTGTTGGCATCAAATTGAAAATGGGCATATATTTTTCAAAAAACAATAAAATTTCTTAGTTTTAACATTTGATATGTTCAATGGAACCAGCTCATATGTATATATATATATATATATATATATATATATATATATATACATATCATATACTATCATACTGTAGATATATGATGCTTCCACTGAAAGCAAAATTTTGCTTCCATTCAAATTCATTCTATTTTTGGGAAATATTAATATGTTAATTTTAATAATCTATTAATTATGTTAATCTTTTCAGTTGCTCACAGTCAACATCCCCGTTCTCATCAGTGTGGTAATGAGACATGGATTCCCATAAGTTTCCGTTTTCACAGCGCATCCGTGCTCGAAAGGTTACAGGTGAGTTGCAGGGCAGGTAATGGCCCTTCAGAACAATCTGCTCGTCCATCAAAGCACGAGAAGGCGTGGCGGTCAGCAAGCGAACCATTCTATCGGTCACTCTCCACCTCATCTGACCTTGAGAGAACAGGTACTCATCAAAAAATTCCAAAGTGTTCACTATCAATAGCTCAGCCATGGCCCACCCTTTTTAGAGGACACCATCATGCAGTTTGAAAGAAGACAGAAAGACATAACTGCTGTTTTATTCATCAGTTATTCATCTTAAGACTCAAAGAGGAAATCAACCGATTTTTCTGAATTTTGGCATTGGTAAATCATTAAGATATACACAAAGTCATTTAGAGTGGTTTGCTGAAATGCAGCATTCTGGAGAAACTTAATGAGTCACAGTGTTGGTAATAAGAACCAGACGACTGAAGGGTTTAGTGCTTTTAAAAATGAGAAAAAAGAGAATGCATTTTTTTCTGATTTTCCACTATTTTACCATCATTAACATTCCATATAAATAATCAGAAGACACGTGTAGGTTCACTCGTGGTTTTGGATAGCAAATAAAATAGCTATATCTGTGTTGTAGTCATGTTGACCCCTGGTTCCTATCACCACCACTGTAAAGAAATCTGAACCATTTCACACCAAACCACTCTGAATCACTCTGTACATCTCAAACACTGAAATATGCAGAAATTTTAAATCAGTGGAATTCCTCTTTAAGTTAACCTCACTGAAATGACTTACACAAAGCTTATAAAGTCTTTCTGAAAAATCAGTGGAATTCCACTATATATAATTATAAATTATTCAGTAACTACTGTGAAACTAATGATTATATTCTGCAATTATGAGAGTGTAGAGCTGAAGTGTGGGTTTTTTAGGCTTTAAACCCCTTTAGCCCCTTTAGCCTCTAATGTATATGGATATACATTTCCCCACTTTCATATCTACATAACATACATATTGGTATATAACTTCTATTGTAATACTTGTGAACAATTCATGCTTATCACCTCCTGTTTACTGCATTTCATTGACCTGTACTCTTCACATCGACAAGTTGAATCTAATCTAATCTAATCTCTGTTCTCCGTGTAGGATCTAGGAAGCTATGTTTTCTGTGTGCACTCTTAAAAAAGATGGTTCTTCAAGGGTTCTTTATAGCACCAAAAAGTTTCTTCTACTGTGTCACACCCTTTTGGTGCTGTGAGGAACCCTTTTCAAAAAGGTTCTATATAGAACCATCTGCGGTGCATTCTCCATCAATTTGAAGAGCTCTTTCATGATGCAAAGAACGCTTTATTCATGCAAAGGGTTGTTTGAGTGTTTATGGTTCTATATAGAACCATTTTATTTACGAAAGAACCCTGGAAGAACCATCTTTTTTCAAATGTGAATGGTACAGGAGTCTTTGGTCTAGTTCTGTCCTTCTTTATCTTGTTCTGCTTCTGGTTCTTGGAACACAGCCAATATGACTTCTTAGAAAGAGCTGGTGAGATCTGTACTCATCAGTAGATGAGTACAGATAGATAGATAGATAGATAGATAGATAGATAGATAGATAGGTAGACAGATAGATAGACAGATAGATAGATAGATAGATAGATAGATAGATAGATAGATAGATAGATACTTTATTGACCCCAAAGGAAATTTAGCAGAATAAATTGTACAGTATTTTAAACATCACAAGAATAAAATTAATGGGGATTTCTGCTGACTTTTCAAAAAATTATTTTAACCGACTGGTTCCTATCACCACCACTGTGAACAATTCCTTTGATTTGCACTCTATATTGACAGGTACAGGTTTTCAACCTTTTTCTATGGTGGACCAGAAAATCAAAAATACAACCACATTTAGGATAACTAGCTAAAAGTTAAAACACAACATTAAGGGGAAGTCTGAGTGTTTATATGTAAAGCTTATGATAATAAAATAGTGGAACATCTGAAAAACATATGTTTTTGGGGGGCTATTTTGCCTTATAATGCCCTGCAAGTACCTTTCTGTCATGAATAGAATTAAGAAAATATGTTTTAGGACTAAACTATTGTAATGTCTCAGACATCAGGCAGTGTACTCATAACCATTTCATGTAATAACTTTCTGTGAGGGAGCTTTTAGAGGTGAACATCTGGTTCCTATCACCACCACTGTGAACAATTCTGACTCGATACGTTTCTCTAGAACGGAGAATTTCACACCAAACCACTCTGAATGAATTGTTTCCTGAATTGAATTATGCCACAATTTTGAATAGGTGGAGTGACTCTTTAAGACATTTCTGTGTAAAAACCTGCTGTCAGTGTATTACAGTAATTATGACAGAAATACTGTACATAGGAGTATATTCTGTACTAAGCATCTGCTTTGAGTAAACTACTTCATTCTGCTTCCATAAGGTCTTTTTTAAAAATAGTGATCTATTCATTTAATTAAAATATTCGTTTTCAAATATTAATCTATTAGGAAAAACATTTAGTTTAAAAAGATTCAAGAAAAAAATTTACTTTCAGTTTTAAGCCTAGATCCATCATCCTACATATGTCTTCACAATGCTTAATATCTGACCAGAATAAACAGTCCAGATATCTTACCGGTGTGCCTACAGTTCATTCAGGTCCTTCTGCTGGAAGTCACTCTCCAAGCAAACAGGCAAAAGCATTTATACTGCGTCTGACACAGGTTCGACAATACTCCCCACATTATCTTCAGATCTGTAACTTCTTATTTACATTTTTCTCAGAGCCTCTCTCAGGCTGACACTCCACTCCAAGTGCCACAAAACCTATACTGCATGCAGCTTGATGACCTCAGTTTAGGTTGGATGGATCTAAGAGCATCTGAGGGCATGTGTATTTAAGGAGGAGCTCGCCATGATAACTGGTCAAATGGTTTGGCAATCCACAGTTCACAACTTATTTAACTGTGCATGCGCATATAGAGACTGTGAACAATTCTGAGTCAGTAATTTCTCTAGAACAGAGCATTTCACACCAAACCACTCTGAATGACTCTGGTTACATCTTAACAATTTAAATATGCAGACATTTAGAAAACTCATTGGCATTCTTCTTTAAGCTGGAAAGCAATGATTTATAAATATACTGTGACCTGTATTTGAACAAAAACAGTACAAAGACAAAATACATAGTGTTTTATCTTGGCAGCATCATTTCTCTTTAAATATACATTAAATCTGAAATTGATACCTGCGACACATTCCGAAAAAGTTGGGACAGGGTCAATTTAAGATGAGGAGCATTATAAAATGTTCAAAAACACCTTAAGCAAGTGATGCAATCATGCTTGGATATAAGCAGCATCCAGGAAAGGCCGAGTCCTTTATGTACAAAGATGGGTCGAGGCTCACCACTTTGCCAAAAATGCAGGAGCAAAAAATCCAACAGTTTGGGATTTTTGGGTATTTCACCCTCATCACATCATATCACAGTGTATAATATCTTCAAAAGATCCAGGCAGTCTGGAAAAAGCTCTATGTGTAAAGAGCAAGGCCAACAACACAAGTGAATGCCTGTGACCTTTGATTCCTCAGAAGGCACTGAATTAAAAATCAGCATGCTCCTGTGATGGAAATGCGATGTCCATAATCACAGTTCATTGTTGCATCCACAAATGCAGGTTAAGATTGTTCTATGACCTGCCTGCAGTCCAGACCTGTCTTTCAATCAAAATGTGTAGCTCTACACTACAATACTACAATGAGAGCTCCGTATGGTTGCACAGTTGAAGACCTGCATAACAGATGAATGGCAAAAAATTACGCTTCAAAAACTGGATCAGTTTGTGTCTTCAGTCCTCAAGTGATTGTTAAGTGTTGTTCAAAGAAAAAGGTGATGGAGCACTCTGGTAAACATGCTCCCGTCCCAACTTTTTGCAATTTCTGGCAGACATCAAATTTGGAATGAGCAAATATTTACAAAAAACACAATGTTCATAAAAAAAAACAATAAACATCACATTTTTGTGCTGTTTTCAATTCAATGCATGCTAAACAAAATTTACTAATCACTACTAGTTTACCAATCACTTTCTGTTTTTATTAGCATTCCATACACTGTCCCAACTTTTTTGGAATCAGGTTTGTAGCATGATGTACTTTTGGACAGATAAGATAAGATCTGGTCACCCATTTTCAAATAAACATCTGCTTATTTGAAGCAGATAATTGAAGTGCAACTTTTGCAGTTTGCAATGGTGCACTGCAAAATTCACTCCTGATCTGTTTGAATGGCTTTAGAAGCACTCTATATGTCAATCATCTTTGTGCATACAGGTCGTTACAGATGATTTTTGACAAACACCTAAAGCATATGAGTCTACTAAAGCTACAAGCATTTCAGTTTTGATTCACTGGATATGATACTGTGTGAATGAAACATCCTCGAGGAAGAACAGGCGATAAGGAGCACTTGCTGTTCCACATGGTAGCAGATTTTTACATGCTCAATGGAAAACGTGTGACAAACAGCTCCCACATATCCAACTATATTCTAGTTCTGTTCTACTTATATTAGGTCTTATTATGCTTCTGGTTCTTGGAGTACAGCCAGTGTCGCCAGAGAGATCGCTACTCATTATTTACATTAAGTAAAAAACATGCAGATGTGTTGGCAAATGAATGCTGTCAGGTGATGTCTTTGCCGTAGGCAGCCGCCTAGGGCCCCCGTGAGCCAAGGGCCCTATAAAAATTCAAATTAGAAATACTGTACATGTTCAGCGTGGATAAAAACCAGTTTTGAGATTTTAATGAAAAAAGGGAGATCCAAACTTGTAGTAATTAAACAGGCGACGGTCAAAACAAAGGGAGAACGAACATAAGCCAAAAGAGACTGTCGTGGAAAAAAAATCTCCATAGCTTTGCTCTCGACACAGAACAAAAAATAAAACAGGACTGGCAAGAAATAGCACAATTCTTTCACTGAGGATTAAGGCTTTCCAGCATCAAGCGTTAATCTAGAGTAGGCCTGGGCACAACTGACAAACCCACAAAAATCCACGCTTTTTATACTCTTTTTGGGCCAGGAGGGGTCAACACCTGGCTCCTCCTTGTCCTTTCCATATATTTCAAACTTTTGATTTGCACACCATTCTCTCCATAAGTCACAGCTATTTTCGCCACCCTTATTTCCAAACCACGGAGTAAAATATTTTTTTAAATGTTGAAGGCCAAGGCTGCTCTCAGGCCCAAACCTTCAAGCTTTATTTTCTTCATCTGTTACATTTCGATTGATATGTTTTTAATTTATTGCTGCTACATATGTACTTTTCCTCCTTTCCCGTGATAATTTTAATGTTCTGATGATATAAAAAGACTTCAGCTGTATGTGTGTGTCCCACCAACTCACAGCCGACACCTCAAGGCCACTCACAGACACACAGCCAAACTGTTCATCCACCATATAATACCTACATGGGAATAATTAAGATTCAATTCATCTACTACTTTAGAAAAAAAATGTATATTATCAGGTCAAAAAACACAATCAGAGTCAAAAACGAGAAAAGGCAAGTACAAAAAGGGCTAGGCAAAAACGGAGTCAAAAAACAAATCAGGTCAAAAACGTGTGTGTGTGTGCAAAACACATTTTATGTAAAGCACATGGGAAAAACTCTGCTGTAATTTTTAGTTATTTCATGCTGTTCCTTTCTGTTACTGGTTGGCAGTTTTATGGGGGGGGGTTGTTCATTTAATTCTTCTGATAATATGTTTTTGGGGGGATTTTGGGGGGTTTTGTTTATTTAATTCTTCTGATAAAATGTTTTTATAAAAAATTAGTTATTCAAATTAATACAAAAATTAATGCAAAATCCTCAGTGTTATTTTGGCTCTCATCACCTGCTTTACTGTAATTCTTGATCATAAATACTGCATATAAGAATACAGCCAGCAAGCACCTACCTGCTTCCATAAGGACTTTTATTGTGTAATATTTTTTCAATAACTCACTCTTTTAGTGAAAAAGACAAGTTATAAAGACTGTTTTCCTGAAAAAAAGCATGTTTTCAGTTGACAGGCCATATCCACTTATGTCTTACGTCTTCCCAAAGCTTAATATATGACCTATGTGTACGAGGAGCGGAGAAAAAGGGCGAAAAGAAAACTAGTTCCTATTCTACACATACATTATGATACATATGAAAATTACTGGTTAAGAAAAACACTAGTTATACTAGCAGAGGAGCTTACTAACTAGTTACATTTACACAAGTACATATACTTCAGTAAAATAAGGATGGATTTGTACTCTACCTGAGTTTTTTTCAAATCATAATACTTTTACTCCTACTCAAGTATATTGTCGGTAAAGGACTGTACTTTTTACTCAATTACATTTTTGCCATTCATATATTGTCACTAATTCCTTTTTGTGTTTAATTTCATTGTTTTGTTGGTGATGACACCTGTTCTGCTTTGTGGTTGGTCACTCCTCTCACGTTAGAGCTTTAGCATTTTATTTTAGACCAAAAGAATCTCAAAAACAGAAGAATATAGTGTAACAATCTTCAGTTCCTGTGCTGACTGATGCTGGACTTACTAAGAAGTTCCACTGCAGTTCTATAAGTTACTCAATGAGTATTTTTTGACTTGATACTTTCATATTTCTATTCAATTTCTTTTTTTGGGAAAGTAACTTTATTTTTCCTTGTACCATTATTTTACCCAAGTATCAATCCTTTTACTTGAGTATTGACTTAGACTACTCTACCCACCTCTGATATCAATGTTTTCTTTATCTAAGGATAGATTCTCAAAAGGAAATTCAGGGTCAAGATCCATTCAGCCCTGGTTAGCAGTATGAGGTGTGCAAAAATCCTCTGGGTGGCACTTTAATTCCATGAATTGTTCTGCCATGACTACAACACACATATAGCCACTTTATTTACAATACAAAGCCACCAGTGAACCTATATGTGTCGTGTGAGTTTTTATGTGGAATGTTGTTGATGGAAAAATAGTGATAAATTTTTAAAAATAAGTTTGGGGACTATTCTGCCTTACAATACCCTGCAAGGACCCCTCCACTTTGAATGCATTTAAAAAATACATTTTAGGAGAAAATTTTTTCAAAATTATCCAAAAAATTGTCTCAGACATCAAGCAGCACAATTATAACCAATTCTTGTAATAACTTTATGTGAGGAAGCTTTTAGAGGCGTTGAACTCTTCAGAGGTCTATGAATTTTCAAATGGATTGTTTGACATATCTTGTGGAGTCCCACAAGGTTTAGTATTAGTTCCTTTGCTTTTCTCTTTCTCTATATTACCTCTAGGTGATAACACTTTTTATAGTTTTTTATAGTGTATGCTGATGACACACAAATTATACATTTCCATTCCCTCTAAAAATCAAGACTCTGTTAACAGGCTGACCAGCTGTGTGTCAGATATATTTTAGTGGATGAAGATTTTTTACAACTAAATCAAGAACAAACTGAATTATTGATTCTTGGTATGAAAACTCAGAGAAAGCCATTTTATGAGAAGCTCGGCTCCGTAAGCTCATATACCAAACCTGAAGTAGGAAACCTGGGTGTGACTCTGAGCTCTGTTTTATCCCACATCACGTTCAAAGTTCATACAAAGTTCAGAAACTTGTTGCTGCTGTTTGTTCAGCAGAGTTGATCACTGCAATGATCTGAAAACGCAGCTTTTTAACTGTTTAATTAAAACTCCACATCTATTTGGTATTTATTTCCTAAATGATTTTAAATTAATACTTATAGTATTTCTGCTCTATGTTGGCCCCCTGACAGCAAAGCTGGTGGCCCACTGGCTTTTTGCTCAGCATTTTGCAGGGTGGCCCACTGGTAGTTTAGCAGAACACTTTTAATCACTCGTTTTACACTTCGTCCAGTTTACTAATTTTTCGGTCTTTAGGTATCCTTTGTAAATATGTTTAGTAAATAATTTTAACAACGTCATGAATAAAGCTGGTTATACGGCTGTAACCAAACTAGCACAGTGTCAGCAACAATATTTTCAAATAAATATTTTTATTTTAGACCTAGTCATTTTTTTTCTCTCAGTTGTTTGTAATTTTTGTCTTCCAAATAAAAGCCTATGTGCATTTACAGTCTCTTGGAGGAGATTAGATTAGGTTAGACCTTGTATGCAGGACAATACTCTGGGTGGTGAATGGATTTTAAAAACATGTTTTAGGCCTTAACCATTCCATGTAATAACTTTCTGTGAGGGAGCTTTTAGAAGTGGACGTCTGGTTCCTGTCAGCACCACTGTGAACTATTCTGACTCTGTGAGTTTTGCTAGAATTTCACATCAAACCACTGTGGATTAATTTAAATAAAATTTGCATTAATTTGAATAATTATTTGCAGATGTGGGTGGAGTAGCCTAAATCAATACTCAAGTAAAAGAACTGACACTTGGGTGAAATAATGACACAAGTAAAAGTAAAAGTACCTTCAAATATAAGAATCTGAGTTAAAGTACAAAAGTATCAGGTTAAAAAAACTGCTTAAATACTGAGTAACGCATAGCACTGCAGTCGCACGTCTTAGAAAATCCAGCATCTATCCACACAGGAACTGAAGTTTTTTCTCTTTTTTGGATTATTTCAGTCCCAAATGAGATGCTAAAGCTCAGAGTCAGAGATGTGACTAAACACAAAACAGTGCAGATGTTTTTACCAACAAAACAATGAAATTAAACACTAAATATGAACAGATAAATGTAACTGAGTAAAAACCAGGTTGCTTTACTCACTAATATACTTGAGTAGAAGTAAAAGTATAATGATTTGGAAACACTCAGCAGACTACAAATCCATCAATATTTTACTTAAGTACATATAGTTAAGTACATTCATAAGAAGCCCCTAAGGGGCCGTGGTTAAAAAAAAAGTTACTGATGTTTTGCATTCCCTCGCAAAATATAAGCTCGTCAGACAGCAAGCAAACGTAAGACCAGAGGTGCCCAATGACGTTGCCTACATTAGAGCTTTGTTTTTAGCATAGCTAACATTAAAAGCTGTTTTCCCAGTTTCGCCAATCTGCTTAGTTTATTCAGCAATAGTTCTCTGTAATCTCTGTAAATGTAGCTTTTACTGTACGAGGAAACTCGATCTCAGTTTCAGTTGCGCTCACTAAGAGCATAATCATGTTTGATTTTGAGAAGCGTCTTTATATTTCAATCCAAGATCAATGTAAAATTCAGTGAGCTGCTTCATGTCTGAGCTTAAGCAAAGCACAGCTTTTGCAAGCGAATGCAAACCGTTGCATCGTAATGCAAAACATTTGCGAGGGAAATTTTTTGTTTGCAAGAGAACGCAAAACATTTGCGAGGGAACTCAACGTCATTAACTTTTTTTAACCACGGCCCCTTAGGGGCTCCGTACATTTAACTATTTAACGCCATCAGATTACTAGCTATGCAGAGATTTCGAGAAATCGGTCAAATTTCCCTTTGAAAGTACTAAATGCAAACGTACTGTATACGAGCTCGTCCTCTGGGCGGCGCTTTAATTTTAAGGGTCGCTAACGTCGACAGCGGTTTTTACCCGGAAGCGCTCCAGTGTGTGGCTCGGCTTGTTAGTAAAAAAACAAAAATTATTGTAGAAGTAAATTTCTACACTTCTCTGAAAGGACGGAGTGACTTCAAACACGCCTCAAGCTGGAGTAATGCTTATTCAGGCTGAGGTAATTCGGATATTAAGCTGCGTGTTTGCTTTTTTTTCGCTCTAGCTGGTTAACGTTAGCATTAGCTGCCGTTTTGTTTTGTTTAAACAAAGGTTGGCTGCTAAGAGCTAACTGGCTATCTCCCCGCATAAAACCTCTCAGTGAACAGACACACTGACAGCGCGGTACGTCCTCGTATGTATCACAGTATGTATTTTATATATTCGCGTCGTCCTTCGGGTATTGTAGCTGCTGATAGCGGTGAATAATGATAACGTAGCCTCCGGCCACAATGATTTGACAGGCTAGCAGCGTTAGCTAGGTTAGCTAAGTAGCTAGGTTAACTGTCTAAAGTCGTTCTCTGACAGTTTAGTCATTATAAGCAATTCATTGAGTTTAGTTATGTTCGGTTGTCTGTAATATAAGGGTTTTAATGCATTTCAGTGAATATTTTCGTCGTGTAATGTTAAAACAATGACATTTCATTGTTTTTTTTTAGATAAACACGCCCACTCAGGAATCAGGTATTTCAGATATCTGAGCCCAAAAGTACGAAGCTTATAGATGACAATGTTCCTCTCATTGTCCTTCAGTTAAATCTTTATTTTCCTCACGTTTTGACAGGGTCCTGAATATATATGACAATCATTGAAACTTAAGTCTTTTTTTAATAGTAATGTTGGTGCTGGTCTGTGTTTAAATAACACACACACATACACAGCTACCATGTATGCCAGGATTAGTGTCTCCCAGAAATAAATACTGTATAAGTACAGCGAAGTCAGAACAAGCTGTGTCATGTTTGTAAGACATTCTTCGAAGGGGAATTCCACCAGTTTTTCAGAATATCAGAATAATTACATTTTGGGAAAATGTAAACAGAGTCATGCAGAGTGATTTGGTGTGAATTGATTGATTGTAGAGACTCAAATTTCTTTACAGTGGAGGTGATAGGAACCAGGGGTCACCATGACTACAACACAAATATAGACATTTTATTTACTATCCAAAACCACCAGTGAACCTCTCAGTTTTTAAACATTATTTTGACAATGGTATAGTAGTGATAAATCTGAAAAAATAATCTTTCGGGACTGTTTTGATGATCCTGATTCTACCTCATGAATGCCTCTTAAAATACATTGAAGGCCAGTACTTTCTCAAACCTATCATAAAACAATGTCTCAGGCATCAGGCAGCGTATTTGTAATTATTTAATGTAATAACTTTTTCCGGGAGCTTATAGTGGAAGGCGTCTGGTTCCTCTCACCACCACTGTGAATGATTCTCAGTAAGTTTCTCTAGAACTTCTTAGTTGTTGAATTGTGCTTAAATGTTGAAAATTCTGTGGAATTCTCCTATAGAATGTAGAGTAGCAGCGCTCAGGAAGCACGAGTTCATTATTTCTAATTAATGCCACCAGAAGTATGATCAGATACTGTGACAAATTTGAAAATATTGCGGTGTTGGATTTTATCTATACTGCCCAGGACTAATAATGATATTTCTTACATTTGTTTTGGTGCTATGCCATTTTGTAAGCTAACATTTCCTGTAACTGTGTTTTCAGATTTAAAGGTGTAGCAGAGGCTGTACTGGTTGAAAATCTGCTCTCTGAAAATAATGCTTGGCTGATATTAGAACCAGAACTGAAACAGAGTCATGGACAAAGGTAAGTCAGGATTGATTGATTGATTGATTGATTGATTCCTTTCGTCCCTTCCTCCCTTCCTTCCTTGCTTCCTTCCTTCCTTCCTTCCACCCCTCCCTTCCGTCCCTCCCTTCCTTCCTTGTGTTCCTCCCACCCTTGCTTTCTTCCTTCCGTCCCTCCCCTCCTACCATCCCTTCCTCTCTTCCTTCCTTCCGTTCTTTCCTTCCTTCCTTCCCCCTTCCTTCCTTCCGTTCCTCCCTCCCTTCCTTCCTCCTGTTCCTCCCTCCCTTGCTTCCTTGCTTCCTTCCTTCCTTCCACATCTTCCTTCTGTCCCTCCCTTACTTCCTTCTGTTCCTCCCTCCCTTGCTTTCTTCCTTCCGTCCCTCCCTTCCCTCCTTCCGTTCTTTCCTTCTTTCCTTCCTCCCTTCCTTTCGTCCGTCACTCCCTTCCTTTCCTTCCCTCTCCCTCCCTCCCTCCCTCCCTTCTTTCCTTTCCTTCCTTCTCTCCCTCCCTTCCTTCCTGACCTTCCTTCTCTCCCTCCCTTCCTTCCTTTCCTTCCTTCAGTCAGTTTATTTATAACCATTAATTTAATGACTTATTGTGAGGGAGATTTTTTCTCATCAAATCACAGAGAATGACTTTGTTTACATCTTGACCATTTAATTCTGAAATTAAATTATGCAGTGGAATTTTTAAAAATCAGTGTAATTCATGTCCAGTGGCTTTGCAGATTCAATAGAATAAAAAATGTTAATGCTACACTCTTTTTGTTTAATATTGCTTGTCAATGATGTTTGACCTGGTTCTTCATCTGTATTCAGATGTGAAGGCAGACATTGCCTCTGCAATGGTTGGAGGGGCATCTGTTGGAAGTATGATGGCACAGAACAGATCTGAAGATGAGGAGTCAACAGGTGTGAAGGATGTGAAAAGAACGGCGGCTCAGGCATTCAGTGGCGGCGGGCTGGTTCCTAAAAGGAGGAGTTCTTCCAGGTATGTCGTCTTTCATTCCATTTGCTTAAACGTAGTATCGCATTGTTCAGTTGTTTCTCCTGTAGACTTATATAGTAAATAGAGGTTGCTAAATGGTTCTTGGACATACAGTTCCAGGCAAAGACCTTTTAATTGGCTAAGAACATTTACTTTTATGAGACAAGTCAGGCTTGGCGCACGCTAATTTAACTTCTTAAAATTCTTCATCTCTTTTTGGAATTAATCTTTTAATTTAATTTCTTATGATTTTAAATTCATTCTCTTAACATTTATTTGTTACACTTTTCCCTCATATTGCTGTTGCTGAACATTAACTATAACAGAGGACAGTCTAACTCTAGAAAACTAGTTCCTACCCTACACATTCATTAAAATACATATAAAATAGAACATAATTAAAGTGGTAGAAAATTCTTACAATAGATCAACCTGGTCACCTATCTATAAAGCAGTTTGAGCTGCCACTTGTGCTCTCTAAATAAAGTCATTATTACATTATGTGGAGATTCTTCATGCCCCTATTTCTAATTTACCATTAATGTAAAGCTTCTGTATGTGAGCAAAAGTGGTTCTTCTGTGGATTTAACCCTATTTGGACCTTTATTTTAAATAAGATGAATAAAATTTCAACCTGTGCCACCTTATTTAAGTAAAGAGAAAGTATTGTAAATGTTGAAAGTTAGACTGCCACATTGTATTACTGAAAGAGTATTGAACTGCGGTTAAATTATGCAACATTTATTTACAATGACTGAAGAAGATGAAATAAGCTGTAATCAATGTTGCTAAATCACTCACACATTGTAAAGGTTATCAAGCAGTTTGAACCCTTGTATTAATACAACTCCTTTGTTGTCTTTTCCAGATCGATCAAGAGAAAAAAGTTTGACGATGAACTGGTTGAGAGCAGCCTGGCTAAATCCTCAAGCAGGGTAAAGGGACAGCCTGTCATTGAGCCAATCAGATGCCCTGGAACTGAGCCGTCATCCAATGAGAAAAAGAAGGTAAGCAGTATAAATAAAAAAAAATGCTGTCCTGACTTTATGAAAGAAGAGAGCTTTTTTTTAAACAGCAGATCAGGGTATAGAAATCCTCATACAAAAAAAAGGGTTAACAAAAGCCAAAATGCAGTCTTATGCAGATGTTTAGGTTCCCTGCTCAAATTGCACATTTTGTTGATTTTCTAAGTGAAAACAAGTTAACACATTCTCTATGGGAAACTCACTTCTGCCCATTTTAATGCACAGTTACTGTTTATTAATTTAACATATTTGGGGAAGCATAAAATATGGCCTGTACAAAGCTTATGGCACATTTTAGATTAAATTTTTTCCAGTATGTTAAACTCGTCAGATAATAGACCTTTTGTGCTACAATTTGCCAAACATGTCATATTTAAATTTGTACCTTGTAGTGGATGTGTTGACTTATTTTCACTTATCAACATAACATGTAATTTGTCCGGCAGTATTCAGACATTTGCATGCAACTGTATATGATTCATGATCAATGATCAAGATAACTAGCAACGTGAGTGATAATGTTATCTATTGTTATATAAAGCTTAAGGATTCATCATTTTTACATCGAAATCGCAATTTAAGGGAATGCAATTTCCTTTTAAAGTTATAGCCTACTTTATCAAAAGGTTTTCTTAAGTGGGGAAATTTAACCTAATAACACAAAGCTTTTAAAAAACATGTAGATGCGTTAGATCTGTCAGAGGTGACCAAACCTCCATGCATTGTGACTTCACAACCACAACTTACTGGCAGTTTGGCACACTACATTCAGGGGTCAAGCTTCAAGCTAGAAAAAGTGGATTTTCTGGTCTGCTTGGCAAAAAAAAAGCCTGAACCTTAATTTACAAAAAATCAACGCAATTAAGATTGCAGCCAAAATATTAGCCAGAAAAATCACAATTAGGTATTTTCCCCAAATCGTTCAGAGTTTATAAGCAAATGATCAGTAAAAATGTATTTCTCTTTGTGTATTCCTTGTATTTCTTGTCACAGATTTCAAAGTCCGCCGCTTCCTTAACTCCTCCACCTACGATGGTAATCGCCCCTTCTCCGATTACCAAAAGAGTGAAGAAGAGCAAGCAGCCACTGCAGATCACTAAAGACCTTGGCCGCTGGAAACCCACTGATGACCTGTTGCTTATTAACGCAGTATTACAGGTTAGAACCTCTTTTGCATGTCGCCAGGGGATTTGCAGTGTAAAGGGTTAAATAGTCTATTATTGCATTTTTTTTGGTCGATTGGAGGTGTAATTGCTTGTAAAAAAATTAAAAAGTAGTCAGTGAATACGGAGAATACATTAATTAAACTTATCTTAAGAGTTTTAAAAGTTAAGGTGTTCACATGTTTCTCCGTTTTTCTCAAATCTCAGTTTTGAGAAATAACTGTTATAACTTATCAGTGTAGATTGAAATAATGTTTCCAAAAAAGTTGGGACGCTGTGCAAATAAAATTGTAAATTAAAACAAATGCAGCAAATACCAAATGAAAAACTGAGAATCTTATGTTTTTTTTTTCCTCCTTTTTTAAAAATATAGGCCCATATGTATTGTTTCATAATGTTGCAAATGTTTTTAGTGGATGACAGGTCTGGACTGCTGGCCGGACAGTTTAGCACCCAGACTCTTTTACTTTGGAGCCATGCTTTTGTTATACATGCAGAATGTGGTTTGCCATTGTCTTGCTGAGATAGTCTAGATGGCAGCATATCGCTGCTGTTGAAACAAATCCTTGTACCTTGAACTTTACAGGAGAAAGAAAAAACATACCTTTCTTTTAATGTAAGTCAATGAAACCAGAATTTTGGGTCGTTTCTTTCGGTCCACTCATCATGAAATTTACACATAATGTAAAGGCCAACAGGTATTTTCAAATTATGTCAGAAAAACAACAAAAATGGAGATACAAAGCTTTATTCCGACAGCAGCAATATGTTTCCAAAACCTGTATATATATTTCGTTCAGCATTAATGGTGCCCTCACAGATGTGCAAGTGACCCATGCCATGTGCACTAATGTAGCCACATACCGTCACGGATGCTGGCTTTTGACCTATGCGCTGATAACAAGCCAGGTGGTCTTTAGCCTGGAGGATGCAATGTCCATTGTTTCCAAAAAGAATTTAGAATTTTCATTTGTCAAACCACAGGACACTTTTCCACTTCACCTCAGTCTATCTTAAATGAGCTCGGGCTCAGTGGTTTTTTGTTTTTTTGTTTGTTTGTTTTTTTGTTTGCATGTTTGAGTTTTAGATTTCTACTACAGAATTGTGTCTATTTTTAATGCTGTGCTGCATTACAGCCAGCCAGTATTGGTTTTTGGCCTTGTCCCTTGCATACAGAGATATATCTCGATTCTCTGAATCTTTTAATGACGTCCCCAAGTTTCATGCTATTTTATGTTGAGAAACTTTATTTTTTAATTTGCCTGTGCAGTCTTTCACAGAGTGCTGAACCCCTCCTGATCTTTACTTCTGAAAGACTCAGCCTCTCTGGGATGCTCTTTTTTACCTAGTCATGTTATCGACCTGTTGCCAATTAACCACTAGGAATTTTTTTAGCATTACATAGCTGCGGCCGGCGCACTGCACAGTGGTGTAAAACTGTATCCACTTATACTGTTTTGTGTCTGTGCTGTTATCCGGTGTCGACCAGAGGAGGATGGGCTCCCCTTTTGAGTCTGGTTCCTCTCAAGGTTTCTTCCTCCTTTTGAGGGAGTTTTTCCTTGCCACTGTCGCCAAGGCTTGCTCACTTGGGGGCTTGGACCCGGATTCTCTGTAAAGCTGCTTTGTGACAACATCTCTTGTAAAAGGTGCTATATAAATAAATTTGACTTGACTTGACTTAACCAGTGCTTTAATGCCTTGTCTCAGCTTCTTTAAATTGTGTTGCTGGCATCAAATTCAAAATGGCCATATATTTTTCAAAAAACGAATTTTTGCAGTTTCAAGTTTCTCCAAGTGTTTCTTCTTTTCAAGTTTCTGTTTGTTCAACACTTGATATGTTGTCTTTGCAGTATGTTCAATTAAATATAGGGTTTAAATGATTAGCATGTCATTGTATTTTGTTCTTGTTTACATTTTGCACAGCATCCCAACTTTTCTTTTGGAAGTTAGAAAATTATAAATTACATACTGTTAGTTTTTACTGTAATTTCTTGATGCATTATCTGCCTGAGGTTTGATCACCACTTTTCAAATACGAGACATGCTGGATGGTGACTTCATTGTAACATAATTCTCAGTCTTACACAACTCTATTATTATGCAGTCAACTATAGCTCTGCTCCTCATTCTAGGCACATCTGGCAATATGTCTTAAATTATCTACAGCTATGTAAAAATTGGCACGTTCTAATTAGTAATTAGAAGCATATAAAGTGCTAAAGTAATATCAGAATAAAACCATGCACGTGTCTTCAACAACATTGCTTTTATATTAATGAAAACAAACTTTTGAATGGTTATTTCAAACCTTTTGTAGTGTTTTTGTAAGTTATGTAGTTGTGAGAGTGAGGGCTTGAAGTGTGGGACCACATGTGGCCCCCTGCAGTATAACATGTTGTAATTAAGAAATGATGCATATTGTTATGTTGCCTGCACATGTACCACACATTCATGTGATGTGTTATTGTGTTCAGACTACTGACCTCACCTCCGTTCACCTTGGAGTGAAGTTCAGCTGTCGTTTCACGCTTAGAGAGATTCAGGACCGGTGGTATGCTTTGCTGTACGACCCTGTCATTTCAAAGTAAGTGGTGTTATCAACAGCTTGAAAATGAATCTCTAATGTTATATTCTTGCCAAGCTAAAATGTTTTGCTACCCTCTTCTAGTCAGGTTTGTTCATTAAATAGATGAATTATCTAGAAGTGTGTGGACACCTGACCATTACATCCACGTGTGCTTACTAAACATCTCTTTTCAAAAGCAAGGGTATGAATAATAATATGTCCCACTTGCTGCATTAACAGCTACTACTCTTCTGGTAAGGCTTTACACTAGATGTTGGGATTTGATTGAGCATAAGTGAGGTCAGGTGCTGATGTTGGATGCTCAGTTCTGAATCACTCAAACTCATCCCAGAGGTACTGGATGGAGCTCCATCTCTCCAGAGAACACAGTTCCACTGTTCCACATACCAATGCTGGGAGACCTATACCACTGTAGCCCACGCTCTGCACTGGGCATGGTGACCTTTTACTGCATTTACATTGACGTGAAGTGAATTTTTGTTTTGCCTCTCATTCATTTCTACGGAGACAGGCGGCAGTTGTGTGCGGGGTCATTGTGGAAGTGGTAGCAGCTCGAAGCACACGGAAAGAGGGATTAAAAAGTGTTATGCAGATGAGAGTGGAGTTTTGCTGGGCAGCAGACAATCAGATTGCTAAAATGTGCCTCATTTTTTATGCCATGCATCTTCTCCGTGTTGAAACTACACCTAAAAATCTGTGATTTTGAAATGAGAAGGAGAAATTAGTGGGATATTTTTACGCTAGGTCACATTTAAAAAAAATTAGACCTTTTCTCACCTGCGTTTCGTCAGAGCACAGAACTAGCCTCAAACTGTACATAGATGGCTACACTTGCTTGTAATTTGGCAGCACCCTCAAAGCAGCAACATTAGGCTCATGTGCAGCTGCTCCAGAGAGCCCTATTGGTCAGTGCTTTTCTATGGCAATCATACACGCACTGTGAATGCCTGTATTAGCGATGGGTTCAGCTTAAAGAAGCTGATTTCACTTATTAGTAGGGCTGTTTGGATGCTTTTGGACATAGTGTTCCTCTGTAATCAGTAGCGTTACTGCTGTGTTAAGTTGTACTTCAACTTATGGCAAAATGTAATATGGCAAAAATATAATCACAGTACTTTTAAAAACAATTCACAATACATTGTCACCATTTTCTGACATCTGATATATTGGAACAGACAAAAAAGAAACAGTAGTGCACTCTTAAAGATGGTTCTTCAAAGGTTCTTTAGTACAGAAAATGGGTCTTTATAGAACCATGGACACTCAAAGAACCTTTTGCATGATTTAAACTTTTTTTTTGGCATCATGAAGGCATTCGTAGAACTGTGAAGTAGATGTCTGTTGTTACAATACTAAGCTTGTAACAATAACATAACCCTCTTTAAGTGTCCATGGTTCTTTGTAGAACCATTTTCTTTACTAAAGAACCCTTAAAGAACCATCTTTTTTCACATAAAAAAAAAAAAATATATATATATATATATATATATATATATATATATATTGTGAAACATGCAGTTCTAGAAGTACTGAAAATACTCAGTGTTCTCAGGAAATTAACATATTGTGTGTTGTAAAAGTTACATTTATTACAAGAACAATAAAATCAGAATGATCAGATTGCCCACCTCTGGAAGCAGCCATCCTCTACGTGAATTAATTATGAAGTGGCAATAAACTTCTGTTACTTGATATAATTTATTACAATAACAATATTGTTGTCCAGCCCTGCTCAATCCATGAAAATAGAGGGCAGTCAGAATAGAAAAATATTATTTCAAAAGTAAGCACCTATAATGCATGTATCTTTACCGCATTGTATCTGTTTGTAATGCTGTTTTTCTTTCCTCTTCCACAGGTTGGCTTGGCAGGCCATGAGACAGCTCCACCCAGAGGCTATCGCTGCAATACAGAGCAAAGCTCTGTTTAGCCAAGCAGAGGAGGCTCTGCTGGCTAAGATTAGTTCAGTGAGTCAGCATTTTTTTCATCTGGAACAGATATGTTCGCCAAGGGTACAGAATGTTTGTCTAAATGCCAATTCACAAGTTGCATCACATCTGTTATCACTTCTAGCGTGGGTGCTTTGTTTATTCTTTCGTTGTATTTCATCATTTTATACTTCTTTGTGAGTCTGTTTGTGGTTCTGGTGGGTTTGGTCAGTAACCACTGTTTTTTGTCTATGTGTCCCACTTTGAGTAGAACAGTCAGCCAAAACTGGAGGTGTTCCAGGACTTGCTGAACAAGCACCCCAGTGTGTTCTACCCATCTCGCACAGCTAAGAGCTTGCTGGTGCACTGGCAACTACTCAAACAATACTACTTACTGGATGACCAGAGTGGTGAGGTTATTTTGTTGTGGACCTTTCTGGGTAAAAAAAATATTCTTTAAGTTAAAACTGCTGATATCAGACAAATTCTTTCATTTGATCTTGATGTTAACGTATCCCATTATGGTATGCTTCTTTTTTTCAGTTCAACCCCTTCCCAAAGCAGACCAGGTTCTTAACTTCTCAGATGCTGAGCAGATGGTTGATGACGCCAAGCTAAAGTAATACAGTCGACACATCTTAATTGCATACACTACAGAATGAAATATTTAAAATTCATTAAACAGTGAATTTGTTGCTGTTGAATCAACCCTAAAAAAAAAAAAGAAAGAAACGTTATAATAAGTTAACGTCCTCTACAGGCAACACACTTAAATATGAAACCTTTGCACAGGACATATTTTATGTTTTTCCCCCAGTGTGTTAAATTCAGCAAATAAACAGCTATTGTGCATTAAAATGTGCAGAAGTGTGTTCTCTGTAGAGCCCATGTGTCAAACCCACGAAATTATTTTAATTTTCTATTTTTATTAGCCCGGTTCATCCTGAGATGCCCTACAGTCCCCAGCATGCACTGCAATGACCCCCTTCCGCCAACAACAATCTATGGGCCGGCGCTTAGATAAAAAGAAAAGATACCTGGTGTCTAGTTCAAGCAAACAGGGGGCCCACGGGTTGAGTTTGACACCCCTGCTGTAGAGGATGTGTTCACTTATTTTCACTTAGAAAATCAACAGAAACATGTAAAACAAAAAAACACAAAACATGTAAGGATATATGTAATGCCTAAACTTTTGCTTTTACATGAGTGTGTGTGTGTGTGTGTGTGTGTGTGTTTGGTTTTTTTTTCTGCAATGATGTAGTCACTTAAAAAGAACTTTGACTAATTGTGTTTGTTTATTTGTTTGTTTGTTACATTACTAAAATCCGACTGAATGCGGAACCATCAGAGACAGCAGGGACGAGGTACTGGAGCATGGTGAGTTCTAGTTTTATTCCATTTGGTTTTGTTCCCTAATTTGCATTACTGTATGAATATAGCAGTATAAATTAATAAACTGCATGCTTTCTTTCATTCATTCAGTCAGCAACTCTTAATCTTGCTGACCCTGACCATTTCCCCTTCTCCTTTTAGAGCTGATGGTTGCAGATAGGCACCAGAAGAGGGAGATCAAGCAACTGGAACAGGAGCTCCCTCGTTGGCAGGTCTTGGTGGACAGCATCACAGGTCATTTTCACAACCGATGTTTTTCGCCAGTGTGTTTATTTATTTATTTTTTATAATAAATTACTTTATTATTTAAATATGTCAGTACTGGTGATGAAAAAATGTCTGATTATCATTTAACTTGTTTATGAAGTAATTAAGTAATCTGATAATGGGTCTCCGGATCTGTGAGTCTGTCAGTAATCACATTTCTGCCTAAATACATGACGCCATGCAGTTCTACAGTTGCTTTGCAAGGCCAGTACACGCATGAGAAGAAGGATGTGATGTGTTGTTGCAGATGTGGTGTCAAGTCAAATATATTATAATTTTTAGCATTTTTATAATTGCTTTTATTCTGTTTTTGACGTGTTGAATTAAGTCTGTGGTATTTAATGGAGTTATGGCATAACTGAAGTTTGAGGAAAGACCACGCCTAAACTCCTCCTTCCCAATTTCAGCTTCCTATAAATACCACTCCTTCACTCCTCCCACTCGTGACGAAATTTCGCACCGACCCGGCTTCGTGCTGCTTACCTTCTATCATCTCGTCCTCATGGACCTCGACATTGTCGCTTCCGATGACGACCTCTTTGGAGAAAGCCAGCACCTTTCCTCCCAGGGATCCGCGCGTCCTGCACCCAGGCTCAAGTTCGTCGTCGCGGTTCCCAACACGCCTGCTGCCTCGGCTTCCTCCGGCTCCTCGTCTCGCCATGCTGGCTCTCGTACGGCGCACAGCGTCTCCCGAAAGAGCCGGCGTTCGCCCCCGTATCCCCCGCCCGCTCCGGCGCAGTCTCCGCGCACGCGACGCGCCCGTCGAGAGCCAAGGATTCCCACGACTCCCCCCGGATCCGGCGCTCCCGCGCCCCTCCTGCTCTAAATCTAGACCTCCGTCTATCTCCGATTGGACAGTTGCTAAACTGCAGAAGGTCCTTAGGGACCGGCACGTTCCTTTCGCCCGCACGGCGCCTAAGGCAGAGCTTTTCTCCCTGTACGTGCAGTCTCTCGGGAGTAAACAGCGCCTGCCTTCCGCTGCTAAGGCGCAGCCTGATCGCGTCACCTTCCCCACGGCCCCGGCGCGTGATGAAGTCACCGACTCCCCGGACGCCCCCTCGTCTGATGTGCCGCCCCCCGCTGGATGTCCCGGACCCGCTACCAGGCAGCCTGCCTCCGTTGCTGACCCAGCCAGCACTGTCGTCGCCCCCATTGCATGCCTTGCCTCTGTTTTTTCTCAGCTCTCTCCCCCTATATTTTCCCAGCCTTTTTCTGCCCCACCCCAGGTATATTTCTCTTCCTTCTTCTCAGCTTCCTCCTTTGTCATCCCGACCCCTCCCTTTGTCATCCCAACCCCTCCCTTTATCATCCCAACCCCTCCCCTTATCATCCCAACCCCTCCCCTTATCATCCCAACATCCCCTTTATCATCCCAACCCCTCCCCCCTATCATTCCATCCCCTCCCCCTATCATCCCATCCCCTCCCCTTATCATCCTTCCCCTTCCCTTCATCATCCCTCCCTGTTCCCTCATCATCCCAGCCCCTCCCCTTTTCTTCGTACCCGTTTCCTCCTTCTTTTATGACGTTCCCTGCTTGCCCTTCTGCCTCGTTTTCTCATCCCATCCCAGGTCTCCAGTCGCAGTCACTGCCAGCCCAGCCTCGGCCCCTCCTCGCCGACTCCTCGTTTTCCCTCTACACCGCTCCTCCTGCTGTCCCACCCAGCGAGGCCCGCCTCTTCAATCCACCTCTCGTCTCTTCTGCCCTGCGTGCGCGGATCCTCCAAGGTGCGGACGTCAGTCTCCCTTCATTACTTCACCCATCCGCTGCCTCCGGTGCTCCCCGTACCATTGACGCCGGCGACGTTTCTCTCACCCTCCAGTGTGCCGATCCTCGCACCTCTAAGGTCCTCACCGCTCCTGAGTTCGCACTCGCTTTTTCCATCTACCGTGATGTACTCTGTTCAGCCTTCCCATCACGGCGTCAGGAGCTGAATGACTATCTTTCTATCAACTTGGACCTCGCCGTTCGATTTGGACGGTCGGGTTTCTACGATTACCATCGTCTGTTCTCGGCCCGTGCATCTGCCTGTCTTCAGCAGTGGAACATGTCTACATATTGGGGCTACCTGGACCTTGAGCTCTACTGTTGCGTTTTTGCTGGTCGTACTGCTCTCTCCTGCGAGCTCTGCGGTTGCCCGTCTCACCCCGCTTCCTCCTGCAATCTCGTTGCTCCGCCCCCTCCCGCTCCCCGCACTGCCGTACCCTCAGCTCCTACGGCAGCCCCCGCCCCTATCTTTACAACTTCCAGTTCCCGCGATAGCCGCGGGCGGCGTTTGCTTTTCCTCGGGGGACGGATGGTTTGTAATAATTTCAACTCCGCTGGTTGTTTTTCTTCTTCGTGCAAGTTCCTCCACGTCTGCTCTCATTGTGGCCAGGCTCATTCTAGATCGGGATGTCCCCTTCACCCTCCTAAGTTTGGGCCCAAATGACTACTTCGGCATCTTTCTACCCCCGTCAATGTCCCTGCTCTTGCTGCTGACCTCTCCCTCCATCCTGATCATTCTTTCGTCTCGTATTTGCTGGACGGCCTCATCTTTGGCTTTTCTCCTGGACTTGCTGTGCTTCCTGCCTCATCCCTTTCATGTCGCAACCTCCTCTCCGCTCTGTCCGAGCCTGATGTTGTGTCTTCCCTTTTAGCCAAGGAAGTTTCGGAGGGTTTCATGATCGGCCCTTTTGCTTCTGCTCCCTTCTCCACCTATCGTGTCAATCCTATTGGCGTCGCCACTCGTAAATACTCCGGCAAGAAACGCCTCATCATTGATTTGTCTGCCCCTCATGGCTCTTCAGAACCATCCATCAACAGCCTCGTGCCTAGCTCTGATTTCTCTCTTCACTACGCTACCGTGGACAATGCTATATCGCTCATCAAGCAGGCCGGTCATGGAGCTTGGCTCGCCAAGGCTGACATTGTCTCGGCTTTCAAGGTCCTCCCTCTGCACCCTGATTTTTGGCATCTGTTCAGAGTTTGCTGGGATGGCAGATTTTACTTTGCAGTTCGACTCGCCTTCGGATGCAAAAGCAACCCCAAGATTTTCGACACTCTGGCCGAAGCCTTGTGTTGGATCTTGCTGAATGTTTGCAGACTACCCTACGTGCTTCACCTCCTCGATGACTTCCTCGTGGCGGTCCCCCCTTCCTCCCCGCCTGCATATGGCCTCCGTACCCTCTCCTCTGCATTTCAGCGTCTTGGTATCCCCCTGTCTCCGGAGAAGACATTGTGTCCATCTACCTCTCTTGAGTTCCTTGGCATTCAGCTGGACTCAGTCTCGTTTCAGGCTTCCCTTCCACCCGATAAGCTGGATCGCATTGCTACTGCCCTGTCAGAATTTGTGCTGCAGCCTCGATGCTCGAAGCTCCAGCTCCTCTCTCTTCTTGGGCATCTCAATTATGCAATTCGAATAATACCTCAAGGTCGCTCTTTTATCTCCCACCTCCTCAGCATTGCCTCCTCGGTTCCCTCGCTTCAACACCGCCTCTCCTTGGATGACGCATGTATCTCGGAACTCTGCTTCTGGCTCTTCCTCCTCCAGCACTGGAATGGCATCTCTTTCTTCTACGAAGACGCTACCCTAGTCCCTGAAGATCTGCAACTATTCACTGATGCTGCTCCCTCGATAGGCTTCGGCGGCTTCTATGGTGGCCGCTGGTTCGCTTCTCAATGGCCTCCAGAGTTTGCTTCGCTTTCATTTGAATCAGGCGATTCCTCTGCCTTGTGGGAACTCTACCCGTTCGTCATAGCCGCACTCCTTTGGGGACACGAATGGACACGACGAGTGATCCTTATCCACTCCGACAACTCTGCTGTTGTTCATATGATAAACAAAGGACGATCTAAATCCCTAACACTCATGCCATTCTTACGTCGCCTGACTCGGCACTCAATCAAACATCAATTTATTCTTCGAGCCATTCACATCCCAGGCCATTCAAATGCTATTGCTGATTCTCTCTCTCGTTTTCAATTTCAGAAATTCAAAGCCTTGGCACCTCAAGCAGAGCCTCATCCGACACCAATTCCTCCATTTTCAGACTCCATCCTCCAACTGACCAGCAGTTCTTTCAGCTCCTCCTCCAAGCTCAAGAAATAATCTTAAGCGCAGTTGCCCCTCGTACCCTGACGACCTATTGGTCCGGATGGAAATCTTTCCAGCGCTTCCACGCACTCCACAGCATTCCGTTCCCTTCAGACAATCTGTCAACGACAGCTGCTTACCTCACATTTGCCAGTTCATATTTAGCCATTCGCTCTTCCACCTTAAACGTCTATTTAGCTGGGATCAATTTCTTTACAAAGCTTATCAACGGAACCCAACACACAACAGCTAACCATCCCTCAGATTATACTTTTACTAAAAGGAATCCAAAGAAATGAACCTCGCCTTCCACCACGCCAGCTGCCCTTAACCTCTGACATACTCCACCACTGCATTCAGACACCCCGTGCTGGTCTCTTCCCCAAAGAACTATCCACTACATTAGAAGCCCTGTTTCTCCTCGCTTTTTCGGATTCCTGAGATGCTCAGAATATACAGCTCAAACAGAAGCTTTCAACCCTGCTCTACATCCCTGCCTATCAGACTTAACCATGTTAAACTCAGATACCATGACCTACAACATCAAACACAGCAAAACAAACCAGTTTGGTAAAAGCATTCCTTTGTACTTATTTAAAATCAACTCTTATCTGAGCCCATATGAACCTCTGGCACAGCTACTCCAACTCAGGCTCTCTCAAAATGCCCAACAATCAGACCCACTTTTCATTACAGAAACCGGCTCCGTGGTCTCCCGTCGCTGGTTCCACAAACTCTTACGCCTAGTTCTTTCATTATCCGGTTACCCTCCGGAACAATTTTCTGCTCATTCCTTCAGAATCGGAGCAGCTTCTTCTGCTACTCGCCAAGGGCTCCCCGACCATATGGTCCAACTACTCGGACGATGGTCCTCGCAAGCTTACCATGGCTACATATGCACGCAAATCCAGGACCTCCGCCAAGCTCACGAACAGCTGGCCTCCATCTAATCCGGAATTTTTAGGGGTCGGCCCTCTCGCGATCCACAGAGGCCGTACTGAACTCCAGCCCAAATTTTCCTCAGAGTTCCCCTCCTATCATTATCTAACTTACCAAGGCGTGGTCTGCATTCGCAAACTGCTTCCAGACTGCTTCCAAAATACCCACATACCCATCACATGCACTGAATAACGTGATTAAAATCTTGTGTATGTGTCTTAAAATCAAATATTGTTTTTTTATTTCTGTAGGTTTACAAATGCAGTAAAATGAAATTTTCCAGATTTTAACATGGTAGCCAAGCATCACCTAAACCTTTTGCTTTTCCAGAATGCAATAAATGCATGATCCAAAATGGGTTTGAAATATTGCTGAAGTCTTACTAGTGTAATTGCTCTCATTGACCTGTTAATGTCTTTGATTCTTTAACGTTAATGTAATTTATGTATGTATCAAATATGATTACAGTGATTTCATACTGTGAATTTGCTTTTATGGTTTTGTAATGTGTTCATAGGTATGAACTCCCCAGACTTTGATAACCAAACCTTGGCTGCATTAAGAGGGCGCATGGTCCGATACCTAATGAGGTCTAGAGAGGTGAGTTATGCTCTTTTGATAAAATGGGCATTTTTTTAAAAATCAGAAATGTATTTATTACCATACTTTATACAGAGTTTTATATTCATGTAAATACTGCATTACTTTACTTGTGTGTTGTTCCTAACCTGTTATTTCTTTGGGATATTGTTTTGCATTTTTTATTAGCATAAATAAATGATAAATAAATAGTGCCTTACATTTTCTAATAATTGACCCTGTCACCACCTAAAATAAATTGTTTACGTCCTCTAAGATCACTCTTGGCCGTGCAACCAAGGATAAACAGATAGATGTGGATCTGTCATTAGAGGGACCAGCGTGGAAAATTTCCAGACAACAGGGTATTTATTTATTTTATTTATTTATTTATTTATTTAGAATAAAGAATTCTATACCACAACCTATTATTTTTCTTCTGCATAGAGACAGTAAGAGTAAGGCTTTTCATCATTTTTTTTTCTTGTTTGTTTTTTTTTCCCCTTACTGATTTCTGGGAGGTTTGATTACGTTTGACGTTGATTTCAGCTTGTGTATGTAAAGAACCGCTTATGGCTTTTTGAGGATTACTCTTCATTTTGTTCAAGATGCTGGGGGTGTTTCATCTGTTCTCCTTTTCTTATTTTGACCACAGGGGTCATCAAGCTCAAAAACAATGGTGATTTCTTCATTGCCAATGAAGGTCGAAGACCGATCTACATAGATGGCAGACCTGTCCTGTCTGGCAACAAGTGGAAGCTAAACAACAATTCTGTGTTGGAGGTTAGAAGATAAGAGTTTGACGATGTGTCTCTCCCTTTTGCGAATGTAGTTGATCAAGACATGATTTTTACCTTTTTAGTTTTGCCCTAGAGCTAAGAAGTAAGTAAGAAGTAATGCTAACTGCGCGCATAAATTATGACACTTCTGCCTCAGATTGTGTTGATTTGTTAGGGTTAAATAGGCTGTGTTCACACTGCAGGCAAAAAAAGTTCTCGTTATCTTTTTGAAAATTACTGTATAGTTGCATGTGAAAGTTTAGGTGTCTCTGGTCAAATAAAATGTTTTGTTCGTTTTGTGAAAATCCTTTGCAGCAGTAAAGAGGCAAACTTCAGTCACCAAACATCTTGATCAATTGACTGCAGTTGGGATAAACATGAAAATTGTTTACTTTTTGTGTGAAAATCAGAGAATAACAGTGACCTCTCTAACCTGTTTTCTAGAATTAATGATTAGCCATTTCTACAATAACTGCTATAATGTCAATGCTGACATTATCTCTCTTTTGTCTAGATTGCAGGGCTTCGTTTTGTGTTCCTTATCAACCAGGAGCTGATTTCACTTATCAAAGCAGAGACGGCCAAGATGAACCAGCAGTGAACTGCACAATATAACGCCTGTGACTCTATTTGCTCACTGTGGTGAAGCAATAAGTAAAAGGACCCCAGCAATCAATGAGCAGTCAGCTCAGGACCCATGCACTGCGTATCTAGGCAGAAGAGTGGACGCTGGCCCAGTAGATTGTGCTGTAGATAAATGTGAACACAAAGAGACCAGTTCTAACGGGAACTCAAAAGGGCCTTTGAGCGCTTAGTAGAGGGTTTAATCCAATTACAGACTGAAAGCTTCTTACACAATGAGAAGGCCCTTCAGAGCCATTTGAGCAGGTGGGCTTGGGCAAAAGACCCGCTGCTGCCTGAGTTCACGTTACAGCAAACTGAAACTAGTCCTGGAGATGCACATACTGCAGAATCTTTCCCTGGCTTATGGTAAACAAATCAGTTTGGAACTGTAACTGAGATCATTTTCATTGTTTTATGTTCGAATAACTGTGTTGTCATTTTGAATGTGTGCAGAATACTTTTACAAATGCTAACAAAACATCTCTAGACTCTGTTTTTTTTTTATTTTTTATAAAGGAGCATGAGAATAGTGTTGTTAAAGGCAGATAACTGACATTATCTGGATTGAAGATTTAACACTGCTTACACAACAACTTCAGAAGGGCTCACAGAGACACCAAACAGATCACAGTACTAAAAAAAAAAGGAGTGTCAAAGCAGTGTTTAAGAACTGGATTCCATTTTAATAAAATTTACAGGAGCTTAATTTGAGATCAAATTTTAATTGAAAATGGAAATCCACATAAATATGTAGTAGAATAAGGAAAATACAGTTTGATGCATAGATAACTGGGAAATGTGATTTTTAAGTAGTTGACCCGTGAAGACGTATTTGGTGTCTGAAGTTTGCTTCTTTAGTTCAGCCCTGTAGCTAACAGTTAACGTGGTGCTAACTGCATGCCTAAATCATTTCCCACTTCACTCAAAAATAGTGCATCATTGTGTGTTGTCATAGTGTCGAAAAGCCCATAAGCAAGTCTGTTTATATAAATTGACAGCAGTATGGACAAAATTCAGGTTTAAAAGGGAATTCCACTGAAAAATTCTGTTGAACCAAATCATTAAGATGTAAACAAAGTTCATTCAGAGTGGTTTGGTGTGAAATGCTTCGTTCTAGCATCAGAATTGTTCACAGTGGTGATGGGAACAAGAAAGCCCCTCACAGAAAGTTATCTCATTAAATAGTTATGAATACACTGCCTGATGTCTAAGACATTGTTTTATCCTAGTTTTGCAAATAGTTTTTTGTCTAAAACTGATTATTTAAAGTGCATTCATGGCAGAGAGGTAGATGCAGGGTGTTGTAAGGCAAAATAATCACCAATGAAAACATTTTTTCTGATTATTCAGTATTTTACGATCAACCTCACGTAAAAACTTGTGTAGGAAACGCGTGTAGGTTCACTGATGGTTTTAGGTAGTAAATAAAATGTGTATATTTGTGTTGTCATGGCGACCCCTGGTTCCTATCAGCACCACTGTAAAGAAATCTGAACTATTTCACAGCAAACCATCTGAATGAATGTGTTGCATGATGCTAATTAGGGAGTTGCTTCCGTTACTTGTTAGCTACATTAGCCTTGTAGCTCCAGAGCAATACTAATCAAGCAAATTTAGAGCACCAAACATTTTTGGTTGATCAACTACATTTGGTGAGGCAGAAAATTAGAATATTCTATGAACTGTCGCTGTCATTGGGCCTCATTCACCAACCATTCTTAAGAAGAAATTTCTTAAAACCCACTTATGCGATTGCAGAATCTACACACACTCAAGAGCACAAAGTTGAGAACAGTTCTGCAGTTTAAGTTTAAGTTTTTCTTAGGACCTTTCTCAAGAACAGCTTTAGGAACAACCTTAGGAAGATATTGGTGAATGAGGCTCATTGTTCTATTAATATCAGGTACTACATTTTTCAGACTTCTCAGAGTACAAATGCTGATCTGGGATTAGTTCTTGCCTTTTATATGTGTGCTGAATAGGATTACCTGAAGTGAAGAGGCCTGATCCTAGATCAGTGTTCTTACTGAGAGATAAGTATCATAAAACATGAAACGTCAACTGCCTGTTACAAGTAAGTAAAGTAATAATAATTTCAGATTCCTTCAAATTATAGTTTTCTTTTGTTTAGTTTTTCTAGACGGGGTTAAGCCTAGTGCAGGACTGAATTTCCCCTTCAGTGGAGAATCTCTGTTTACAGTTCTGTGTAATCCAAGATTCAGCTTAATGCCTTTGCGGGACACTGGCTCTTCTTTTAATCTTATTTGAATCCTTATATTCCTCTGTTTTCCTTTTTTGGGTCTGATCTGATACAGCTTCATGTTAAAATCATATTAAATAGCAGTCATTGTAAAATGGAGGGAAGCCATTATGTATAAAGCTGACAAAATATTCTTGAAGGGGAATTCCACCAATTTTTCAAAATGCATAATTCAGTCATTGAGATGGAAACAGAGTGATTCAGAGTGGTTTGGTGTGAAATGGTCCAGATTTCTTTACAGTGGTGGTGATAGGAACCAGGGGTCACCATGACTACAACACAAATATAGCCATTTTATTTACTATCCAAACCACCAGTGAACCTACACATGTCTTCTGAGTTTTATATGGATGTTGATGATGGTAAAATAGTGGAAAATCTGAAAAACAATCCGTTTTCTTTAGGGACTGTTTTGCCTGTACGTCTTTGTCATTAATGGATTGAAAAATATATGGTTTAGGTCAAATTTTAATCTTTAATCTATTGTAAAACAGTGTCTTAGCCATCAGGCAGTGTATTCATAACAGCAGCATTTCATGTAATAACTTTCTGTGAGGGCATGTTTGAGGCATTACACTCTTCAGATGTCTGGTTCCTATCACCTCCACTGTGAACAGTTCTAATTTGGTAAGTTTATCTAGAACATAGGATTTCACACCAACCCACTCTGAATGATTTTGTTTACATATTTAAAATTGAATTGTGTACAGATGGAATTCACCTTTAAGTAGGGAAGAGATTTTGGTTTTTGCTTAATAATTTTAAGTGTTTAAGCAAGATTATTTTTTAATACAAGCAACAGTCTCACTTTATTTGGATAGTCCGCTGTAGTCCCCTGTGGATTATCTACAGATGTTCGAATTGTTAACAAACTGTTAAAAATCTGTTGAAACTCTGTTGATTCTGAACAGTGGTGAGTTTGGGGTTAGGATTTGGACCACGGTCAGGATTAGGCCCAGGGTGAGGATTGGCTTTAGGTTTTGGGTTGAGGTTAAGGTCAGTGTTCGCATAGAGCTGGTTTAGAGTTAAAGAAAATGATGGTCTATTTAGTAGATACTTAGTTGAATGTAACTTGAAAGTAAATTAAGTATCTACAAAGCATCAAAAGTGAACTATCCAAATAAAGTGTTGCCCAAGCAACCTACACCCGCCCTCACACACACACACACACACACGAAAACAGAAACTCTGACAACATTTACAGTTTATGAACAGTTTAGCCAAAAGTGGTGAAGTGCAAATGCTACACTGTACCCCATCAGCAGGTTTAACTATAAATGTCTTTAAAAGTTAGCTAAACTGATACAACAATGAATTGGATATAATTCTGAACTCTTAAAAAAGGTTCTTCAAGGGTTCTTTAGTAAGGGAAATGGTTCTATATAAAACCATGAGTTCTATGTAGAACTATTTCATGTTTAAAAGGTTCTTTGCATGGCAAAATGTTTTTTTTTTTTTATTGTGTTGTATATGGCTCTATATAGAACCTTTTTGAAAATGGTTCTATGTTATTACAAGCTTGACATTCTCGCAATAGAAGAACACTTTTTGGTGCTATATAGAACCGTACAACACATTTACCATTAATTTGAAGAACGATTTCACCATACAAAGAACCATTTCAGATTAATGGTTCTATATAGAAGTCATGGTTCTATTTAGAACCATTCTCTTTACTGAAGAACCATTGAAGAACTACCTTTTTCAGAATGTATGTTGTTTGAACTTTCAAATCTAAATACATACAATATATATTTCTCATATTAAATTAAAAGACTTAAAAAATAAGTGACATTTTTCTTTCATTAAACAAGATTTCAGTGTTCAAATGTGTTAAATCAGTTAAATGTGTTTAAATGTGTTGCTGTGTCTAGTAGCGGTTCCACCTTATCATAAGCAAATAGCCATTTATAGGTGGCCATAAAACCTTTTAGTGTATTATAAATCTGACTTATCAGACGTTCACTGTGTGTCCAAAAGTTTGCAGACACCAGCGTTTCTTCTGAAATGAAGCGTATTAATAGTCAGTTTGTGCTGCAGTAACAGCTTCTACTGTTCTGGGAAGGCTTTGCACTAGATGTTGGAACATTGCTGTGAGGATTTGATTGAGCGTTAGTGAGGTCAGGTACTGATGTTGGATGCTCAGTTCTGGATCACTCCAGCTCATCCCAAAGGTATTGGATGGAGCTCCATCACTTCAGAGAACGCAGTTCCACTGCTCCACAGCCCAATGCTGGGGGACTTTATGTAATCTTTGGCACTTTACTAATGGCATCCACGTTCTGACATTTAACTGCAGCATATTTTATTTACTGGGTGCTTGGTTTCAGTGGTGGAATACATAATATTTATATTTATTATTTATCATTTTAAAATCTCAAAAAGTGGTCTAGTGTAAACATTTAGGTTAGCATTAAATGCTAGTAGGTGCTGTGGTGTGGCTTGATAATATTAACTTGTTTGAGACATAACAGCAAGAAAACAAGCAAATTACACCACTATTTTTTCAAGAAATAATTTTTTACATTCATTTTTTTTGCCTAGGGACGTTAATCTTACTAAATTAATGCCAACTTAAATATACTTTTGAAAAATATTGAATTTTAGAATTGATGTTGCCCAGAATTGGAGGCTGTACCCATATGAAAATATGATATATGGCAATATATGGATTTGAATATATGACATATGTTAGCATATATGGATTTTCCTTATATCCAACTTATATTTATCACACCATTGGACATAGATGTGACACATATGCCAACTTACTTGAAACTGGTCACTTTCAAACATGGGATATATATTTCAGCCATACATCAGCATATACAATTATATGTGTAAGACACATATTTAACAATATATGATAGAAAACATTCATATGTAGATGGTGTAAAATAAATAAGTGCTTAAATATGGCGTTTTTCCTACACATTTTCATAGTGGGAAAATCTTTGGGAAAAAAAATAAAACATAAAATGTAAGTTGAAGTGTGCCATAACTTTTGCACAGGCGGCATTTTATGTGTTATTTTTTCTCCCAAATAGCCTGATTTCAGCAAATAAACCAAAAAAACATGTTTTATTTGGTTGGTTTGTTTACATAACTTTGGCATATTAGGCGGTGCCACCGTTGTCATAGAAAAAAAAAAAAACGTTTTCACCTCGACGCTGACGTCACAACGGCACCCCGACTCGGTCAGTCAGTGTGGAGAACGAAGCCGCGTGCAGCTCAGCGGAGCCCGGACTGCAGCTACGGCGCGGAGTGAGTAACGATACCAGACAAAACTCAGCTTAATGGAACCGCTTACCGTCTGATTTAACGCGTTCGGCTCGCTGTGGCTGCTCTGAGTGACGGAGAAGCCGGTTTAGTTTAGCGGCGTAGAGTTAAAGCGCTGCTGGGTCAAACCTGCACTCGTTGTATATCTCTCTCTCTCCCTCTCTCCCTCTCCCCCTCTCCTCACAGGGCAGCTCTTCTAAATGTCTATCAGAGGATTTTTAACTTGATTTTCCGTCGTTTTAGCGATGCGAGCCGTTAAAGCTCATGACGCTACCATGTCCGCTCTGTTTTTATCGTTATCCCTCCATCGGCTCCTCTCTGACTGCCATACTGCCGCTTACACACTTTAAAAGATGGTTCTTCGAGGGTCTTTTAGTAAAGGCAATGGCTGTTTAGAACCATGAGCTGTATATAGAACCATTTCATGCTTAAAAGGTTCTTTGCATGTAAACTGGTTCAGTTTGATGGAGAATGTGTTGACTTTGGTTCTATATAGAACCATATACACCTTTTTCTGTTACTGTTACAATGTCAGGCTTGTAATAATAGCAGAACCCCTTTTGTTGCTGTATAGAACCATTTTGAAGAAGCTGTATATGGTTCTTTATAGAACCTTTTGAAAATTGTTCTGTGTAGCACCCAAAAGGGTTATGCTAATGTGACAATATCAGGCTTGTAGCAATAGCAGAACCCTTTTTTGTGCTATATAGAACCATTTTCAAAAAGGTTCGATATAGAACCATATACAAAACAATGTTAGGATCCATTTCACCATGCAAAGGACGATTTAAGCATGCAAATGGTTCTCTATAGAACTCATGGTTCTAAATAGAACCATTACCTTTACTAAGGAACCCTTGAAGAACCAACTTTTTAAGCGTGCAAATATTAAATATTAAGACTGAACTGGTTGAATGCTTGTACTGGCCTGTCAGAGAAAAAAGCAGATATAATGTATTCCTTTAAAACATCGAAGGTTCTGCCTTTTTTACTCAGAGCTGTGAAACAGTGACTACTGATTTTAAACTCGTGTGGACTTTAAGACTTTTGTCTTGTGAAACAACAACAAAAAAACAGATTATAAGGAATCAGTCAAGTTTGTAATCAGACTCTGTTATTTGTGCTGTTTATTGGGTTTGTGAAAATTGTATGGATGATGGTTGGTGAGGGGCTGGTATGCATTCTGCTTGGTTTGCGGTGTATATTAAATTTATATTGTGAGTTTTATTGTGTTTTGTTTATGTAGTTTTGTGTTGGGATGGGCAGGATTATCATAATACTTAAAGACTTTTTCATGATGCATGATATGCGTCACAATATTTTGTTTCTTCTGAGGTTTAATAAGCTGGCGCAGACAAAGCAGAACCTGTAGTGCCACATATAAAAATACTATAATAATAATAATAATACTAATAATACTAATGATGATTCTGCTACTACTACTACTACTAATAATAATAATAATAATAATAATAATAATAAATCTACAACCACAGTGATTTTTACTTAGTTTTTACAAACTGTTTTACAAACTGTGCTGTCAGTGTTCTTTAAGCACTGGCGATATCTAGGATGTGCTCAGAAAAGCAGATTTTGTCATAATTTATCTCAGTAATGATAAAATATCATCTTACTGTGCACCTCTATTTTGTATTGTAGTTTGTGTTTTTGGTATTAGTCACATGTTTATCTGCTCAGGGGCTGCAGATTAAACACAATGCACTTCTTCTCTTTTGAGATTAATGTATTTTCTGCATGGTCCCTGACAAAATAAACCAGACTAAACTAGACGAGTATGCGGCTCAATAGCCCAGGCAGGCAGGTGACACTGGCACACATGCCTCTTCTTTCGCAAAGAGAGACGTTTGAACTGCCTCTGTTGACATAGTCTAATTCAGATGGCGTTGTACTCCAGGAGCAAACACTATTGGTTCAAAACCTTTTGGCTTTAGGCGTCAGCTCACCAGATATGGCCGGCGCACCCGGGGCGAGTCATTCTGTCCTGGAGCACAGTGTTGTTCTCTGCACTTTTATAGCTTTTGTAGGAATGGTAATGGAATGGAAGTAAAAAAATTGTGAGAAATTACATCTCTGTGAAAAACATCTCTTGGAATCTGCTTTTACAAAAGAGTAAAGGTAGGAAAATCCCCAAAATGTCAAACAGAATCTACTCATTTATTTATCTTCTGGATTTCTATGCTTTGTGTCTTGTTTGTTTTTAAACACATTTTGTCATATTTTTATCTTTTTCAGATAGTTTGTGTTAAATGTAACCCGAAATGTGTTGTTCTTAATTAGATTTGTGCTTCAGGAAAAGTGTGTTGTTTTTAATAATCTGTTCTGAGAGAGTCAGACTTGTTTATCACCCTGGACTCAAAGTGCTTATGAAACTTCATCATAAAATGAGTTTGACTCTTGCTCTGTTAGAAAAGCCACTAGTTTTCATTGCTCTTTATGCCTTTATGTAATCAACCAGATTTCTCTGGTTTAGCTGTCACTCATTGTAGGTTATGTTTCAAATTAATGAGTGTCTAAATTGGACGGTTCTGGAAACTGAGATGTCGTTTTTCTCAGCCCAGCCCAGCAGGCTCCCAGCCCACTTTCAGTGTGCCGAGACTCATGGTGATTTTGTAAGCGACACTACCTCCCAGAGCCACAACAGGATTGGCCCACCGGGGCTGAAACTGCTCAGGGGAGGGGTTATGGGCAGCAGCAGAGTGGTCCACATTTTGGCAGTGATAATGCACACTTTTGTGCTGTATAGTTTTGTGTGGCAGCTCTTTTTGAAAGGGGGTTTGAATGGGTTCAGCTGCACTTCAGTTCAATTCGGGTTATGGGCATTTCTGTACGCTGTAGCTCACATGAAGTTTTCTGCCTTTTGGCAGGAACTGTGGATCATTTTTTCTGTTTCTCTGGAAGCCTGTTCATCTTCCACCGTTGTTTTAAAATTTCTGAACAATTTAGTCGTTGAGATGTAAAGAGAGTCATGCAGAGTGGTTTGGTGTGAAATGGTTCAGATTTCTTTACAGTGGTGGTGACAGGAACCAGGGGTCACCATGACTGCAACACAAATATAGACATGTTGTTTATGATCCCAAACCACCAGTGAACCACCAGAGTTTTATATGGAAGTTGATGATGGTAAAATGGTAATGAATCAGAAAAAAGTGTTTTCTTTGTGGACTATTTTGCCTCACAGTGCTCTGCCTGTATCCCTCCACCATGAATGGATTAAAATACATTTTTCACCATCTTTATCATAAAACTCCCAGACAGTGAGCATATATCGGTCTCCTGGTTTGATAAGGTTGGCAACCTGCTGACTGTTTGCCACTTCTGGTCCACCCTTGAACCACCCAGATTATTGTCCTGCATACAAACTCAACCTAGTTTTTAATCTCCTCAAACAGATTTTAAATGCACAAAGTATTTGGTTTTAAAAAATAATCTAAGACCAATATTACAAAGAACAGAAAGAAAAAAAATTATGACTAACCCAATGTGACATGATTTGTAGAAAATGTTGCTGATGCTCTGCAGGTTAAAATTATTTACTAAACTAATTCACAAAGTATAACTAAAGAAAAAAAGAAAGGAAAAATAAGTAAATTGGACTGTGAGTGGAAAATGAGCAATGATAAGTGGAATTTTGTCTAATGCTCTGCTGAAACACTGGTGGGCCGCCCAGAAAACGCTGAGCAAAACGCCAGTGCTGTCTGGTTTTTCCAACAGTTGCCCGCTATCCTCTTGCTGTCAGGGCTTTTATAAAACAATGTGTCAGACATGAGAACATATCTAACCATTTCATGTAGAAACTTTCTGTGAGGGAGCTTTTAGAGGTAGACGTCTGGTTCCTATCACCACCACTGTGAACAATTCTGATTCTGTAAGTTTCTCTAGAACAGAGCATTTCACACCAAACCACTCTGAATGAGTTTGTTTGCATCTTAACCATTTAGTTATGTAGAATTTAAAAAAAAAATTCCCCTTTAATCATTGCACAAAGAAGTGTGATTCACAAAGTGTGTTTTTTATTTCTTTTTACATTTTCATTACAATGAGAATCAGTCATAAAATTATAAACACAATCTTTAATGCAGAAGCCTCACAATTTCCACTGTAAGTGGGCTTTTTTATTAGATTAGCATTGCTAGCATAGAGCCCATATTTAGTTAGCACCCTGGTTTGTTATGCTGGCATCAAACTAGCAGCAGTAGGTTATATATATTCACTTTCTGTGATATTTATTCAGAGATGTATTTATAACTCTCAGGTGATATATTTTTTACTTTGGAAGTTTACTGGGACTGGATGAAGGCATTTAAAGCATGTTACTGAATATTATTGGACTAACCTGTCAGCTGTCTAGCAAGTTGGTCAGCCTGCTCTAACGTGGGCAGCATATATAGAATATATTACATGTTAATCAGATCTCTAAAATTATTTTGGAAAAAACTCTTTTGGGAAATGGCTGTTAAAAAAAATACTTAAGCAGTGGACACGTGAGGGGAGCACGTTACCAAGAATAACCTCACAGCTTTTATATGATAGCCTCCATTGCTAATCATTACAAATGGAGCTAATAGTAATAGTAATATAATAATAATAATAATAATATATAATAATAATAATAATAATAATAATAATAATAATATTAGAGGTGGTATAATTTTTGATCAGTTGTTTTTTCTACTTCCAGGGCCCGCTCCTTCAATTTACACATATAAGTTGTAAAAATTCATTCCCTTATGGCAGTTTATGGCAAAGCTACTGTTGCCAACTGTACACATCAGAATCAATATCCTTCTCACAAGGAGAACATAGGAAAATAATGGTGTGGATCTTTTCTTGATGATGTCATCCCTTTCAGTATCAAACTGACTGTCCTGCCCAGTCTTCACTCAGCGGTGGGTAGGGGTGGGTACTATGATGATATTTTATTTTTATTGTGATAAAGTCTGTCACAATATGGTTTTCTGAGCATATTGTGGATATCTTCATTGCTAAAAGAGCACTGTCTACATGTTTCATTACAAAGTGAGCATAGGCCTGTTTACTTGGATTATTTTCTGACACACGTTGTTTAGCTGGCCCGAAATTTAGATTGGTCACTATTGGAGGCAGATCTTTTATCATCATGGCCCCCAAACTATGTCACACATTACCATAATCTCTTTGTGATTGTCCCTCACTTTCCTCCTTTAAAGGTCAGCTTAAAATGTACATCTTTTCTTGGCACTTTTATTCTTCAGTTCAACGATTGCTGTTTTTTTTCCCTATCTTTGTAAAGTGATCTTGGGTATAAGAAGGGCACTATACAGATTGAACTTATTATTATTAATATTATTATTTTAAATCAGTGCAGTATGTAAAATATTGAAATATTGAATACCTTTAGCAAAGGAACCTGGGAAAACTTATTTAAGGTACATAAGTAGATCATAAGTGTACCTTTAAGGGAACATTTGCATTGTTTGTACCTTGATGAATGAGAAATGAACCTGCACAGAACCTTTATTTCTAGCAGTGTAGTGGAATTGTGTTTGTGAATAGTCCACAGTTATCAAGGGCCGCAAAAAACTCACACTTCTTTTTCAGTACCTGTGTCTCGCTCTGCATGCTCACTGTCTCAATACCTGAGAGCATATAAAGCTCATGTGAACTTCTCAGGTTGTGCTGGGGCCATTTGAACCACTTTGTCACACTCGTTTTTTTTTAGAGAGCCTAAATATTTGGATTGTATGGGACAGAACACTAAATCATTGCACTGAGCAGAGCAGTTTCAACACCACTGTAGCTGGTTGCCTCTGAAATTCGTTGGTGGAATGCAGCCTAACCAAAGTCAGTACTTGACGTTTGTTTTGATTTTTTCTTTTTAGAGATTGACAGTGCAATGCAGCACTTACGACACTGCCAAGGACTCGCTCGTGTTCTCCTTCCCAGCGCTCACAGGTATGTCACGTTGTTATCTGGTAGGCTGTAATGCTATAGAGCTATACCTTTTTTATGAACACCTTTGCGGCTGGTATAGTTGCACAATAAATCATGTGAAGGTTAATCATTTTTCTACATTGTTGCTTTGTTACTCAGTTACTTGGGTTCATGAGTATTTAGCTTTCCCTGAATGCTTCTATGAACCTCTTGACATGAAACATATTGGCAAGTTTGCAAATTCAGTCTTAGACCTGAGGATATTTGATTCAAATGAATGAAAACACTGTGATAACATCTGTGATTAAGTGGGATGCTGTGGAAAGATTTCTTTTGTGGGAGCCAGTGCCAGTGCCTGTCCTACTATAAAGCATGTATGTTCTCTCGCAGTGCTCAGCGGCTAAAGAACAACATCCCCCTGGCGTCTGCATGTTCAGGACTTCTCTCTCTTCGCTGGGGGAGCGGCGGCAGCCATCAAGGGCACAACTACTATGGCTCAAGGCGGCCAAGGTTCAGATATGTATTGACAGGGCTAACGGCTGGGACTGGTGCTGTGCTGGCCTATGGACTTCATCACAATAAGGTGAAACATTACTAATACAGTTTCTGGAGAGGATACACTATATGTATGAAAGTATCCATTTCTAATTAGAGAATTTGGCACATTCTTCACCACAGTCATATCGGCATTGGCAGACATTTGCTTAACAAATGGTCTGCATCTGAATGATTTTTATATTTCAAACCAATATTTGATGACACGTTGTAAGAAAAACATGATGCAGGGTGATGTTTAGGTGATTTGGGTAATTTTTCTGCATTTGATACATTTCTCTATAACTCTAATCCGGGTGAATCTATTTCCAATTTCTACATTTTCTAAATTTTTTATGTATTGGCATCGGCAGGTATGTACATGAAAAATATCGAAATACTGGCATCGACCCAGCAGTCCTTACATTAACATGCACCCATTGCTGACAGGCGCACACATAGCTTGTATCTCCATAGAAAAGCCCTGGCCAATAGAATGGGACTCTGTGGGCAGCTGCACACGAGCCTAAGGTCACCATGTCAAGCGTGGGCTAGAGGGGTATAAAGCCCTCCAGCAGTGAAACTGTGCTCTCTGGGGTGATGGAGCTCCATCCAGTAGCCTTCATTTGACCATGATGTTGTTTGCCTGGGCTGATGGTTCTCATTCAGAGCTTATTGCTTAAACCTTAACCTTGAGGTAAATAGTTGTTACTCTTCCTATGATAGAGTGATCAAGGCTATGTCCTCTTTTCCTATGAGAGTGTGACCTAGGACCAAAAGAGCATGACCGACCATGATTTCTAATTTGCCTAAATTTTTCAAAAATAGTCCAAAATATGTCAGCCTACCTATGCAGCGGCGGATAAAACCACCCAGAGCATTCAGCCTTGGGCTGAAAAGTTGGAGGGTGAAAGACATTGTATTAGAATTTTCATCGGGTCATTCACAGCACAAAAGTTCAGAAGTCAAGATAACCACTAAGAGCAAATAAGATAGAGACAAACAGTGTCACAGTACATCACACTGTAGCAGCAGTTAGTCATTTGTGTCAGGAACTCTGCTTAGCAGACTTGACCTTGTGTTCTTTGCTGACAGGCTTAGACTTCTTTAGTGCTATGTAACTCCAACACCTCTCTTCATAATAGAGACTTGAGCTGCTCCTGATTCAAACTTCATGCAAACCTTCCTGGTGACCACAGGTGCGATGCTGCAGGTTATGGAAATACTTGTCACTGACGCTGTTTATATGTTGTAAAAACATTTATTAAGAACATTGATCACTCAGGTATGCTTTTCACAAATTGCCAGCATTATGGGTGATTACGTATTGGTATTACTTTAGTGGAAATAAGTAATGTAATGGCGGTATTGGGTGTGAAGAACACACTAACGGAACTGCTTACCTGAATGGCAAAGTAAAAAAGCCTTTAGCATAACAGCCCACAAGCCCCGCCTGTGGTGCACCTCCATAGGTCAGCTTTATCACTCGGAAGCGGGGTCTCGCGGCCTGTTGCTTCAACCAAGCCAGAAAAAACACTGAAAGTTGCTGATACTGACAGCCTGAATGTCGGTGATATTTACTGAACTGACGCTCAGAGATGCAGCACAAGTGAACAAGATGCACGTATGAGACAAATGACTTCAGAAATTTGGAAATGAAATAACATTCAGCTCCGTTTTTGAGCCAGAGAAGCTGCTGTGTCCTGATGTGTAAACACCACAGGTTTATCTGTAGACTGTTCAGTTCTGCTTTTAACTGTTTTGCACAGTAAAGGTATTTTACATTTACTTAAGTTGTTACACATGCTTCTCATTACTAATTATATGATAGTAAATACTAAATATATACAGTAAATAAACAAAAATAAGTTTTCTTAATAATAAATATAATCCAACAAGTAAATATCATCTAGCCAAGCAGAGTGTGTTGTAGTTGTGATGCAGAACAGATTTTTACCAAAGTAAAGTATTTAAAAAATGTAATTGTTTAAATATCAGGACTTATACGTGAGTTAGGTTAGATAGAGTTGGTACCGGTACTCGGTATCAGCCGATAGTAAAGGATCAGGTATCCGTATCAGTATCAGAAGGGAAAAAGTGGCATCAGTGCATCTTTAGAAGAGAGGGAAGCATTTAGGCAGTTGGAGGAATGAATGAAAATGTGACTTCCAGAACTCCTATTTCCTACATGCTGCATGCAGATTCTATCTAAAAGCAATGTTTTATTTAACGAGACACAAAGTGATAAGCTTGCGAGATTGTGTGTATGTTGATAAGAACTTCCTGCTTGGCATGTTACTGCATCGCAATACAGTCAAAACTAATGAGAAAGAAATCTGGTGAGCCGTGTGTACCTTCTGTCAAAGTTGTCGCCAAATTATTTTTCGTTTTGTCTTTTCATTCTGGACTCTAGGCTGAGCAGGCGGCTACCTCGGTTACTCAAACATCCGCCCTGCCTGTTTATTCCCAAGAAGAGGTTACGAAACATTCCTCCCTGGACGAGGGCATATGGGTCACCTACAAGGGAAGCGTTTATGATATCACTGACTTTGTAGCGATACATCCTGGAGGTGACAAAATCCTGCTAGCTGCAGGTGGCGCTCTAGAACCCTTTTGGGCGCTGTATGCCATTCATGGGCAAGACCACGTTCTGGAAATTCTCTCAGAGTACAAGGTTGGTGTTCTTCGACCAGAAGACTGCAAGAAGCAGGAGATTGCCAATTCTATTGACCCGTATTCCTCTGATCCACCTCGGCACCCTGCTCTCATTGTCAGCAGCTTAAAACCCTTCAACGGGGAACCTCCTCCTGCCCTCCTCACTGACAACTACATCACTCCCTCTGCCCTCTTCTTCAAGCGCAACCATTTTCCTGTTCCTCAAGTAGATCCTGGCAAATACAGGCTGCAGATAGAGGGCCTTCCTGGGGGTACCGTCTCTCTGACTTTGGACGAACTTAAGTCTCGTTTCCCCAAGCACACAGTAACTGCTACTCTGCAGTGTGCCGGAAACCGCCGTTCTGATATGCACAAGGCTAAACAGGTCAAAGGGCTTAACTGGGGAGTTGCAGCTATAAGCAATGCCACTTGGTCAGGCGCACGCCTGCGGGACGTCCTGTATCACTACGGCTTTGGCCAAGAAGTGGCGGCTAAGGCTCGGCACGTGCAGTTTGAAGGTTTAGACCTTGATGTGACGGGTACGTCATATGCAGCATCCATCCCACTGAACAAGGCAGTGAGCGAAGAAGGAGACGTCCTTCTAGCATACGAAATGAATGGGGAGGATCTCCCGAAGGACCACGGGTACCCTGTTCGTGTGGTCATCCCCGGAACAGTTGGAGCCCGGAATGTCAAATGGCTGGGCAAGATAGTTGTCAGCGAGGAAGAGAGTCAGAGTCACTGGCAGCAAAATGACTACAAAGGTTTCTCTCCAGGCGTTGACTGGGACACGGTGGATTACAAATTGGCACCGGCCATCCAGGACCTCCCCATCCAGTCGGCCATCACCCAGCCAGCAGACGGTTCAATAGTGGACAGCAGCATGGAAGAAGTGACCGTGAAAGGTTATGCTTGGAGCGGTGGGGGAAGGGAGGTGGTGCGAGTGGACGTCTCAGTTGACGGAGGGAAGACGTGGCATGTGGCTGAACTCCAGAATGGTGAGAAAGGACAAAAGCCTGAACCCTCTCCTCCGCCTGGGCGGGCTTGGGCGTGGAAACTGTGGGAGATAACGATCCCTCTGCCGGAAGGAGCTCAGGAGCTCGAGCTTGTGTGCAAGGCAGTTGACAGTAGCTACAATTCGCAGCCGGACACGGTGCTGCCTATTTGGAACTTTAGGGGTGTGCTGAATAATGCTTGGCATCGAGTGAAGGTGAAAGTGAATTAAGATTTTGGAAGGAAAGGAATGAAAACCCAAAGAGATATTTATTGTAACTAAACTCAGGAAAGAAGGAGGCATCATATTCATTTTAGATATGGGTCCACTTGCTTGGCCAGTGTTTAGGCATTTTGACATGAAGTTAGAGATGCTTACATTGACTGAGTTTGCCATATGTGGGTAAACTCAATCTGTAATGAACAACGAAAAGAAGTACTTGCTGCATGCGGGCACAAATCGTCAGTTTTTGGCTGTGATAAACCGATAAATTAATTCCTTTGATTTAGGGGCAACATTACAATCATAGCTCTACATGTTTTGCACAAATATTGAGCTTACGAAACTGGATTAGTGGATCACTTGTGTTGACTGTCAACAACAGGGATTTTTTCTTTTCACTTCTGGGCTCTTCTTTTTTCCGTTTTCCTGGGCACTAGTCAGCTTGTCTGGTGCTTTTGTCGTTTTTTTTTTAATGTAAAATGCAGTTAAATTAGTTTTTTTTTCTTTTTCATTTTTAATGTAAAATGCAGTTAAAATTAGGTTTAAAGTGCCATTATCCATAGTTACTGTCTTGGTATTGAGCTGTCAAAAAGCACAGGTTTTTATAAATGTGGAAAGGGTATTTAAAATGTTTTTTGAAGTGTATGCAAAGCGCCAGTTGTTATAATGAAGTAGAAAACTTTTAAGGACTGTGAAACTCAGATCTTAACTGTCCTTGTAAGTGCAAGACACATTTTTTTAGATTTTGGCCTTCTCCATGTGCCAGATATTTAAAACCACATATTGCTTCTGTCATATAATTTGATTTTCACTTTTAGCCCATAATGTGTAATAATAATGTGACTGCAGTAGTTCAGACAGTTGTTAAAGCTAAGCAGTTGTGATCACTCAAGATCATATATGCTTCATTTTGCTTTTTCAGAGGAATTTATCATAACAGTATTTTGGTTGATTCATTTCTTTTATTTTACTTTTCTGGAAGGAATAATTGTAATAATTACAGTAATAATTTAAAAATAGCATAATGTAAATCTTTCAGGTTCAACTTAATACTGACTGATCAGCTTTGCAGAAGGTGGTTTTAGTGAAGTTCATTATATTTATTTTATTGCATGACACATGAATTTTGGTGCTGTGATGGAAGTTTTTTCAATAAAGATTATGTTGGTCTTACAAAAAAAACAAACATTTTAGTTTGTGGTTCTTGCATGATTTCAGTTGTTTTTTAGTTCTTTATATAACTAATGGCTGCTAGTAACAAAAATGTGGTGCAAAAGGTATTGCATAAATTTATATTTTCTGTTTTTTTTCCCTAATATGTTAAACTCAGTAAGTAAATAGAAGTTGTGCACTAAAATTGGCAGAAAATTTTCATATTAAGTTCCCCATAGAGGATGTGTTCACTTATTTTCACAGAAAAAAAAATCAATAAAATGTAATTTGACCAGGGGTGTTCAAACGTTTGCATATATGTAAATCCATTTATTTCAGTGTACTAGGCCAGTGAAAACTCTATATAACATTAGAGTAAATAGGAATAAACATAAAAACAGCAGAAATTTCTTCAAAAAGTAGTCGACATGTTTAGTTTCAGAATTCACCTCGATACCTCCAGTCATCACATGGATTTATTAAATTCAATCACCAGAACCCTTCAGTTTAAACCCTTATTTCACTGTCTATTCATTTCACTGTATTTTAAGCAAGAATTTACAAATGTACTTTAGATAAGAGTGATGAATTTTTAGTAGCATGATTTTAAAATTCACACTTTGCAGGGAGTGAATCTCATTACCTTAACTGATGTCGCCTTGATTCCTCACTCCGACATCCACCAGTGACCCGGATATTTATCAATTTAAATGGATGATCAGCATGTGTGTAGTGTGTGATGTAGGCCTACACTCTTAAAAAAGACTTTTAATGGGTTCTTAAGTAAATGGTTCTGTAAAGAACCATGAACACTCAAAGAATCCTTTGCATGATTAAAGGGTTCTTTGCATCTTAAGAGTTTTACAGAATGTGCACCCAAAAGAGTTCTTCTGTTGTTACTATGTCAAGCTTGTTACAATAGAACCAGTTTGCGTGCCTCATAGAACCATTGTCAAAAATGTTGTCAAACGACCTACAGCACATTCTGTTAATTTCTATCAATAACCCTTTCATAATGCAAAGAACCCTTTAATCATTTTGAGTGTTCTTACTAAAGAAACTTTAATAATAAAGTTTAATCTGTTAATGGTGTATATTAACCAGATTAACTGCACAAGTACTTACACTGTTGCACACAAAGCAAGCATTGCTGATCAGCCTGTTAAGGTTGGTGTAGGTAGGACGCTCAACATCATCTTAACTCGTGTTCTAGTGAAGGTACTATCACCCAAATAATCAAATACCAAATATATTTATGTTCTGTAGATAAAACAGACAACACAAACGAGAATTTCCCTCAATAGTTTATTGCATATCACAGTCAGAAGATGACAGACAGTGGAGTTTAGATTAGTGAGTGTTTTGTCTTTCACAGCAGAGAGCAAGAGTGTAACATTAGGTCAGAAAAACATTCCCTACAACGTTGACATCCCTTCAACACATCACATAATCATCGAACAGACTTCAAAAGACACACGAAACATAGATATGAGAAAGCAAGACGGTGCTTGTAAAGAATGCTCTCTATACTACCGAGATCTCCTGACACGTGATAAGCATACTAGTGGCTGACTCGGGAGAATGAATCAGCTTAATACTCCTCTCCCTCCTCCTCTCCCTCTCCCTCAATGGAGTCAACACCAACCTCCTCGTAATCCTTCTCCAGAGCAGCCATGTCCTCTCTGGCCTCGGAGAACTCTCCCTCCTCCATACCCTCTCCTACATACCAGTGCACAAAGGCACGCTTAGCATACATCAGGTCAAACTTATGGTCAAGCCTGGCCCAAGCCTCAGCGATAGCTGTGGTGTTGCTAAGCATGCACACAGCTCTCTGGACCTTGGCAAGGTCACCACCAGGCACCACGGTGGGGGGCTGGTAGTTAATACCAACCTTGAAACCAGTTGGGCACCAGTCCACAAACTGGATGGTGCGCTTGGTCTTAATGGTGGCGATGGCAGCGTTGACGTCTTTAGGTACGACGTCACCACGGTACAGCAAGCAGCAAGCCATGTACTTGCCATGACGTGGGTCACATTTGACCATCTGATTTGCTGGCTCAAAGCAAGCATTGGTGATCTCGGCCACTGAGAGCTGCTCATGGTAAGCTTTCTCAGCAGAAATCACTGGGGCGTATGTGGCCAGAGGGAAGTGGATACGAGGGTAGGGCACCAAGTTGGTCTGGAACTCAGTCAGATCAACATTCAGGGCACCATCGAATCGGAGGGAGGCTGTGATGGAGGACACAATCTGGCTGATCAACCTGTTAAGGTTGGTGTAGGTAGGGCGCTCAATATCGAGGTTCCTACGGCAGATGTCATAAATGGCCTCGTTATCGACCATGAAAGCACAATCTGAGTGCTCCAGAGTGGTGTGGGTGGTCAGGATGGAGTTGTAGGGCTCCACCACAGCGGTGGACACCTGTGGAGCTGGGTAGATGGAGAACTCAAGCTTAGACTTCTTGCCGTAGTCAACAGAGAGACGCTCCATCAGCAAGGAGGTGAAACCAGAGCCAGTTCCACCTCCAAAGCTGTGGAAGACCAGGAAGCCCTGGAGACCGGTGCACTGGTCAGCCTAGAAAAAAGAAAAAGAAAATTAAAGAAACACAATCACATAATGTTTGGTGTTTTGTTTTGTTACAGTTTAACCAAATTATAACCTCTTACCAGTTTGCGGATCCTGTCAAGCACCAGGTCGATGATCTCCTTGCCGATGGTGTAATGGCCTCGAGCGTAGTTGTTGGCAGCATCTTCCTTTCCAGTGATGAGCTGCTCAGGGTGGAACAGCTGACGGTAAGTACCGGTGCGGACCTCGTCTGAGAGACAACGAGAAGATGATGAAGCAGCAGGTTTTAGTTGAGAGCACTAACCTGACAGGCACTGTAATGAACAATAATCAATATCAGAAAATTGCTTACCAATCACAGTGGGCTCCAGATCCACAAACACCGCCCTGGGGACATGCTTGCCAGCTCCTGTTTCACTGAAGAAGGTGTTGAAGGAGTCGTCACCTCCACCAATGGTTTTGTCGCTAGGCATCTGTCCGTCCGGCTGAATGCCGTGCTCAAGGCAGTAGAGCTCCCAGCAGGCATTGCCAATCTGGACACCAGCCTGGCCTACATGGATGGAGATACACTCACGCTGTTGAAAGAAAAAGCACCAGTCATTGAAATCATGGCAGAAAATTATCAATTATAATAATTGTAACAAATAATTCACAAAGATATGACATTCCGTAGGATTAGATATAAAAACTGCATACATCAAACTTCAAATTACAATGACAGACTAATTTACTGATGGTAACTATTCCAACCCGCCACACCTGTTTTGACTGACAAATGAATGAATTAGGAGTGAAAAGGGCCATTCATGCCGGCATGATAAACACACCTTCTTTCGAACACTGTGGGTGAGGGAAGATTTATCAAGATCATTTCTTCCTGTATGCAAACCAGGTGACAGTGAAGCAACTCGCGGCAGTTAGGCGCCCCACAAAAAAGGCATTCATATCTTCCATGACGCCTTTTGACATTTTTACAAGAGAAAAAGGCATGTACTGAATACTCAGAGGGAAAGGCGAGGTGTTTTCACTTTCATGAATTTTGACATTAAATGGTGCTCAATACAGTTACATTCAGTCAGTTTTTTAATTGCAGTGACCAGTCATGTGAACTCTAGCCAGTGACTGATAACTGACCAGGCCGGGGGGAAGTGGGAGGCTGTGCCGAGGACGCTCTTACTGCCTTAAGGGCCTTAAGGCCCAAGATGGCTCAAAGAAATGGGCGAATCTCTGCTGATGTAAATGAAGAGATGGTATCTGTCCTCATTATTGACTCATGAGACATTACTGCTGCCATTGCAATGACATATTTAAGACAATGTGATAGCTCTGTTAGCATTTACCCTTCCCTGTGCCTAGACTACTTCTGGTTTTGTGTGAGTTTGAAAGAAAACCAGAGCAAGACCTTTACAAGACCATGATCCGTCCCTGGCACTACTGGAAGAAGAGCAAGTACGCTAGCAGCATTGTGACTAGCGTGTCGCAGAGGGGCGGGATAGTGCAAATCATGCCACCTTCCTCCCTCCCTCCCCCGCTCCTTCTTTAAATCGGTCTACACCCTGCTGTGTGTTCTCCTCTCTAGTCTCTCAGGCTAAATGCCAAATAGCTCATTATGCACTTACTGGGGCGCATAATGGACATATAGTTAACTATCACCATTTATTCACTGTATAGTGCACTACATAGGGAGCATGGCACCGTTTGAGACTAAACCTCGGTCTCTGACTCCAGCCAGCTGTTGCCAAGGGATTTGCACATTTGCCTGTTGCCTGGCAACGGGGAAACGTGCAAATCCCTTGGCAACAGCTGGGTGGAGTCAGAGACCGAGGTTTAGTCTCAAACGGTGCCATGCTCCCTATGTAGTGCACAACACAGTCATGAAATGGTTCTAGTGCACTTCATCTTCAGATTCTGATCAAAAGATGAAAATGAGATCAGTATTCCACATTTATACATAACTGGTTTTTTTGATTGAGGAATGTTATCAAAAGTAGCTCAGGGCTGTAATCTGTCTTTACTGTCCCCTTCCCCCACTTTTGCCCTCAGCGGGGAGCCTGCGATACTCCCACTCTTCACTATGCTAAAAAGATACCAGCTAAGGAGGGAAGGGAAGCACAAATGCTAATCGGCTTTACAGACTAACCTTCTGTTACAGCTCCCAGGGGAGCCATGACTCCGTAAAAGACATTTACATTACAACAGGCAAGGGTTTTCCATCCTTACAGTGTTTAAGGGTTCAAATTAAAAGCTCGGCTAGCTATCGAAACTGACCAACTGCTTTGAAAATGTAGGTCAGATTTAGCATATGAAAATGTTCACAGGTGACTGTAAGGCGTTGTCTTATTCATTTATTTATTTTAGGTACTGGAGAAGGCCAGCCAAAACAGAACGATTTATCTTGGTCATAGCAGGACAAACTGGGGATGTTTTATACAGACAAGGCTGTAACGTTACATGCAACTACTGCAATAAAGGACTTACAGAGCCCCTAAGGTGACATGGTGATTATTTAATAAGGCGTGGCCACAAATTAATATATTATAAGCAACTTACACTGTGGCCACACCTTATTAAAAAATAATCAGTATTATTTTTAATGTAATATGCAAAGAGTCATTTTGGACCATTTCTATTGTTCCATCAATCACGCACCGTGAATGGAAGCAGGCATTAAAAAACAAATATCTTAAAAAAAGGACAAAAACTGTGCAAAACATTGTGCCGACAGTGACGATAAATATATACATTATTTTTATATTTTTTTAGAAGAAAAGCGGGAAGCGCGTGCTGCTACAGTAAAAACCCGCGAATGTAGCCCGTCTACGTCACAGCCACCAAACGGCCTCATTCAAGTCTCCTCAGAGAAGAAAATGGCTGGAAATCCGATTAAGCGATGGGGCGTTAAGTTAGTAAAAATACGAGAAATTGGCGCTGGTACTGTGTATTCGTGCGCCGTAGCCTCTCCTCTGAAACAGCAGCGTTAATAACCATCGATAACTGTAGTGATTTTTTTATCTGAGTCGTATGAAAGTATTCAACCGCCACGTTCCCGCGGCCGCTCAGCAAGGAGGAGCATCTATGATAGAAAGCTTTAAAAAATGAATAGAAAGCTAAAAAAGAGTAGGTCGTCGAGCACAAATTGCGTTTTATAAGCTCAAAGGCTACAGCTGATCATTTGGTGACCGGTATAGGCTACTTTCACGACGAGGATGATGTTGGCTTCCTATTCGCCAGCTTCTTGTTCGAATTTCCCCGTTCCACCTTAAATGATGCAGCAGTACGTTCTGGCGCCCGATGCGCCACACGCACTGCCGCATCATTTAAGGTGGAACGGAAAAAACCGAATAAGAAGCTGTCTAAAAGAAGAAATAACCCCGCAAAAACGCAGCTCTTTACAGTTATAGCCTTGTTAACGTTATATTACTTACCATATTGAGACGTTAAGGTTATCAGCCCGACGGGAAAGGGTTCTTGTAGCGGAAAGGTTACCTTCGTCGACGGCTAAGAGTCGATGTAGTAACTACTTGCCGTCACTGTGGCGCACCACTTTATAAAGGCGCTGGTGCTTTGGGGGCTGGGCTCATGAATACGAGGCCGAGCAGAAGAGAATGACTTCACATTTCATTGTAAATCAGCACGTTTTGGTTTCTTTATTCATTCTGCCTACTGCACACAAATATGAGTAATTTATTGAGATAAATGAGTTGTCTCCTCAAAATCACTGATCTACGCTTTCTGTCATATTTCATCTGCTATACTGCTGTTTAGTCCTACAGATGGTTCTCCAGTGTTTTTTTTAGCAAAGACAATGGTCCTATATAGAACCATGAAACATCAAAGACTCGTTTGCATGCTTACATTGTTCTTTGCACGATGAAATGATTCTTCAGATTGATGGAGTATGGGTTGTATATGGCTTGTAACAATAGAAGGACTCTTTTTGTGCTATATAGAACTATATAGAAGAAGGTCATACATAGAACCATATGCAACGCATTCATCATCAATCTGAAGAACCACTTCGTTATGCAAAGAACCATTGTGCGCATGGTTCTATACAAACCATTGTCTATACTAAGAATCCTTGAAGCACCATCTTTTTAAAGAGTGCATAGAACAAAAGGGTTGTTTTGCTGAGGTGTGCATTTATACACGATGCTCTATGCAACCTGCAGGTTCTACCATTTCCACTGAAGTCTCCCTGGAAAAGAGGAGAAAGCCTCATGAATCTGCTCAGACAGGACAGCCTATTTAAAGGTGTCCTAGTCTATTACAAAATCATCACAGTGTGGAACAGAGAGCATTGTTTGAGTGCTGCTGTCTGACACTTGAGATAATGTTAAAGTTACAGTCCTTTAAAGGAAACGCGCTCAGGTTCACAGATAATTAAATAGCCCTGCTAATGCAATACATTTATATGTGATATTTTGAATGGGGGGTGGAAGGCACCAGACAGGCGTGTTCATTATTGATGAGCAATACAGGTCACGTGACGCACTGCAGATGGATGACGTCAGTGCTCTGCAGCAAAACTCCGGACAAAGAAGGGCGGTGGCTTGAAGGGAGCAGCGAGTGCACGCTCACACGCGCGCGCACACGGTCCAGTCACTACTGATGAGAATGTTTGAATGTCCAGAAAGCAAAAGCACCCTCTGTAAATAAGGTATGATACTACATGCAAAAGTAATGAGACATTTATATATATATATATATATATATATATATATATATATATATATATATATATCATAGCATAACTATAATCAATATTGTTACCTTTAATATTTACAGTATTTCATGTTTCATGTATGGGTATTCTGTGGGCAATGCAGTGCTATTTACAATGTCATACTAAAAATGCTTACATACAAGTATCATATATAAGTATTTTTGGTATGACATTGTAACTAGCACAGCATTGCCCATAGAATATCCATACATGAAATATGAAATACTGTAAATGTTAAGGTGACAATATTGACTATAGTTATGCTATTATATTAGTTTATATACTATATTGTGCTATAGTTATATTATAAAAGACTGTCATACTGCTCAACTAATTTAAGGAGGTTTTTCAGACGTTTAGTACAAAGTGTTAAAATAATGCAATCATCTGTTACTTAAATACTGTAATTCTTTATGAAGCTTTTTAACGTTGTATAATTAGCAAACATGTTTTGAATAGAAGAGATTAATACGACGATATAAACAACGTGAATAGTAATTATGCATATGTTAAGTATATATTAATTATGGAAATGTGTCCTCAGCTGACCTTTTTAATTACACACCTGGTGGTATAAAGTGAAAATGCAGGAACAAATCTACTGTAATAAATATTCGTATATTGAATTCACTGCGCCAAAGGAGGTCTCACTGCTCAAATGTTTTTCAAACCTGTTTTCGGGCCAGCCCCTCCCTCCTGTATTGGGATTGGCCAATAGCATTCACATTGCTGCGTTGGGATTGGCTAGTAGTGCATAGCCATGAACTACTAGCTAATCCTAGCACAGGAAGGCGCGGCTTGTCGGAATATGGGTGGGAAAAACCCCGTCCCTCCCTCCTACGCCCTCCGCGCATGCTCAGTGAGAGCGCCGCCTCCTCACTCTCTTTCCTCCGTTGTCTGGACAGCGTCCATCTCTTCAGCGCCAGCATCATCTGCAGAGAGAGAACAAAATGGTGAGAACTTTCTTTCTTCTGATTTGCTCACGATGACTCTGTTTTTGTTTGTAGATGTTAATAAGTGGAAATAGGTGTTAACGAATGGTTTCAGACCGCAGAGGGATTTTGAAATTGCTTTGGTTCTTTCATTCATGAAGCATCAGGGTGGGTCCTCCAGAAAAGCGCCACGGCGAGCCTTATTGTCCACAGACAAAGGGGTCTTAACTGGACTCTGAAAATATAGAGAGGAGGTCTAGAGGTGGACAGGAATTGTGTTTCAGCGTACATTCAGAATGAAAAGATATATGATTGTTCATGCTTAGAATATTTAACATAATCTGCCACTCCCTATTGTCAGAACCATGTTTGGCCTTTGAGTTCATTGTGGCTAATTCAACAAAAGTCCAGCTTTTTTCTTTAGTAAAATTTATTACAATGTACATTCCCAAATTCAGATTAAGGGAAATTCTAGACACATGTCTAGAACATGATAACAGAACAGAAGCACCAAAACCTTAAGAAAGGCCAAAACGTCTGGTTTAATTATCAGTGCAAGATCTAAGAAGTGTGGTTTTTGTACAGTATTGTATTTCTGCATTATCTGTGTATTATTACATTATGTATAATGTACATGATTTGTGCATTATTACAAATATTATCTTGTACCATGACATATATCATTGAATAGGTTGTGAGTTTTCAGCAGTTAGACACTCAGTTTTGTAAAGCATCAGCATTAAACTTGACTGCATTTTGCTTATTAAAATAAACTATTTTCCTTTTATCTCTACAGCGTGAGTGTATCTCCATCCATGTAGGCCAGGCTGGTGTCCAGATTGGCAATGCCTGCTGGGAGCTCTACTGCCTTGAGCACGGCATTCAGCCGGACGGACAGATGCCTAGCGACAAAACCATTGGTGGAGGTGACGACTCCTTCAACACCTTCTTCAGTGAGACAGGAGCTGGCAAGCACGTCCCCAGGGCGGTGTTTGTGGATCTGGAGCCCACTGTGATTGGTAAGCAATTTTCTGATATTGATTATTGTTCATTACAGTGCCTGTCAGGTTAGTGCTCTCAACTAAAACCTGCTGCTTCATCATCTTCTCGTTGTCTCTCAGACGAAGTCCGCACCGGTACTTACCGTCAGCTGTTCCACCCTGAGCAGCTCATCACTGGAAAGGAAGATGCTGCCAACAACTACGCTCGAGGCCATTACACCATCGGCAAGGAGATCATCGACCTGGTGCTTGACAGGATCCGCAAACTGGTAAGAGGTTATAATTTGGTTAAACCAAAACAACGAAAAAAACAGATTCTGTGATTGACTGTCTTTCTTCAAATCCATTTTTCTCTTTTCTAGGCTGACCAGTGCACCGGTCTCCAGGGCTTCCTGGTCTTCCACAGCTTTGGAGGTGGAACTGGCTCTGGTTTCACCTCCTTGCTGATGGAGCGTCTCTCTGTTGACTACGGCAAGAAGTCTAAGCTTGAGTTCTCCATCTACCCAGCTCCACAGGTGTCCACCGCTGTGGTGGAACCCTACAACTCCATCCTGACCACCCACACCACTCTGGAGCACTCAGATTGTGCTTTCATGGTCGATAACGAGGCCATTTATGACATCTGCCGTAGGAACCTCGATATTGAGCGCCCTACCTACACCAACCTTAACAGGCTGATCGGTCAGATTGTGTCCTCTATCACAGCCTCCCTCCGATTCGATGGTGCCCTGAATGTTGATCTGACTGAGTTCCAGACCAACTTGGTGCCCTACCCTCGTATCCACTTCCCTCTGGCCACATACGCCCCAGTGATTTCTGCTGAGAAAGCTTACCATGAGCAGCTCTCAGTGGCCGAGATCACCAACGCTTGCTTTGAGCCGTCTAATCAGATGGTCAAATGTGACCCACGTCATGGCAAGTACATGGCTTGCTGCTTGCTGTACCGTGGTGACGTCGTACCTAAAGACGTCAACGCTGCCATCGCCACCATTAAGACCAAGCGCACCATCCAGTTTGTGGACTGGTGCCCAACTGGTTTCAAGGTTGGTATTAACTACCAGCCCCCCACCGTGGTGCCTGGTGGTGACCTAGCCAAGGTCCAGAGAGCTGTGTGCATGCTTAGCAACACCACAGCCATTGCAGAGGCTTGGGCCAGGCTTGACCACAAGTTTGACCTGATGTATGCCAAGCGTGCCTTTGTGCACTGGTATGTAGGAGAGGGTATGGAGGAGGGAGAGTTCTCCGAGGCCAGAGAGGACATGGCTGCTCTGGAGAAGGATTATGAGGAGGTTGGAGTTGACTCCATTGAGGGAGAGGGAGAGGAGGAGGGAGAGGAGTATTAGATTTCCCAATACTGCTTCAGTATGTCTCTCCATGTTAGAATTAACCAAGTAGGGCTTATCCTTTGGACTGACTGCTGCTGTCATCATGATGTAATAGCAGATCAGGCAGTAACAGTACTGGTGGTGTTAGGTTCAGTGTAGTCCAGAAATCCTTAAACAGTATGTTAATGGAGGTCATTGTTGTCACTCTGCCATTGTGAAAACAGTTATTTGCTGTGAAAACCTAATAAAACTCTTCAAAAAAGTTATTGTGTATTATTTTAACTTTGCAGTGGTTCTTACTGCCCTAAACACGGTGCAATTTAATTCTTGTTGTTTACTATCTTATAAAATAATGACCTGCTATCTGCCGACTTGAGTTAATTTTTTCTGAATTATTTCACCTTTTATAAGATGACTTGACAGATCTGTGATAACTTCATAATTCTGATTATTCAGTGATCTCTCCTCATGATAATTTCTCAGCTTTTAAAAAAAGCCTTCTCAATGTAGTATAACTAAAATAAAAAAGGTTATATTAAGTAAATGTAAGAAGTAATATTGCTACATTTTACTATGTTATATTACTATATATAGCAATATAAGAAAGGTTCAGTGTAGACTATTGCCCCTAAAATTAGGGTAATATATAAAAGAAAGACATTGAAGAAACAACAAGATATTTGTGAAAATTAGATCTTTGGGTTCAATTCACACTGTTCGCACTCTGGCTCCCCCCGATGGCATGGAGCATCTCTTGCGGTGTATAATGACATTAATGATGTCTACTACAGTCATATCTACATTTTACAGAGACTACAAACCAGACCAGAGCTGCATTTCTAATAATGTAGGAGGGGAAATAACTCTTGAGATACCTCTGGAGTTCTGGGCACCTTCTGCTTTGGACTACATTTTAATAAAATATGGTGCTTCAATGTAAAGAAAGTTCTATATCGAACCGTAAACACTCAAAGAACCCTTTGCATGATTAAAGCATTCTTTAAATGGTGAAATGATTCTTTAGATTGATGGAGGATGTGCTGTAGATGGTTCTGTATAGAACCTATTTGAGAAAGGCTCTATATAGCACCCGAAAGGGTTCTTCCATTGTTATGGTGTCAAGCTTGTAACAATAGAAGAACTCCCTTTTCAAAAAGCTTCTATATAGAACCATCTATAGAATATTCAAATGGCACATTTTCCATCTATCCAAAGAACGCTTTCATGATGCAAAGAACCCTGTAATCATGCAAAGGGATACAGAACCATTTTCTTTGGGAGGGAGGAGATGGGCAGGTGGTGGAGTGTGAAAACTTTGTTACAGGAAACAGAAGGTAGAGATGGGACATTATAGGACGTAAGAGAGGAAGGAGGAGGGGCTTCAGGCATGGTCCACCTCCCAAACCTCCCTGTTACAGGAAACAAAATTCATAATTCATTGATTTCTTACTGTAATGTTGCATGCCACACTGAATTAGTTGCGTTAGAGCCAGGAACACAGTTAGATATGGAGTGCTGGGCGTAAACTGACAGTGTTTGAATCTCCATTAGCTAGTGGTATTTCTATAGAACCGAGTAATACTTCTACTATGTAATGTATTTACCTCCATATAATATGCCTGTAGTACTGTGAAATTATTCTAGCATTGTGCTATTATATTCCAGGAGTAGTAAACTACAGTAATTGTATGAATTTACTAGATTCTAATACGCATTTCTGTAGTATTACTATTGTAGTTTTTTATAAGATAAAGATTTCCATTTCAAATAAGACCTCCATAATCAGTAAATCAAAAGTTATGCTAAATGTACTGAAGGCAAGTTTGGTTTGTAATCAACAATAGAACCGTTAGAAGGAACAGTGATCGAAAAAAAATCCAAGGGTTCTTCATGGGATCTGTTGTAAAGGCAACGGTTCTATATAGAACCAAGGAAACCTTTGAAATGCCTGGTTAAATGGTTGTTCTGCAAGACAGAGAACCATATCTGGTTCTTTAAAGAATCTTTTTCCTTTTTAAAATGTACTATATAGCACCCTTTTTTGCTGTAAGAGTACATTTGCCATGATAGCTAATAGTATATATATTCATACACACATAAACACACACTAGAGATCTTCTTTAGGACTCTGGAAATGGTCACTGTTTTGATAACGCATACATGTCTAATCTAGTAAAATCAGTTTCCTCGACTTATGCAAATTGATGGCTTGTTCAGAGAGCAAAGGACTAGTTTGCTTGGGGTGTTATCTTTTCCTCACCCACATTTTGCCATCCTACATTAGGAGTGGCTATCATAGGGTTGGTTATAGTCATAATCAGTTCCCTGATGAGAATACAGAAACTGATTTTCCTAGATTAAAAACTACAGGGATATGTAGCCCCGAAGGGGCCGTGGTTAAAAAAAAAAAATGGCATTGCATTCCCTCACAATAATTTTGCATTCCCTTGCAAATGTTTTGGGTTCTCTTGTGAAATTTTGCATTCCCTCGCAAATTTTTTGCTTTCCTTTGCAATAATTTTGCATTCCCTTATAAATGCAGCAAATTTTGCAAGAGGATTCAAAAAATTTGCAAGCAGACACAAAACTATTGCAAGTGACACAAAAAGTTTGTGAGAGAATGCAAAAACAGTCCAAGGGAACACCATGTCTTTGCAGTTTTTCACACTTTAGGGGCTCAGTAGGGGAGAGAGGACTAACAGTGAGGTGTAAACAAAGTATCTCCAATGTTTTGTATTAGCAGTTAGCTATGCTGTATTGACTTCAAGTGTACAGTTAGCCCCCACCACCTCCCACAAAACACTCCCCCGTCCCCCCCCCACTACCCATTTGCTGCAGTAACAGCCTCTACTCTTCTGGGAAGGCTTTACACTAGATGTTGGAACATTGCTGTGAGGATTTGATTGAGCATTAGTGAGTTCAGGTACTGATGTTGGATGGCCAGTTCTGGATCACTCCAACTCACCCCAAAGGTATTGGATGGAGCTTCATCACTCCAAAGAATGCAGTTCCACTGCTCCACAGCCCAAAGCTGGGGGGTCTTTACACCCCTCTAGCCCACCTTAGGCTCATGAGAGGCCAATCAAGACCAAGACATGGGCAACTGAACGCCTGTATCAGCAGGTGAATTCACTAATTAGAAGTGTCTGGATACTTTTGCACAGGTACTGTAGCTAGACAAAGATGTTAGTTTATATAATGGCTCATTTTAAGTGTGAACTACTGGTTTATTTGCGCATGTGGGCGGGACCTGTCGGAATACGGGTGGGAAAAGAAACACCACGTGCCACCACCCGTATATATATATCTTTTTCTGGGGAAGTTCACATCTTCATCTCACAACGGATTCTTAACGGTCTCTACGTGAGAGTTGCAGCGAAGCTTCATCCCGCTTTTTGTACTTAATTCCTTCGACGTAATCATGGTAAGCGTAACTTTACTAAACTTATGTTACATATGATAATGTTATATCGTCCTAGAAATGACGAGGCTTAAGTTCTACCTTTGTTTAAAACAACTGCTTTTTTTCGAATTTCCCGTTCCACCTTAAATGGCGCCGCAGTTACGTTCTGGCGCCTGAGTTACATTCTGGCGCAGCAGTTACTTTCGCAGCGTCATTTAAGGTGGAACGTGAAATTCGAATAAGAGGCTGTACAAATAATAAGCCTTGCACAAAAATCCCTACTGTGCTTGGTTTATGTGTAAGCTTAAGTTAAAATGACCACAGCTGAGCTTCTTAGGTTTGACTGTGTTGTTCAACTGGGATCTAATGAACAAATTATTCTCAGTGTAGGCCTAAACTGTTGCTCCCAGTTGTTAAAATGCACTGCGTACATCCAACAGCTAACCTTACAGAGTAAATAATGTGTTCCCGCTTAATGATGCAATGTACCACAGCAGTTAGTAACTAACTTTTTAGAGACGCAGAGTAATAGAGGTAAAGAGGAAGGAGAGATAAGCATGTAAATCAAAAACAAAATATGTAAAAACATAGAAAGTAGGGTAATATGATATCTTTTGATATATTTTTCCCACTGAAAGTATTCTTAGTAAGCTATTTGCATCACTGACACAGTATTTTACCAATTTATTTTAAGAAGAAAAAGTTTCTGTCAATCTTTTGACTATTATATTTATTTATAATGCCACCTCCCTTTTTTAATGTAATAGACTTTAAAAGAATACTTCAACGTCTTTTAACCTAAGCCCTATCTGCCACATCTGTAGCAAAATGTTGATTACATGGGCAATGATTTTGTAGGTTCCTCTGTGTTTAGTAAATGCTCAGATATAAATATAACATTTAATAGACGCCGATGGGCAAATGCACCAGTCTTCATTTATGGATGTGTTTTGAGTCACTTTTTTGTTGTTGTTTTATGAGTTATCTTCAAAATCAGTGATGCACACAACTTTTGTAACTTTGGTCTGTGGTAATCGACCATATGCTACGGATACAGCAGGTACAAATCAAGGAGTTTTTTAATAGACCTGTGAAAGATTGCTAAGCTGGCTTGTGCTACTGTTGAAGTGTTTGAACGAGTGAAATAAATTGCATGTGTGGCCATTCCAAAGAGATTAACGCTGTGATGGCTTTCAGAAGCGTTTAAAAGGGAGAATTATCATGTGACCTGCCAGTCTACATTGTCATGGTCTGTAAAAGTGCATAGTTCTGCAAAAAGCAGTGGGCCATAATTAATACGGCTCAACAGTCAAAAGATGTCAGTTTTTTTACACAATGGCAAATAGTATAGAGATTATCTTGTGTTAATGATGACCAAATAATTGTACAATTCTGAATAAATGTGCCTTTAAAGTGGAATAGTGGAATTACACCAGTTTTTCCACAGTTTCTGCATATTTCCATCACTGACTGGTAAATAAAGCCATTTAAAGTGGTTTGTTGTGAAATGGTGCATTACAGAGAAACTTGCTAACTCCGATTTCTTTACAGTGGTGGTGATAGAAACTATGGGTCAACTTATACAGCCATTTTATTTACTATCCAAAAGCACTACTGGACATTTCACATTAAACCAATCAGAATGACTTTGTTTATGTTAATGATTTAATCGTGAAAATTTTTGAAATTTTTAAAAATTGGTGGAATTCCCCTTGATCAATCACAAACACGTCATGAGCTGTACGCCTATTAAATTGAATCAGTTATTTTAAATGAAAGGTAGCTCACTCCATATTAAAACACTGCTGCACTTAATATGTTTTTAGGACTGTGTTTAATACAGAGTAGCTGTTGAGTGCCTGTTAGTCATGTGGCCTGAGTGCTGCTCTCTATCTGGCTGCAGTAACACACAGGGCTGTTTTGTCTCTTACTTCCATATGATTATAAATGTACCATCAGGTGACGCACAACTCGCACTCTATTTTGAGGAAGTTTTTACAGTTGTTGAAATCCCTTTTTCACTGGATGTGGAGCTCCAGTTTTAGTTGAGCACCAAATGACCTCTCAGAGCAGTTGTAGTATTCACAGGCACATTTACAAGTCAGAATATTTTTTTTTATATATCTTTCTAAAGGCAAAGCAGGAAGATTTATTCGTATAGCACATTATATACCAAAGGAAATTCCCATAAATGCATTTAAAAAGAACATCAGAAGGAAATTAGTGCCTAGAGCTGTATGAATGCAAGATTCATTGTTAATTAACGAAGTATAATTACTGAGTGAGGAGAATATAATCAGACTAAAATATGGTGAGCGTGCGTTTCTGTGAGTTGACCTGTAAAGCCTGAAATCATCATTTGAAGGTCAGAATCGTTGGGTCAGGACTTTTTCGTATTTACATATTGTCTTTACTTATTAACGTCACAAACACAGGCTCAAAAAGAAGGTCCGGCTCAATGTTCAGATCTCAAATTAACATTACACTGATGAAGATGTGATGATAATAGTAAATAATTGACATCCTCAGAAGACGCGTCTTTCACCACGTTTTGGCTGATGTCTTGTTGAATTCTCTTTGAGTCGTCAGATTCCACTTGGGGAAGGGGTCCAAAGCCCAACCCATGCTACAAAATGTTGCATGTTGCATGCAATTACATATTTCCACCAGAGAGGTCTCCAAATCGCCAAAACATGCATAGTGTAGAGAATAAAACAAAGCATGGTCCCAGTCTACTGCTGATGAGAATATGAGGGATTTAGTCAGAGGGATTCAATATAGTAAGTGATCAGGAAATTTCACAAAACTAAAACCAAGAGAGGCTCAACACATAGAAAACAAGCAAAACCTGACAACACCAAGCAATGGTCTGTCTCAGCCTTTTGAGAAGACTTTTCTCGTTTGTGTACAATTCACAAATACTGAGCTAGACCTAAGTACACTGTTTATCCTAATGTTTGCAGACACCTGCTCTTCTGACATGAAGGGTACTAATAGTGATTTTGTCCCCCTTTGCTGCAGTAACAGCCTCTACTCTTCTGGGAAGGTTTACACTAGATGGTGGAACATTGCTGGGAGGATTTGATTGAACATTAGTGATCAGTCAGGTACTGATGTTTGATGGTCAGTTCTGGATCACTCCAACTCATCCCAAAGATATTGGATGGAGCTCCATCACTCCAGAGAACGCAGTTTCACTGCTCCAAAGCCCAATGCTGGGGGGCTTTATACCCCTCTAGCAAACGCTTGGCATTGGGCTTGGTGGCCTTAGGATCATAAGCAGCTGCTCCCATTCTATTGGTCTGTACTTTTTTGTAGAGATTAAACAAACGTGTGACCTTAAAGTAGCTAAATTTACTTATTAGAAGGGCTGTCTGGACACATAGTGTATACAGAACCTGTATATGACCAGCTCAGTGTAGAACCAAGCCAGTTTTTGTAGAACTGAGCCAAAAAAACAGCCTCACTGTTGAACCCATTCCACTTTAAAACCCCACATCTTTCCTCTACAGCGTGAGTGTATCTCCATCCACGTCGGTCAAGCTGGTGTTCAGATTGGCAATGCCTGCTGGGAGCTCTACTGCCTTGAGCACGGCATTCAGCCGGACGGACAGATGCCTAGCGACAAAACCATTGGTGGAGGTGACGACTCCTTCAACACCTTCTTCAGTGAGACAGGAGCTGGCAAGCATGTCCCCAGGGCGGTGTTTGTGGATCTGGAGCCCACTGTGATTGGTAAGTTAAAGCTATAATGCATTATTAATGTCTTATAATTACTTGTCATATGGTCTGGAAAGCAATTCTGCAGTAGCTAATCTCTTCATCTGTGGGTTGCTGACCAAAAACGTGGATATCACTGATGACACATAATCATGCTACACAGTTTCAGCTTATTTGTACTGTCATGGTGACATTAAAGCCATCTCAAGAATCTCCCCTTCCACCTAGACGAGGTCCGCACTGGCACTTACCGTCAGCTGTTCCACCCTGAGCAGCTCATCACTGGAAAGGAAGATGCTGCCAACAACTACGCTCGTGGGCATTACACCATCGGCAAGGAGATCATCGACCTGGTTCTTGACAGGATCCGCAAACTGGTGAGAAATACAAGAATACAGATTTCCAACCCCTCTTTTCTTCAAATTACTAACTTGTTTTCTTTCTCTTGTTCCCATTTAAGACTGACCAGTGCACCGGTCTCCAGGGTTTCCTGGTCTTCCACAGCTTTGGAGGTGGAACTGGTTCTGGTTTCACCTCCTTGTTGATGGAGCGTCTCTCTGTTGACTACGGCAAGAAGTCTAAACTTGAGTTCTCCATCTACCCTGCTCCACAGGTGTCCACTGCTGTGGTGGAGCCCTACAACTCCATCCTGACCACCCACACCACTCTGGAGCACTCAGATTGTGCTTTCATGGTCGATAACGAGGCCATTTATGACATCTGCCGTAGGAACCTCGATATTGAGCGCCCTACCTACACCAACCTTAACAGGTTGATCAGCCAGATTGTGTCCTCCATCACAGCCTCCCTCCGATTCGATGGTGCCCTGAATGTTGATCTGACTGAGTTCCAGACCAACTTGGTGCCCTACCCTCGTATCCACTTCCCTCTGGCCACATACGCCCCAGTGATTTCGGCTGAGAAAGCTTACCATGAGCAGCTTACAGTTGCTGAGATCACCAACGCTTGCTTTGAGCCAGCAAATCAGATGGTCAAATGTGACCCACGTCATGGCAAGTACATGGCTTGCTGCTTGCTGTATCGTGGTGACGTCGTTCCTAAAGACGTCAACGCTGCCATCGCCACCATTAAGACCAAGCGCACCATCCAGTTTGTGGACTGGTGCCCAACTGGTTTCAAGGTCGGTATCAACTACCAGCCGCCCACTGTGGTGCCTGGTGGTGACCTTGCCAAGGTCCAGAGAGCTGTGTGCATGCTTAGCAACACCACAGCCATTGCAGAGGCTTGGGCCAGACTTGACCACAAGTTTGACCTGATGTATGCCAAGCGTGCCTTTGTGCACTGGTATGTAGGAGAGGGTATGGAGGAGGGAGAGTTCTCCGAGGCCAGAGAGGACATGGCTGCTCTGGAGAAGGATTACGAGGAGGTTGGTGCAGATAGCTTGGAGGGAGAGGATGAAGGAGAAGAATACTAAGTGTACACCTGATTGTTGAGTGAGGTTTTGAGTTCATTCATCTTTTACATGTTTCTTTCTAGATATATGTGTTTGATGAAATTAAATCACATTTAACTAATTCACACTTTTTTGTTTGTGATCACTTTTGGAGCATGAATTGAATAAATTTGGGATAAACAAATCTAGGTTATCTTGTTATTTGTTTGCCACCGCCTGTCCTTAAAAAACCTATTGAACCCAAGAGTATTGATGTTTTGCTATCAGCTCTGTTTCTCCAACTATGATGTATTTGTCTTGGTGAGAGCACACATGTGTGACATACTAAACAGACCAGACAAGTACACAGGACTATTTACAAACATTCAAGAGAAAATAAGACATATGAACCAAAGGTAAAATTAAAAAATATATAATAAAACATAGAAAATAGATCAGAGCCCCCTTACATGGCGAGTTTTATTACACACTTCTATAACTGGAGAACAGCTCAACCACACTCTTAAAAATGATGGGTCTTCAAGGGTTCTTTAGTAAAGAAAATTGTTCCATTCATAGAACCATGAACATTCAAAGGACCTTCTGCATGCTTAAAGGGTTCTGCATCATTAAATAGCTTTTCTTTAAACTGATGGAGAATGTGTTGTATATGGTCCTAAGGGTTCTTCTATTGTTAGAATGTCAATCTTGTAACAGTAGAAGAACCCTTTTTGGTGCTATATAGAACCCTTTTTTAAAACGCTTCGGCATAGAACCATCTATAGCACATTCTCCATCAATCTGAAGAACCCTTTCACCATGCAAAGAACCCTTTAATCATGCATCAACCATTTTCTTTACTAAAGAACCCTTAAAGCATCTTTTTTAAGTGTGCAATTTGCGTTGAAGTCCTTGTAATTACTGAATAATTAGCCTTAGTATGAAATGACCCTGAGGTTTTAAGGGGTTCAATGAGCCAAGGTACAAAAAAGAGCCTAAAAAGATGAGTATTTCATATGCACATTGGCTTTTGGTATCACATCATCATTCTGTAGTTGGCCTCATGCCCATATGCTCTTTATCTCTTTATGAAAAGAAAGGGATTAAAGCATTGAAGGAAACTTCTCCGTTTTATTTGAATTAAGTTTAAAGGGGAACTCCACCGATTTTGCAAAATTACTTGATTATTCAATGGTTTAGATGTAAACAAAAGTCAAGAGTCAGAATTGTTCACTATTGTAGTACTAGTAGTCTACTATCAAGTAGGTTGTTGTTGAGACCACCAATTTACATTCGCTGCTAGATTGTTCTGCTTAAGCGCCGATGGGTTCAGTCACACTTTCTCTCTCTCTCTCTCCCTCTACCTCCCTCTCTCTCTCTCTCTCTCTCTCTCTCTCTCTCCCTCCCTTTTGACTTTCTCTTCTTCAAGCCGCTGCAACTCATTTGGGTATTCTGATTAAAATCAATATGGTTCTACCACATTTCTACGAAACACACGTCCTTGAAGTTCTCCACATAGGCAAATAAATGATAAAAATAAACTGTAAACAGAAACTGCCGCAAGCATGTTGAACGGCTGTAGCTACAGGCTAGTAACAGCAAAAGCACGTTACGTTGATCTCAGTTGAGAATGTGGTTTTGAGAGGAAACACGGAAGTAATAGTTGTAAATCCTGGAGTAATAGTTTGTACTAAAAATACGTTCTAGGCTAAAACTTTATAACAAACCTATCACAAAACAATGTCTCAGGTATGAAGCAATGCATTCAGGCCCATTTTGTGTAGTAACTTAATGGGATCTAGCTTTTAGAGCCATTAAATGCTTCAGATGTCTGGTTCCTAGTACTACAATGGTAAAGAATTCCTACTCTGTAAAGTTCTTCAAAAAGGCGCATTTCACACCAAGCCACTCTGAATGATTTTGTTTAACTCTAAACCATTGAATGATTAAGTCATTTTGCAAAATCGGTGGAGTTTCCCTTTAAGTACTCTGTCACCACACTGGGACTAACCAGGTTTTGTCTATGAGACAAAAAAATTGAGTTTTTGAAAATTGTGACCATCACACCCTATGGTAAACTAAAATGTTCCAAATTCATCACATTTTGGTGTGCATACATTTCCCTGCACAATATCACTGGATCCTCTAAATTATGAGGTTATTAAGGAGCCAAAATTGAAATATTGCTCATTGAATTTATATCACAAGATACCAAATATTTACATCACAAGATACCAACCAAAAAGCAGCAAGCTTTGTTAAATGCAGTAGTTAAGTTGCTTTGGAGTTGCTAGTGTTGGTTGGTCAGTCTAACAGTAAACTTGATTCAATTCTGCATTATTTCAAGCAAGAGTGCCAACTTGCTTGTCATATGTATGTAGCAGTATTAAATTTTAAATTCTTATTGAGCTTGAGTTAAGAAGGCTTAAGTGCAGTATGTATTACACTTATTTTACTACTGTTACCATATGTAAGATATGAATTAGGACTATGATGATGTCATTTTTGCCTCTGAAAACTAACTGCACTATTGACCTAGAGAGCAGTTTTATGTCCAATGAGGAAAGTGATGTTTTAGAGATGTTTTCATGATTGTATTGCTAAGATATGTGATATAGTACATGATATATGATATGAACTGCACATAAGTGTTATTACACTATTGACTGCTTCGTTGAGAGGAAGGAATAAGACTCCTGCCTGAATTATTTATGTGACTGTGCTGTAACTGCTGAGTATGTCCCACAGATTACTATTAGTGCTGTGAGCACCACTGCCGTTTTATAGGCTTTTTAGGCTCAGTATTAAGTCATCCTGAAACAATAGTTGCACTTTCTGTTCTTGCTAAATGAAAGGTAAGTGAGGCCATCACCATATTTCAGTTCCCAAAAATGAAACGGAAGGGATAAATGTATACATGTTAGAAACACAAATAAACAGAATTAGTGTTTTTAAAAGGTAATTTTAGAAAACCCATAATAGGTCTTTTAATTGTATTTTTAAGTGAAAGGCTTTCTAAGTTGAGACATACTTCCTCTTTTCTTGGCCTTGTTAATACAGAACTAAGGAAGTGGTAAAAATGGTTATCATTTGTGCAATATTGAGCAAGTGTGACAAAAATGTATGGTAAAGTGTGAAGTGCTTTTTTGGCATAAAGAGATATCAAGCTGGCTGATCCACAACATATTTAAAGCATACTGGGAAAGAACACTGACATTTATGTGGCTCAGTCCTGCAGGAAGCAGTTGAAAGGTAGAGCGATGGAGGAGAAAAACTCATTCTCACTACAGAAAGTTGATTAGATTACGTGCACAAGGCCAAACACAGGAAATGAATTGTGCCATGCAGCATGATGTGGTCAGTAACCAGTGCAGTACAGAAAACCGAAAACAAAACTGAGACAAAGGAATAGAACCAGAACCAAAACACAAATGCAGAAAAATAGCATAGAGGACAGAACAGGACAGAAACCCCACAGCAAGTGGTAAAATGATCCATATGCATGTGTATTATATATATTTATACACATATATACACATTCAGTGCTGTTGAGGTCTGGACTCTAGGGTGGTCAGTCTATTGTTCAGCTTCTTTGTTTGATGTGTCTGTCTCCTTTTCTCAGTGAGGCTTCTTGACAGCTACACATCCTTTCAGACCCATAGCGCTGAGGTGTCACAGTGGAAGGATGGACAACCTGTGGATGTTTTCAGATCTGAAACAGCTTGATTTTCTCCTCTCTCTCTCAAAGATGAAAGCTTTAAGTGCTGTTTATCTGATGGGGGCAGTTTTGGCATCTAGCAGGTCTTCCAGGTGGTTGTTAGGAGGCACATTTTCTCTGTAGCTTTTAAACCTTTTTTTAACTCCAAGAGTTAAAAAGAGTTTTGGAAACTCTTGTTATTTCACTTATTTTATATCGAGTCTCCTCTGAAATGTCTACTTAATGGACGTTTTGCCTAAAAATTAAAGACATGAAGGGTGGTCTCTGACTTTGGCACAGTACAATAAACTAGTTATTATGCTGTATATGAGAATCATTTAACCATGAAAATATAGTTATTTAAATAGTTATTTATGGTTATGTGCTTATATATGTTTATATATTTAACCACTGCCTTTACTAAAGGACCCTTGAAGAGCTCCCTTTTTTAAGAGTGTATGTATTCTTCAAATTTATAAAAAATATTGACACCTTACAAAATATTGTTGTTTCTTATTCACAAAAAACTCACATTACTTATTCACTTCTTCCAATTTATGTAATTTTGCCTTAGGTTAGCTATCTCCCATATTTTCAGTCTAAAATCAGCCTGATTAAAACAACAAAGGCTTTTTTTTCATACCCTTTTTTTGCTATCCTTGACCATGTGTGTCACTGATACTGGAGGGCTCTGCATATAAAAACACAAGACAGTGAAAGATGGAGTGAGAGGGAGACGAGGAGAGTTGGTCTTACAGAAATGTGCATGCTCAGCATCGAGCATTAAAGCAGACATTTGATTGTTCTCTAACAGATATTGACACATTCACTGTCCGTGCAGTCAGTTTGTCTCCCTTAAAAACAAGAACCTATAGAACCATTCATCTACACACTTTAAAATGACTGGTTCTTTAGTGAATAAAAAAAAAAGGTTCTATATAGAGCCATGAACACTTAAAGAACCTTTTGCATGATTTAAGGGTTCTTTGCATCATGAAATGGTTCTTCAGACTAATGGACAACGTGCTGTGATGGTTCTATACAGAACATTTTTGAAAAGGACAAAATCATAGTTTAGAAATGCTTAAACATTTTTTCGCCAACCAATCAGCACTCAGTAGCAGTAATGCTAACCAATCAGCACTCAGTAGCAGTAATGCTAACCAATCAGCACTCAGTAGCAGTAACGTTAGCATCCTGATGTCCAAAACCCGTTTGCTGTGGAAAAAAGAAAACATACAGGTAACTTTTTATGAAATAAATCCTTCTACTTTCTAGAATTAAAGGAACGTTCTGGGCAAGAGATTAGAAACTATTTTAACGTTTTTAGCCGTTTAGCTCCATTCACCCCCATTCGTTGACGACTTGCTCGCGGGTGCCCTTTGGCGTTTTGCGGTCATATTTTTGAGACAACGCGGAGAACTAGCAAGAGACCAGGCTCGTTCCAAACCGCATACTAGCACACTAAATAGTGTGTAAAAATAGCGCATATACCATTAAAAGTGCACTCATTAGTGTAGTAGGCGAAGTACAGAAGTGTGTGGTTTGGGACGCGGCGTTAGATTAGCCTGTGAGACGCGTTCGCTCGTTAGCTGCTCAGTAAACATCTCCAAGAGAACATTTGAGGTATTTGTTGAGGAAGGACGCATTAATTGTGGTAAATTCATGCATTTGTTATGGTAAATAATGCATTTTTGAGGTTAGCTGATTTTGGCTTCGTATTCGCCAACTTTCGAAATTCGTTCTACGTTTAAGGCACCTCAGCCAAAGTGCAGCACCATTTAAGGTGGAACGGAAAATTCAAATGAGAAGCTGGCAAATAAGAGGCTAATTTCAGCTTTATATACAGGTATGAGTTTGCTAATGAAGAGCTTTAGTAGCCACTTTTGTTAGTTTTTGTAAATCTCACGGAACTGAATGTTCTGAACTCTGCAGATGTGCCGGTTATGCGGATCCTGTCCATCAAATTAGATAATCTTCTCCACGTAGCGTTTCTGGAGACGCAACTAAAGTGTTAACACATCATTTCATCTTTTTCATGGTATTTTTTTATCTATTTCGCTACTTTGCTTTCGGTCTTCAGCCACCTGCAGGGCTGTATCTGCAGTAATGGTGATGACACCAGCTCTATCAGAGCACAGTCAGAGTCACAGCCCCCCTTAAAACATGGAGACGTGGTCTTCTTAATGACGTAATCCAAAACTAGGAATAAATATTGTCAAATTGCCCATCACTAGTTTATTCTAAATACATAATATACAGAGTAAAACAGTTACAGAGTATAGATTCCTAAGCTACCTATAATACAAATATATGACAAATTATGGTCTATACTGAGTTTTTACCCGGTTGCTTGTCAGTTAGCTAGCTAGCTGTTAGCTAACTGTAGGTTCACGTGCGGTAAATAAAAGCAGACAGGCAACAATTTTAGCCCAAGTGTGAAAATGAAGAAACCTCACAGACTTGAAGAGAATGAACGAGTGAATGACATCACTGACAGTTCTTTATTCTTTGTTTTTGTATTTCTTTTCAGTAGTAGCCAGAGACTGTTGCTTACAGGACGTTAACCCCTTAAAATCCCAGGCTTATTACATATTAAGGCTTATTATTCAGGAACTACAGGAACTTCAGTACAAACTGGTTGAGATACTTTTAGGTCAAAAAGGTTTGTAATAAACGGCCTTTTAAGGGGTTAATGTCAGTGAAAAGGTTACACAGTGTTGATATATGTTTATGTATTTAGGTTTATATCCCTCAATTCCTCAACCTATAGATGAATGAACATAGGACAGTTCTCTAAGAGAGCTCTGCTGAAGGCCATCGTTGAGTCGTCTCTGCCAATGAGAGAAGCCATTTTGCAGATATAGCCTGTAGGCCTACGAGAGATAAAGGTTGTGTTTCTGATGTGGCCGTTATTGTTTTACAGAAACGTCTTTCTTTGCAGTGATTGATCTCTCATTAAGTACTGAGTTCTTGTAAATCTGAATTTAGTAGGAAAAAGGTACTAATCTATAGTCTGTTTGTTTAAATAACATATTCAGGAGCTGCAGCTTATCTGAGAGCATTGCTTGGCTTTAGTACTGTTGCTTGATCTGTAGCTGTTGTAAGTGGATGGATAGCATTCAAATCATATTAGATCAATGCCTGATACAAACTACACTCTCAAAAAATGGCTAAAGTAAATGGTTCTATAAAGAACCATGAACACTTAAAGAACCCTTTGTATGATTAAACTGTTCTTTGCATCATGGGAGCGTTATTCAGATTGATGGAGAATGTGCTGTAGGTGGTTCTGTATAGAACTTTTTTGAAAAAAGGGTTCTATGTAGCACCAAATAGGGGTCTTCTATTGTTACAGTGTCAAGCCTGTAATAATATAGAACCCTTTGGGGTGCTATATATGACCCTTTTCAACAAGGTTCTATATAGAACCATATAAAACACTCTATCAACCTGAAGAAAAATGACATGATGCAAAGATCAGTTTAATCATGCAAAGCGTTCTTTAAGTGTTCACGGTTCTTTAAAGAACCATTTTCTTTACTAAAGAACCCCTGAAGAACCATCTTCTTTAACTGTATGAATAGATCTTCTATGTGCCAACTTTCACAAATACTTATATGTTATGCCTATTATTACTGTAAAAATTAAATAACATTTTGGTGTCATTAAAGATTTTTTCTGTTAGGAAAGCATGTCCCCAGACCCACCTAGTAAAGGCTCTCTGTGACGCCCCCCCAACTCACCCCAATGGATGGAGCTCCAGAGAACACAATTTCACTGCCCCACAGCCCAATGATGGGGGGCTTTATACCCCTCTAGCCCATGCTTGGCATTGGGCATGGTTAATATAGGCTCATGGGCAGCTGCTCCAGAATGTCCCAGTCCTTTTCTGTAGTGATCATAATGGGTACACCTTAAAGTAGCTGAATTAACTATTTAGAAAAGCTGTCTGGATACCTTTGCACATTTGATCACCATCATTTACAAATAAATCTCTCTCTTCCACAAATGCCTGAGAAAACGAGAGAGAAAACGTGCTGCATTGTTCTCTCTTTAGTGCCCTGTGCTTCAGAAGAGGGTGGTGCATGAGAGGCCTGCTGTGGTGTTGTGGTGGCGCCCTGTAGGTCGAGAAGCAATTTTCCTATCACGCCACACTGCTGTATGATCCTGTCCCCTCATTATCCAGCATTTAAAAAGACCGTGCCGTCCACATTAGCAGCAGAAGATACGGCAGCAGGATACAAAGCAAAACTGATCGCTGATGGATTCTTAACTTTATAGATGAGCCACTGAATAAATTAAAAGATGTCTCAAAATAGCTCATTTAGATTAAATACACCCAAAAATGGAGGAGAGAGCTTGTTTGACTTACAAACTGAGACTATAAGAATATAAACAGATTATTAGTAGTGGTACCTGATCTGTGTAAGATAGACAAAAAATAAGGCAAGTATATTTCAGTGAATAAAAAGTTTGTTTTTTATTGAATTACATTTCATTCACTGAAATATACTTTCATTGTTTTTTCTCAATTTTAACAACCCAAATGTTAAGAAGAGCCATTTTGTCCTTTCAACAAAAATCAAACCACCTTGAGAGCCACAACATTTATGTCCATTTTACCATCTAGGTTGTAAATATGTCTTAGTATGTGCTAATGTGTTAGTACAGGCTAAAAAATATAAACGAAAACACAGACTTACTTTGCTTTGCTTTAAATGAATAGAAAAGAATGTAACTGCTGCACCATTTAAGGTGGAACCGGAAAATTCAAAGAAGACGCTGGCGAATGAGAAGCTGACTTTAGCCTCGCAACTTTTTTGACAGTTTCTTGTTGCAGATTAAATGTATCATGAAACCAGCTGGAATGATTATAAATGCAAATAAGTCCATTCGTTTCCAAATTATCAATGTTCATCTAAAATCTCTCCCTTTTCGTTAGCTACTAGCTAGGAGAGATTGTTGTCTGTGTTCCTATGGTGTAGCTAGTGCAAGCCAATCTTCAGGGTTAATTAGCAGTTCTACATTAACTCCAGCATTTAAGACCATTTATTGTTAAACTGTGTTGAACGATCAGCAGAGCTTTATTTTACTGCAAAGGAGGATTATTTTAGTTTTACCTAAAAATCTAATTCTACTGTGGAGCCGCAACAGGGCAGTAAAAGAGCCGCATGTTGCCGACCCCTAGTGCAACCGAATGGTGTCGGCAGCCACCTTACACGATAGTGTTGTAATTACGAAAAAGATTTGGGTGACTGTAGACTTCTATCAGTTGTTAACAAGGTCTGTCTCATAGCACCAGTGCAAAAAATTAAGAAGCAAAATTTGGACATGTCTTAGCTGATCAACTACATGTGGGGTAAGGGGAAAATAGCATAAATAGTGATTTTTAATTTTTTTTCAGTGTTAAGGATACCAAAATTGTATATACTGAATATACCAACCTGGAAATGTCTGGCAATAAAAAAATGGTTCATAGCATTTTTTAAATATACAAAATCAGTATACAGTGTGAAAGAACAGCTGTAACTGTATTAAATGTCCTCTAACTCCAAAATATTTCTTTTTTTGGATTCTCCAATCACTAATCTGGAAGTTTTACATTCCATGTTGTAAAGTATCTCAACTTTCAGCACTTGCTCAGGTTCTCTGGTGGGCTGTCTGGGATGGGGAACGTCATCCTTTGCAACAAAAATGAGATTAGAACAGATATTCGATATGGCACACTGCAATCTGGTGCTGGAGTAGAATTGCAGAGTCATGCCTCATCCTTTGTCTGCTCCACCAGAACATCAATACTTTCTACTATTACATGAAGAGCAAAGAGAGGAAAATGAAAGAAGTGTATTCTGCAGTGGTGCATGCTTAAATGTTTCGGAAGCTGTTGGAATAACCTGTAAATTCTTAATTCTGCAGTTCTGCTAGGAAAATACGTGAAGAAGTGGGAATCTATGTTTGCGGAAAAGAGGCAGCAGGGTGGGGACATGTGTTTAAATATGACGTCTTAATGTCGGAGGCAGTTAGGATGCCTGCCAATAGCGCAGGACAGGAGGGAGGGAGGGGCACATCTGGGCTGGGGCGGGAGTGGGGGTTGATGGAGGAGAAGAGAAGGGCAAGGAGGGGCAGACATGAAAGAGGAGGCTGCAAGGAGGGAGTGGCCAGGGCCCTTGTGGAAGAATGGTGGATGGATGATGGGAAGAGAGCCCTTGGAGACTGGGAGGTCTGCAGGCAAAGGGGGAGGAGAAACCGTCAGCCTGTGAGGATAAAAGCCCACGTGTACCTTTCTTGGACGTCCTGTTGCTTCAGCTTCGACCACTGCCACCAAAAGCTCCAGAGGAACCCAGATAAGGAGAAGATCTAGCCGATCAATCAACATCCAATCATGAGCCACTCCACCGTCCGCACTTCTTACCGCCGCACTTTCGGCGCACCTTCCTACTCAGCCTACACCCCACTCCCGTCCCGTTTGCCCGTGTCTGGAGGCCGCTACCTCAGCTCGGTACCTCCCTCTGTGACCACTCGTTCGGTGGGCTACCGGATGCGCTCCGCCACCCCCACCCCGGCCCCACGCCTGTCCTATGAAAAGGTGGACTTCTCTCTGGCCGAAGCCATCAACCAGGAGTTCCTGGCCACACGCAGCAACGAGAAGCAGGAGCTGCAGGAGCTGAACGATCGCTTTGCCAGCTTCATCGAGAAGGTGCGCTACCTGGAGCAGCAGAACGCCGGCCTTCAGCTGGAACTCAACCAGTACAAGGGCAAGCACCAGCAGGGCCAACCCAACCGGGCCAGCGAGATGTGCCAGCAGGAGATGAGGGAGCTGCGCAGGCAGATGGAGCTGATCGGCAAGGAGCGGGACCAGGTCCAGGTGGAGCGAGACAACTTAGCAGAGGATCTGGCCTTGCTCAAGCAGAGGTGTGTGTTTCATCCTTTTGGGAGGGGCTGGGGTTAACCCTTTAAACTCTGGAGGCCAGTCCTTACTCTCATAACTACGTACCAAACACGTAACCCTCATATCTCGATTACAGTTCTTTAGGAACTGATTCAATATCAAATCTAGCCTCAAGTATTTTGGTACAATTCAGTAAAATGGTAGCTTTCTTTTAAATTAAATAAATTTTGTTCCATTGACTTCCTTTTGAAATATTTTTCCTTCTGCTGTAAAGTTACCAGTTGGAGATGCAAGATTTTGCTATGATATTGACAGTATGCAAGCTTGCTTTTAGAAATGAGAATTTTTATTTTTTCCTAAAAAAATAAGCACATCCTTCATTGCATATTGTTAAATACAGTTCATAATTACATTCCGAAATTGATGCAGTTGATTCACCAGGAGTTTCACTGAAGTTACTGAATTATATTTAAAATTAATAAATGAATAAGCATGAATAGTCCTAGAGTTTAAGGGATTAGTGAGGGAACAGCCAAAGCCTACACTTTGAAATCACTGTATATGAATAAATAATGAATGCTGATACTTAAAACAGATTTTATGAACCACAGAGCTATTTTGGGATTCATCAGTATTTTTGAGGTGAGCATGTTTTAAAGGTAGAGATAACACTCTGGGTGGCCTATATGTCTATATAAGCATTAAAGAAGCCCAGTGAGATTTACAAGTACTCAGCAGATTAAGAGAAGCCAGTCCAGCATCAGTTAGACACTGTTAGTGTGAGGTTTGCGTAGCAGTTAAGACATATAGGAGTACTGTAGCTCCTTAAATAGTATTTCAAAGCTTTAAATTGTATTACACACATCTATTACCTAAGTCTGTAGCCCATGTAATTACTAAGTAATAACTGTTAAATAGTCATAAGGCTGGAATTCTTGTGTCTAAAATAGTATTTTGGGGCAGTTCTCTGGCATGGCAAGTTTTTTTTTTAAGCGGTCAGACTGATAGGGTGTGGTGATGGGAATTCTAGATGGTTCCAATAGATTTTATTTTATCTGCAGCTCTCACCACCAGCCCACCCCCCTAGACTCCCCCACCCACCCCTGCTTGACACAAACACATGGGTGCATCCCATAGTCCTCAGCAGAATAATCAGCTGGGCTCTGTTGATGGGGATGGGTGTGGCACTGGGTGGAAGGACAGAGACAAAGAAGCTGCAGTGTGGATCCACTTCATCATACTGCAGTTTATGAATGTTCACATACATATAACTAAAGCCAGAAGCCCCCCACACGCTTAAATAAAGACATGATCCAGCTCTCGATCATCCTGAGCCTGCAGAAATCCACAACAAAACCAAATTTCAAACATGTCTGTCTGAGAACTAATGCTAAGGCCTAATCTAGTTACTGCTGAGTCACTGAAGAGAAACTGGCTCCCATCACTGCGCCGAGAGACGTAACTTATTAAATTTACTTCATGCAAATGTGTCATTGTGGTTTCCTTTGGAAATATATACATATAGAATTTCTATACACATTTAAAATGAAGTAAATTCAATGTGTTTTTCAGTATAAACACCAGTAACATATTACATTTGTACCATGTTCAGTTACGGCATACTCTAAAATGTTTAGAAGTCCTAAATCTGTTAAATATGACTTTTAAAACTGGTTGATCTCATATTTCATTAATGATAGCAAAGCAAACAAAAATGAGACACAAATTACTTTAAATGAAATGAAGAATAATTACTCCACTGCTGATCTGCTCAGATGTTCTGATTTTACTGAGACTCATAGATATATAGATAGATTTTTTAGGGGTGTAGCCAAAACCTAACTGTAAAAAATTGTCAAGAACCTCACAATGGATGGTTCTTTTAAGAACCACTTTTTTATATAGAATGGCCTAAAGAACTCCCACGTAATGTAAACGTTTTTGTCTTTTACACAATGTGAAGGTTCTTTAGACCATTAGAATCTACTATGGCACTGCTCAAAGAACCCTTTGTGAGACCTTTATTGATCTTCTCAGATGTTCTTCTGCCTTTGCTGAGACTATTGGAAACTGGTAGATAGACATACTATATTGATCCCTAAGTGAAAATTTGTGTGTTGCAGTAGAAAAAAACGAAAACTTAAAGACTTATAATGCATCTCCTCAGAGAGGAGCAACAGGGCTCACTATTAGCAGGTCTTGGAGGGGGAGGAAAGGTGTGGAGACTGAGAGGATGATGGAGAGACAGAGGGAAACAGGGGAGAAAAGGAAAAATCAATGAGGCTCCATTATAGGTGTTGGGTGTCCTGGGCTTGTGGGCTGGTGCCAGGTTTCCTATTAAGGAATGCAGAATTCCTGCAATGAGAATTGAATAAAATCTGAGCTTAGCCACAGACCCGACCCCCCCTGGATATTGTTATTCACCAGCTTATTCAGATTTTCTGCTTCCGCCTTAAATTGTTTGGTGCTTACATTCTGGTGTCTGAGGCTGCTGAACCATTTAAGGTGGAATTGAAAATTTGAATAAGAGGCCAACCTCAGCTTTGTGATATTAAAGCCGCTAAAGTGGTGGGATCATGACACGGAGCTAATTATCAAAAATGTTTATTCAAATAATGAAATGACAATGAAAAATTGCTGCATTTAATATTTATAATTCAAATACGCATCATGTCCACATTTAGTTCCTAAAAGTAAGTAAACGGAAAGATGAAATAATGAAATGATGCACACATTTCAAATCGAATATACTCTTTTTTCAGTATAGGCAGAGATAATCTCATTTCCTCTGTGACTTGCCTACTTGGAGTCCAGCCAGACTCTGAGGTGTGGTCGGGACATGACGTCATCCGCAACGAATGTAAGGCATGATTTGATTGCAAAATTCACTTTAAACTGGGGTTACATGTGTGACCTCCCCAGGATGGCTAATTTACTGAATTTGCTGAGGAGATGGATTGACCCCCCCATTTTCTGCCTCGACCCAAATCCTTTTACTGGCCAGCACATTAGCTAATTGATCTTTGGGCTCTTTGCCAGCTGGAGCCTCGTTTGTTACAGTGTGGAGACCCCTGACAGCAGGCCAGACGTGTATTGATATGAAGCCCCTCTTAAACCCCCGACAGGAAGGGCTGAAACAAAAGCACAGCCAGGCCAGGACTTTACAATAAAGAGAGCAGGATAAATGTAAATGGTCTACATTCGTTCTGGTATGATGCCCACCATGGTATAGTTTAAGAGGAATTCTACTGATTTATCAACATTTCTGCATAATTAAATGGTTAAGATGTAAACAAAGTCATTCAGAGTGGTTTGGTGATAGACATCTGAAGAGTTTAGTTCTCTCACAGACAGTTATTACATTAAATGGTTATGAATATGCTGCCTGATGCCTTAGACACTGGTTTACGATAGTTATTTTTGAAATCCATACATAGTGAGGGCTACCTGCAGGGCATTGTAAGGCAAAATAGTCCCCAAAGAAAACTTAATTTTTCTAATTTATCACTCTTGTGGTATGGATTGAAAGTTTGGAATCTGCAGTATCCACACAATTCCCACCCAGTTTCCAAAACTGGAGATATTACCAAAAGATAGAGAGAAAATCGGAAAATGGAACAACTGTGCAAGACCTGGTGGACACCAGAACTGCCCCCATCAGATAAACAGCACTTAAAGCTTCCATCTTTGAGAGAGAGGAGAAAATCAAGCTGCTTCACATCTGAAAACATCCACAGGTGTTTCTGTCCATCCTTCCACTGTGAGAAGACAACTCAGCGCTATGGGTCTGAAAGGATGTGTAGCTGTCAAGAAGCCTCACTGAGAAAAGGAGACAGACACATCAAACAAAGAAGCTGAACAATGGACTGACCACCCCAGTCCAGACCTCAACATCACTGAATGTGTTTGATTACTTCAGAAAATGATCAGCTACTTCTAAGACTGAACTTTGGAGGTGTGTCTCAGATTTCTTTGAGAAACTGAAAGTTAGTCTCCTGAAAAGAATGGAAGCTGTACTAAAGGCAAAGGGTGGTATTATATTTTTTTTTCTTTGTAATTTTCTGATATTTTTTAACATTTTTTTCTGATGCTGAAAAATGAACAAAAATGAATGTTCTCTGGATTTTTGCACAGTGTTGTATCTACAGATAAAAGAGGTTTTCTTCCTGTGTGTGCCTGCAGGCTGGATGAGGAGAGTCAGAAAAGACAGGATTCAGAGAACCAACTGGTCCTGTTCCGAAAGGTGATGACCTAGAACTCACACTCTCTTTCTTGTTTAAGTGCAGATTCCATAATATCTTTCAGGAATGACTTTTGTGTTCACTATCCTATCGAGTTTGGCATTTGTTCCCTTTATTCCATGTCATTCTTACCTGAAAGGTGTTCTGTATATGTGCTTTAGTCCTGACTCATACTGACACCTGGTGGCCATAACACTGGAAAATCAAAATAAAACCTTTAAGCTCACATAACAAAGTAGGGCTGGGCAGTATGACAGTATATATCTTAAAGGGTTCTAAGCATTTAAATGGTTCTTTGAGTTGTCATGGTTCTGTGTGTAACCTGGCTTCACTACAGAACCCTTTTTGTAAAGGATGTAGGAACCTTTATGACAGTGTAGATAATCAAAAAAGAAAGAAGAAGGAGGGACCAAGTCTGGCAACTCCAGCTTTTGATAAGCAAACATTGGTCATTAAAATCACCACCCTCCTAAACATGTTTGGAGACCTGAAGGGTTCCTTGCTACAGCAGTGAAAAGCTTGTGCACTGAACAGATGTTAATGTCAATGTCTGCTGCAGGACGTTGATGATGCCACTCTGGCCCGCTTGGAGTTGGAGAGGAAGATTGAGTCACTGATGGACGAGATAGAGTTCCTCAAGAAGATACATGATGAGGTATGGTGGAGAAGTCCATTCACAATCTCAGCCTGTCTAAATGAATGGTGTGACTGCCATCTCTTCAACCGCATAACGTAAGAGCCATCAAAGGTGCCTCTAGCATTTTTCACTGCAGGAGTTTCTTGTATTCCACCTTAACAGGAAATCCAGGATGTGCAAGTAAGCATTGAGACCCAGCAGATGAAGATGGAGGTGGAGGCCACAGTTCGTCCTGACCTGACCTCAGCCCTGAGGGAAATTAGGGCCCAATATGAAAGCATTGCAACCAAGAACATGCAGGAGTCTGAGGAGTGGTACAAGTCCAAGGTGAGGCGGTCAACATAAGCCATGGCTCATGTCCAAAGGCGGCTGCGAATAAATTATCTTTATATGAATCGCTATCCAGAGCAACATTGGCCCAATCCCATTTCTTATTTTTACCCCTACGGCTTGTTTTCAAATGTCACCTTGGAACTGAGTTTACAAGTGGTGGTGGTTGAAATCTTCCCATATGAAATGGGACAACCTTCAAATAAAAAAGAACATTACTTCATTAACAGGCTACTAGTGGTGCTCTGTAGGCGACGCTGCCAGTCTGCAGTGATAGCAGAGGAGAGTAAAGTTCAGCAACCTCTCTGCTGGGCTTTAGTTACATTTAGGGCCTTCAAAGAGGGGAATGTGACAATTATTTACTGTTGCCCATCGCTAATTCTTCGGTGATGTGACGCTGAAGCCAGCTATTCGCCAACTTCTTGTTTGAATTTTCCCATTCTACCACTGAAGGTGGAACAGGAAATTTATTTAGCTAGCTACTGAGACATCAGCATACTACTAGCGATTTTTATGCTTGTTATGAAGAAAAGGACCATAATACATTGAAATGCCATTAAACAAAGATAATACAATGGATAACTTTTTAACAGAAAATAATACTCACGTTTGTGGGTTTCTTTGGTTGCTTGTTCAGCCATCTTGCCAGTTTTTTTTTCTCATAGCACTCTTTTTAGAGTGAGCGTCTGAAAAACCTCAGTTTGGAGGTTCATGTAGCTCTAACACTTTGCCCTACCCCACTATCTCAACAAAAATTGGGACACTAGACATGAACATGTAAAATGGAGAGGTAAGGGCTAAGAGGAAGGGGCGAGGGGTGAAATGGGATTGGGCCTAAGACTGGCCAGTTTATCATTAGGAGTCTTGCCCAAGGATTCTTACTAGTAGAGCAGGTGAAGCTAATTAGTATAGTGTGCATGTCTGAACAGGAATCGGATCTTCAGTCTTTTAAAGATAATGGTGTTGTCCACAGTGCTATCCAACTACTAATGCTTCTTTTCTCTTTTCGTCCTGCAGTTTGCTGACCTGACAGATTCTGCAAAGCGCAATGCTGATGCTTTGAGACAGGCCAAGCAAGAGACCAATGAGTTCAGGAGGCAGATCCAGGGTCTCAACTGTGAGATCGATGCCCTCAAGAGCACGGTGAGCTGAGATAAATGCACTACATTTCCAAAACTTTGTAGACACCAACTTATCCAGCATTTCTTCTGAAATGAAGGGGATTAATAGGGAGTTTGTTGCCCTTTGCTGCAGTAACAGCCTCCACTCTTCTCGGCTTTTTTACGATAATAGTAATAATAATTAAATAAACAACAAAAGGACAATACAGGTAAAAACATAAACATTCACGTATAAACGGAACAATGATAACATAGCGAAAGCAAGTCAGTCTTTAATAGAGATTTGAATGAAGATAGAGAGGTGGCATCCCGAATAGACTGGGGGAGATTATTCCATAATTTGGAAGGTACTACATTAAATGATCGACCACCCATAGAAGTGAATTTAAACATTGAAACATGAAGAAGGCCTAAATTTTGCGATAAAGTACAGGATGACACATATAGATACAAAGTGCTTAAGAAACGATGGATGAAGGAAAATAAAACTGAATAAATAAAAGTTGATTATGAATTTAAATAAACTGAGACAATAACAGATAAAATTAAAAAGACAAACTGTGCAAGGCCAGTATCTGCAGATGGTAGATCATGTGTGGGACAGATTTTCAGTGAAGTATGGAGATGCTCAGCAATTTAGAGATTTAAAAAACTTTAAAATCTATTTTAAAATATACAGGCAACCTGTGCAGTTCTTTCACAATGAGCTTTGCACTTGGTTCATTGCTGTGAGGATTTGATTGAGCATTGAGCACAGGTGAGGTACTGATGTTGGATGGTCAGTTCTAGGTCACTCCAACTCATCCCAACCCATAGAAGTCAGTTTAATATAGTCAATTTAATATATTTAAGTCCAATTGGATGGAGCTCCATCACTCCAGAGAACGCAGTTCCACTGCTCCACAGCCCAATGCTGGGGAGCTTTATACCCCTCTAGCCCACACTTGTTGGTATTAGACAGGAAAACCCCATGAAATTCACTAATTAGCAGTGGTGTATCAGTACTTTTGGACATAATAGTTTATATTTTGTACATCTGATTCAATCCATGTAAAGTTTCCCTTTTTTGGGTGGCCACATGTCCAGCTAAGGTATTCACATTAAGCACTGTGAAATCCTTGTGCATGTCCTACAGAATGAGGCTCTGGTGAGGCAGATGAGGGAAATGGAGGACCAGTTTGGTGTGGAGGCTGGCAACTACCAGGACAACATCACTCGTCTGGAGGAAGAGATCCGCCACCTGAAGGATGAAATGTCCCGTCACTTGAGGGAATACCAGGACCTGCTTAATGTCAAGATGGCTCTAGACATTGAGATTGCTACCTATAGGAAGTTGCTAGAAGGGGAGGAGAGCAGGTAATAATGTCCTTTCCAGCTGTAGCTGTCTGTAGTGGTCCTGGTGATCTATTTTGTGCCTGAGGTTTGTCGATTGTTCTTACAGAATCGTGGTTCCCATGATGAACATAACATCAATGAGCATGCGCAATGGGGGTAAGTCAGTCATGATGTTTTGCTACAACTGCTTTCTGAAGTCTTGCTGTATCTCTAAAATCCTATTAAACCTATTAAATGATTTGATTACATGTGTTACTGTCTGGTTTAACACCACAAATCTGTATCTGTTGGTGGCTAGAGTTTGACCAGCCTGCTGATGTTGGACATGGCAAGAAAGTTGTGATCAAAACCGTTGAGACCCGTGATGGAGAGGTTAGTGGAGTATCCTTTTTGGCTCACTCAGTTTTTGGCCTTGTTGGCTCACTCAGTGGCCGAGCAACACTTTAGCAACCACCTGGGATGTCTTTAGCAACCGCCTAGCAACACCTTAGCAACCATCTGGAATTCCATAGGAATGGCCTAGCAAAATCTTAGCGAACACCTCGGATAACATATCTTTTCCCTTCTACACTCTTAAAAAAGATGGTTCTTTAAGGGTTCTTTTGTAAAAAAAAAATGGTTCTATAAAGAACCACGAGCACTTACGGAACCCTTTGCATGATTAAAGGGTTCTTGGCATCATGAAAATGTTCTTCAGAATGTGCTGTATATGGTTCTATACAGAATCGTTTTGAGGGCTTTATATGGCACCCAAAAGGGTTCTTCTATTGTTCCGATGACAAGCTTGTAACAATGGAAGAACCCTTTTGGGTGCTATATAGAACCCATTTCAAAAATGTTCTATATAGAACCATCTACAGCACATTCTCCATCAATCTGAAGAACCATTTCACTATGCAAAGAACCATTTAATCATGCAGAGGGTTCTTTGAGTGTTAATGGTTCTTTTTAGAACCATTTTCTTTACTAAAGAATACTTAAAGAACCATCTTTTTTAAGAGTGTAGTTGTTGTTGTTGTTGTTGTTATCATAGAACATAAATCCAGTTTTTAGAGGTCTATAATTCATACTTTATCCTTTATGGTCTCTAACAGTATCATGTTTCCTGCTCAGGTGGTGAAGGAGTCAAGGAAGGAGAGAGAAACCCCCCGTGATTCCAAGGATGCCCGTGATCAACGAGAATCTGACTGAGCTGATTATTAGAGCACGCTGTTAATGAGCGCTTGTTCCAGGCTCTACAACAGAGGATTCAAGAATAGAGAAGTCAGAAAGATAACAAACCCATTAAAAGCTGCTTATGCCTATCTACTATTCACTGTTGATGAAAACCAATTATTTAAAAGTGTTATGAAGAACATTTCCATTTATTTTGACTCACTACTGTGATCCTGAATAGGGTGCAGACTTCGCACGATACGATGTTGAACATCGACAGTTTTAATCAGCAAATGTTACTACGCAATGGTGCTAACAACTCAGCCTAATCAGCCTTAACCTCACAGCCCTGACATAAACCATCAAAGACCCTTAAAATATAATCCAACATTGTGCTTTCTAAGATATACCTGTCAATACAGTTCACAGTTGGCAGGAAACAATGATTTTTGACTAAATAAAACCAACTAAGTCATCTTTTGTACACCAACTGTGGCCTTTATTTACAGCAAAAACATCCTACAACAGTTCCTTTGCGTCTAAAATGTACATTCTCACTACATGATCCATGCAGAGACAAATGAAACGTTTTTCTCTTCTCGTGGATCCTGAGCTGGTCACTGCTTTCACTGCACTTACTCTCCAGATAAAGATACTGCCAGGTCACATTCCCCTTATAGCTTTATATCATAGGTAGCAGTGGTTGTAGTAATTTTGTGATGTCAATGCTGTTTTAAAAGTTTTGGAAGTGTTAAAAGGTTCTGTCCTCAGTAGACAGGCTTGTCTAGAATGTGATTTAGGATGCTAAACAAAACAAGCAGTAATGCCTCTCTCATTTCAGCCAATAGGATACTTATTAGCAGGGAAAAATATGTTGCAATTACATGAATGTGTTTTCTGCAGCCTCATGTGCAAAAATAATAAAGTCAACTGGAACAAAAGCTCTAGTGTTGTTCTTTGCTTCACAGCAAGGTGAATATATGACTTGTATGATCCATGTATGTCAAGGTTTAGAGATAGTAACTCTTATATTCCAGACTCCAAACATGTACTGATACTCTTCTAAACAGAAGCCGTAAAGGGCCATGGATTCACATGGTTGTTCCGTGATAATGAGTTATTTTCATTTGTTTTCTTATTATATATTATTATTAATGTTCTGTCCTTAATAATATTAAGGGTAATATTAGTTTTTAATGTTTTTATGTTTAGTTATTATGACAATGGCATGAATCTCTCAAGATCCTAAGAAAACAACATTCATTGTGTTGTGATAAAGATATAAAAACTCAAATTCTTGAGAAAACATAAAAATAACTTTTATCACAGAAATATGGAGTGAATATATGGTAATATATGGCCTTTAAGGCCTTCTGTTTGTATAGAACATTTCCATCATTAAGATAATCAGAAACAACAGCAATTTGTGCAGCATGAAAAATAAAACTTTACAGTAAAAAAAAATATATATTATTGTGATTTGATAATCATACTAATTACTCCCAGCAGAATCAGACATTTATACTCTATTTACTACACTCTTTCTGTTCTTTGCATCATGAAAGGGTTTCTGATTGATTGAGAATGTGCTATAGATGGATCTAGATTAAATCTTTTTTGAAAATGGTTCTATATAGCATCCAAAAGGTATCTTCTATTGTTACGATGTCAAACATGTAATAATAGAAGAACATTGCAATATATTTGGGTACTATATAGAACAGTCTGAAGCACATTCATGCACATTTTCCATCAATCCAAAGAACTCTTTCATGATGCAAAGAATTTTAATCATGCAAATGTTTTTTTGAGTGTTCATGGTTCTATAAAGAACCGTTTTCTTTAAAGAACCCTGGAAGCACCATCTTTTTGGTAGTTAAACACCTAAACAGTCTCTCTCACACAATTTAATAAACAGACACAATTAAATGCAGTCAGAGAGTGATAGAAGCCCCAGTTCTCTTTATAACCCACCCTCACCCACTTACCACTAAGATGTGTGTCACTCCTACATTACACAAGTGGCCACTCGATGCAGAAGTGGAGGAGGGGACAGTAAATAGCGGATTATTCAAACTGAACATGCGGCCCTCGGCAGATTAGCCTCAGCGAGCTAACTGGCTAGCTATGCAAAGTTTGCAATGCAAAAGTTTTTTAAGAAGTTTGAGCATAACATGCATAATGTGTGTGCATAGTTAATTGGTCTGACTATAAACTCGGAGCAGAACTCAGAACTGTGCTGTAGTGCCTTTATTTTTGTCCTTGTTAGCCATGTAGCCTTCAGCATGCTGATGAGTCAGATATCAGAGTAAAGCGATGAAGTCGTATCAGCAGCTGTGTATAACAGATGGAGTAGTTTGTAGCTTAAACCCAGTAAATCAAATGTTAAGGTTTTGAAATATTCAGAGTTTTGAAGCAGTTTATTGCTATAGTTTATAACAGCTTTGTCCACCATTATTTTGGGGTTTGAAACGAGGAAATGTGTCAGGCCACTACGGCTGCATTCATTTACAATTTAGACTTGACGGTCAATGTGATCTGCCGATGACAGCAGAGATAGGGTATAAAAACACTGCAGTCAAGTCGGACACATTCTGTTTTCCTTAGCATGAGCTCACAATGATAGCCGATCTTGCGGCCTTTCTGTTGCAGATGAAATCAAAGTGCTCTAAATAAAAACTACAGTGTTTGGTGGTCATATGTAAAAAAAAAGAGCTGCCAGAAGGTGGAAATTCCCTTTGGGAGAGATATCCATAGATAACGGATCTGAAGTTCTCAGAATAAAAACATAACATATGTGACACACATCATGTTTGTCATCTGAGATTCCAGCCAACCAGGGTGATGTACTGACATCACGAAGGCATGTTGTAGCTCATGCAGCAGGTAAAGAGGAACCAGAGCTGGTTTATGAGGAGCCTGGCCTCTTCCTATTTCCCTTGTTATATCAAAAACAGGACTGCAAAACGCCAGAGGGCGCCCGCGAACACGTCCTTAATGAATAGGGGTGAATCGAGCTAAACGGCTAAAAACGAAAGTTAAAATAGTTTTTAATCACTTGTCCAGAACTTTCCTTTAATTTTAGAAAGTAGAAGGATGTATTTTACTAAAAAAGCAAAGAAAGACTACCTGTATGCTTCCGTTTTTCTACAGCAAACGGGTTTTGGGCAGCAGGACGCTTACATTACTGCTACTGAGTGCAGATTGGTGGCAAGCCGAGCAGCTCATTGGTTGTTCGTGTTCCTGTTTCATGTTTTAAAATATTTTATGCTGTTCAGTGTTCAGGTTCATTAATGAATTCTTTTACATTTATAAACTATGATTTTGCCCAAATGCTCCTTCTTAACCCATTCATTTTGGACTCACTCGGAAGCGCCCTCTAGTGTTTGAGAAACCCAGGAAGACATTACAGAGCGGTAATTCTCCTCTCTACAAGTTCTCTGGAGCAACTTCAGGACTTGACTTCAGAAACTGCAGCCACTCCTGCGAGATTTTAAGGTCATGTGATGTGACAGTTTCAGATTTCTAACCAGCATGCATCACGCTAAGTCAGCACTGGACAGGGCCATTTAAGTTGAACGCAGCCAATGATTTCTGGGCAAGCTGATGTTCACTTGATCCTTCGTCCCTGTGAGGACTCATCAAACACCCTGCACTTCAGCTAATATAGCATTGGCGCTGGAGGTTCCCCCAATGCTACTATACTACAACTATACCACAACTATGCTACACTAAAGAATGGACTATAAATGGTGGTGTACAATTTTTCACATATTATTTAATACCATTTAGTGTGGACGCAGCCTAGGTGTATATTTACTGCAAAAGGCCCATATCCTACATTTTTCCACTTATAATGTTTGTGTGATTTTAAGTTACAAAACAGTCATAATTCATATTTTCTTGACCATTTTCCAACTTCTGTTAGCCCTCAGAATTTGTCTAATGAAATACAAAGTAAGAAACAAATCTAAGCGTGACAGAATTATTGTTATCTAACTGAAGTTATCTAATATAACTTTATTGTGACACCTATGACAATCCCCAGAAATTCATCAGTCAATCAAAAAGGCTGATCAGTGCAGCATGAGTACAATTCAAATAAAAGTCATTGACTCAAAAACATTTAGTGCAAGGTACAATGTTATTTAAAAATAGGCAATTTCTTTTATAATTTAATCTTTAAATTGTAAACAGAGGGGTGGTGATCGGGACCAGATGTCTGGAGAGCATAATGCCTCTAAAAGCTCCTTCACAGAAAGTTATTGCATAAAAAATGGTTTGAAATACACTGCCTGATGTCTGACACACTGTTTTACATTTGTTTGAGAAGATTTTGGCCTAAAATGGCATTGGTGTAGGGGTACATGCATGGCGTTGTAAGACTTGTCCCCAAAGGCAAGATTTGCTTATTTATTTATTTTGGATTTATCACTATTTTACCATCATCTACATTCCATATAAACGTTAGGAAGACTCGTGTAGGTTCACTGGTGGTTTTGGATAGTAAATAAAATAGCTGTATTTGTGTTGTTGTCATGGTGACCCCTGGTTCCTATCATCACCACTGTAAAGAAATCTGAACCATTTCAAACCAAACCACTCTGAATGACTTTGTTTACATCGCAACTGCTGGAAAACATGTAAAGATCTTAAAAAAATTGAAATCTTATCCTTTTGTGAATTATCAATACCGCCAGAACGCGCGATGGCGCTGTGGCGCTTTTCACCGCAAATATCAGCAACCTTGTAATGGTTCAGTCTACGCTAACAGCAAAAATATCAACTGCTTTATTAAAAATAAAGGCATATAATATAAAACCTGTGAGCTGTAGTGAACCCCAGGTCATATATCATCTGAGGCGCCAGCATGTAACTGCTGCTCCATTTAAGGTGGAACGGGAAAACGCGAATAAACAGCTGGTGAACAGGAATCCAACTTCAGCCTCGTCCGTACGAGCCTGTACGGCCGTTAAATCTCAAGCATGAGGCACATTTAAATTTGAGAGCGTTTTAACGTGGAGATACAGGGTTATCTGGATAGCCTACACCTTAAAAATGACGCTTCCAGCTTTGCAAAACACGAGTGTTTTCTTTCGGAGGATTCTGTCACAGTTTCCTCAGGATATTAGCTTAGCCTTCGCCTATGGGTCTGCAGTGTTTAAACAGGCTGGCACTACTCAAGGTCAGATGGGGGTAAGAATCAACTTTTTAAACTGTGTTCTTTTCTTCTTTTTAACTGGCTTCTGTCATGGACAGGCCCCTAAGGTGACATGGTGATTATTTGTAATAAGACATGGCCACAAATTAATATATTAAGGCCACAAGTTAATTTTCTCATAACTCGTGGCCTCAATATATTATTGTGTGGCCTTAATATAGTAAATTGTGGCCTCAATAACTCACTAATGGCCTCAGTTTAGTAAATCGTGGCCTCAATACTGGCCCCTAATGTGACATCGTGATTATTTTTAATAAGGCATGGCCACAAATTAATATATTGAGGCCACAAGATAATTTTCTCATAACTCTTCTCATGGCCTCAATGTATTAATTTGTGGCCTTAATATAGTAAATTGTGGAATCAGCTGTGGACTAAACCTCTTGTTAGCTCAGCCTCATGATCCTGTGTCTTAAAGGGGAATGCCACTGATTTTCCAAAATTCCTGCTTAATTAAAGGGTTAAGATGTTAACAGAGTCATTCAGAGTGTTTTTGTGTGAAATGTTCAGTCAGAATTGTTCACAGTGGTGGTGATAGAAACCAGACATCCACCTCTAAAAGCTCCGTTACAGAAAGCTTTTGCATGAAATAGTTATGATTACACTGCCCGATAGTTTTATTGTTATTTAATTAATATTATTTTATTATAGTCTAAAACAAATATTGTTTAAAAGCATTCATGATGGAGGGGTATGTGCAGGGTGCTTTGAGGCAAAATAGTCCCCAAACAAAACTTTTTCCAGATATACCACTGTTTTATCACTATTAGCAACCAGACATCACAACTCCTTCTTCCTATCATCATCACTGTAAAGAAATCTGAAGGCATGCTTGATAGAACATCACGTTCTTTCAAAATCGTACACTGATGTGGTGGTGGTGTGTTCGTGTGTGTTGTGCTGATACGCGTGGATCAGACAAGGTTTTAAACAGTGTCAGCTCACTGTCCACTCTATGTATAATTTTTTTCATGGTATTTCTCTTTGTTGTTTTAGAAGAACATGCTGGACTTCGTGCTCGCTGTGGACGACCCCGTCACTTGGCACACAATGAACTTGATAGAAAACAGGAAACACTACTCTTTCTTGAAATATCTTGGTCCAAAGCAGATAAGCAGCATTCAGAATGACTATGGCGCTGGAGTCTACTTCAACACGTTGGTGCCCTCCGATGAACGGGTAGGTACTCCATTCATAAGTCTTTCTATTTTTTCATGAGGAGTTTTTTTGTCCGCAGTATTTCACTGATGTGTCTCACGCAGCACTAACACTCATCACCAGCAGCACTGAAGATTAACAGTGGTGTGATTTTAAGGTGAACGGTCAATTTTTGATACTTTGAGAGGAATGTTATTGTCGTTGTGGACTAGTAGCGGCTTTATTTGCTGTGAAACTGGATCATCACAAGCCTCAAGATCAGTTATGTTCTTGCAGCTCATCAAGTATGGAGTCATCAGCACTGATGCCTTGATAGATGATCTACTTCACTGGAAAACGATGTACATAGCAGGACGATTACACAAACCAGTAAGTGATGATGATGCAGTGGCAAGTAAGAACCAACAGATGGCAGTGTTTGATTACTAGCAACTTTTATCAGTATTAGATATTTTCTCTATCACCCACACTTAGCAAAGATTTATAATTACAAATATAACTTTAGTAGAATAACTGGCCATGTCAAAATTCAGATGTGTAGGACGTATTGAAGGACATCTATGATAGATGACCTGTTCATTACATTAAATACAACATCCCTGCTACTCGATCTCACGTTTAAATAACTGGTGTACAAGACACAAACCTGATGTGTCTGCATCTTATTTTATTCAACGCTGTTTGTCTTCCTGAGGTGCGGATTCTGCTGCAGAGTGAGAATGGGAAGCTGCGCGCTGCGCTGATGGCCAATCTGAAGAGCGCTATGAACGCCTCCTTCCTTATGCTTCCAGAGAGCTTCTCTGAGGAAGACCTTTTTCTTCAGATAGCTGGACTCTCTTACTCTGGTAACCAGCCTTTATTTAAACTCAGGGTACAGTGAGGGTGGCCACCATTTACAATGTAGGTTTGTACAGTATGAGGTTTATACTGTACAAAAACAAGGGAGCAAATAGAGTAAATATAATTATATAATAATGAAAGAGTAACAAAAGAGTGAAATAATCATTAAAACAGTGGAGAAGACAAACTCAATTTTAGACACAGTAAAATAAAAAAGATTCAATAAAATGAAGTAGAAAATGTAAGAATCAAACAAAACCACAAAATAAAATAAAAATGAAATTGGTGTAATTGAATAAAACAAAATCAAATAAAAAAATTAAGTATAGAATAAAAAAATAATAATGCTAAAACAGTAAAAACTTGGTTGTAACGACAGATTTATATCAATTATAATATAGTAACTGCATAAACTGCATGGTAACAAGTTGCTGATTGGATGTTAGTTTTGTATGAAATTTTGTCATTATTATTTTTTTTTATCAAATGTTTTTATTTTTGCATTGAATTAAGAAACTGAATTGTACTGAATAGTTCAGAAACTTTTTAAAACACACTGCAGTTTTGCTGGAGTGTTTTGTCCTGACTTAATCACAATACTCAGAAAAATGAAGTATAATGATGCGTCACATTGTGATTGTGTCGCAAAGTATCGTGATGCTGCATTTGTGTCATGTCGCTCAGCTTTAGTCTGTCAGTTACTTGATATAACCTTGATATAATGACACGTGAATGCACAATCTCTCCAGAAATAAGTTATTTAAGGCATCACTAGCTGAGAAACAAATTATAAACATCCACAGTTGGAATTTCGCAAGTGTAGAACAACTAATGCTTTTGAAATCTGTGGCTCTGATATATTGACAAAAGCCCTGAGTCACCTTTAATGACATGCTTGCCTTTTAGCATCATGCTGCGTGAGATTAATTACTCATGTTCAAACACGACGGTCTCTTCTGATTGTGTATTGTCTCTAGGGGATTTCAGGATGGTGATTGGTGAGGATAAATCCAAAGTATCCAACATTGTGAAGGACAACATGCAGCACTTCCGAATCTTATATAATAACATTCTGCAAGATTGCCCGCAGGTGGTGTACAAGCCACAGCAGGGGAGGCTGGAGGTGAGATGTATATTTCATACTTTAATGCTGTCCAGTAGAGTAGTTGTCCAGCAGGAGGGGACAGTGAGCAGTTAGAGCTCAGAGGCAGTTTTGGTCAGTAAGTGTTGTTACATTTTAGATATACTGTATAACTGCAGAGTTACAACCTCATTTTTCCTCCTTCTTTCCTCTAATAGAGAAACACAAACTGGACAACATTAATATCACATTTTCCAAATATGTCACTAGAGATCGGAATCTGAGTTTTCTAGAAATCCAGTAGCAATCAGAAATATAGCTTTTTCATTTTGCCAATCTGTGTTGCAGTTTTAAGAGGTAAGTAAAGTGAGGCAGGTATTTGTATGTTGCTGCAACGCCCGTACCAAAATATTGTAGCATAATTATACACAACTCATTGGGCTCAATAGCCAGTCATTTATTACTTTTGATGTAGCTCTTATTTAAAACATCTTATTTAAACAGGCAACCGATTTTTCAATTAACAATTTAAAATACCATTTTGACCCATTAAAGAGGAATAGAGTAAATAATGTTTTTTATATGTGTATATGACCCAAAGTGACCATCAGGCCAAAAAAAACTCTACTGAAAATTGGCCAATTAGGCTGTAAAGAAAGCTCTGTATATCACAGTATTAGGTGATACTTAAGTTAGCTTTATTGACTTTATAAAGTTAATGCTACACCATGCTACTCTGTGCCAGAAAAACATCTTTGTGCTTTCTTTTGTTTCTGTTTGTGAACTCTAACCATTTCTGGAAAGGGAACTTACAGGTTATTTCATTCATGTATTGTGGGCTGCTCTTTCAAAACAGTCTAAAGCACCCAGCATATTACACACGCTGCAGCTAATCGTCACGTCCTGCATAGTGAGATTAAAGAGCACAAAATAGGATTAAAAACTCAAACCGGCTCAAATCAGCTTTTTTATGGAATAGAATGTTATTTTGGATATAATGATCATTATTTATTAAAATGGGCATTTCTGTCCCTTTTGATCTAATTTGTAAGGCATTATTTGAAAAATATTTTAAAAATGCTCCCTGTCAATCTAAAGACCTTAAGATTAATAAATGCATGACTGACTTGTTGCAACGATGGCATCCTATTACAGGACGACACTTGAATTCAGTGAGCTCTTTAGAGTGAGCCATTCTTTCACTAATGTGTGTAAAAGCAGACTGCATGGCTAGGTGCTTGATTTTATACACCTGAGACAATGAGACTGAACGAAACACCTGCATTTAATGATTAAGAGGGGTCCCAGTACTTTTGTCTATATAGTATATGAGAATGTATAACGTTAGAAAGACGCTAAAACATATCTTTCGTATTCAAAATATTAAAAGTCATTATTACTGTGGCACCAATATCCTATACAGGTTTAGACTCGTAACTTCAAAAAGTGCTCCTTTTTTGCCTGGACTGGGTGTTGAATTCATTGCTGTATTCCAGGGCAGATTTCCTGACATTAAGAGCACTAGAAGTGTTTAAACATGCCCAGTGTTATGGGAACAAAAGCTTACAACACTGCTTATCCATCATCAGGAAGAGTAAAGAACTCTTCATATTTACTGGGACAGAGAATTTCAGAGACGGGTGTGGTTGCGGGGTACACTTACTGATTTGTAGGTTTGCTGACAAAGCAAATAGGCTACCAAACACCTCTGGGCTGGAAACACACCTGTGCTCAGAAGAAGGCACACTTTATACCTCTACACATCTTTACTCGTGACTGTACCTTCTGTGTACATTCGGAAGATTAGTCGTTTAGTTGCTGGATTTATTTTACTTTAAAGAACCACAAATTTCTTTAATGAGGAAGCAAACAGGGCTAGAGCAATGAGTCAATGTCATCAGTGTTATTGACGTGAAAAACTGATGACAATTCTCATAATCAACACGCTAACATGACTTAAGCATGACTTTCAGTTGGCATTATTGATGAAATTGTTGTCAAGATGGATTTAGAACCAGGCTGATCAAACCCCATTCTGACACAGCCAAAGTGTATCCAGACAGTCTTGCAATGAGTGAATTCAGCTACTTTAAGGTCATTAATTGCTGAAACAGCTTTGGGCTGTGGAGCAGTGGAACTGCATTCTCTGGAGTGATGGAGCTCCATCTAATACCTTGGGATGAGTGGGAGTGATCCAGAACTGACCATCCAACATCAGTACCTAACCTCATTAATGCTCAATCAAATCCTCACTGCAATGTTCCAACATCTAGTGTAAAACCTTCCCAGAGGAGTAGAGGCTTGTAGCACAAACTACTACTATTCACTATTAATACCCCTCATTTCAGAAAAAAATGCTTGAGTTTGCAAAGTTTTGGACATGTAATGAATAGTTGATTGTAGGGGGAGCTCTTTTCAATGGGTCAGTTTGCAACCACGCAAGTTTTTGTTTTCATTTTTTTTATGTATCCACAAACAAACTTGAAAATGCTGGATTATCTAAAATTCCTGAGTACCCATGACATGATGGTCTTGCATTTCTGAATAATTTCCCTGCAGATTATACGTGTAATATAATGTGTGTATATAAATCATCGCTGCCGCAACAATACCTTGTATCTTGAATTGCTAATTTTGTAGAAGCAGGAAAAACATTCTTAATTTTAATGTGAATTTATGTAGCAAGATTACTTATTATTAAAGGGGAATTCCACCTTTTTTTCAAGATTTTTGCACAGTTACATTGCTAAGATGTAAACAGTCATTTGGAGTGTTGTGAAATGCAGTCCATGCAGGGTGTTGTAAGGTAAAAATTCCCTGTTTAAAAAAAAAAAAGAAAAAATGGTAGAACTCCCCTTTTACACTTCTCCTATAGGTTCGTTCATCATGAAGTTCCTACAGTCCTGAAATATTTTGTTTTGGGAGCTCAGTTTTCACACCTGTTTGTCTCCAGGTGGACAAAAGCCCTGAGGGCCAGTTTACTCAGCTGATGGCTCTGCCGAGGACCCTCCAGCAACAGATCACACGGCTGGTGGATCCACCTGGGAAGAATAGGGATGTGGAGGAGATTCTGCTGCAGGTGGCTCAGGACCCTGACTGTGGCTTGGTAGTACAGCAAGGTAACATGTTCTCTTCGTCAGGTCTCCACAAACTGGCCTCAAAAAGACTTCTTTAGGGCCAGAGAATGAAGTCACTGTCAAATACATGGTTGTATGCAGACGTTTGGGTCAAATGTCTTGTTGATTTAGTAAGTGAACGTTAAACACATTAAGTGAAAAGTTAACACATTCTTTACAGAGAAAACGTCCGTACATTTTAATGCACAATTAGTCTTTATTTGCTGAATTTAGCATAACATAATTCAACTAAAATGTTGTCTGGGCAAAAGTGGTGGCATGTTTTATATTTTATGGTTTACTTTTTTCCAATATGTTAAACTCAGGACACAAATAGAAATAGTGCACTAAAATGTGCAGAGAAATGTCATAAAGAAGTGTGTTCTCTGTAGAGAATGTGTTAACTTATTTTTACAACACCATCACTATCATCAACGAAATGTGTCATTTGACCAGGGGTGTTCGAAGCTTTGCCTACAACTAAGTTTTTCTTGGCTGGCCTCATTACTGTGGAGAGACATTTGTGCCAAATTGAAGTGAGATCACTTCAGTGGAAAAACGTGAAATGCGGGACACACATGAAGAAACGTGCCAAAATGACAAGTGAATCATTTTAACGTTGCTTAAACTTGTTACTGAAAACCAATACATGACAATTCAAATTTTAAAAAATGAGATGCTGAATTTGTCAGAATTGAACACAGTCCACCTTGAAATGTAGTCAGTGCACAGCTGCAGTGCTTTCGACCATGCAGTACTTCAAACATATAAGCCTCAGTAAAATGCAGTCATAACATATTGAAGTGAAATGTAATACACATAAGATTGTGTTTACACAGTGTATTCCACATGTCAATATGGTAATGTCATGTGTGCATTGCATGTCATGTTTCTACATTGTAATGATGGCTTTTCAGTTTCCCTTCCATACATTACAGACAAATTATATAGCATATTGCTTTCTGTTCTAATTAGATTTTATCACCCTCATAAAAGAACGCTTTTTCTATGCTACTTTATAATGTGGTTGTTAAAAAGTTTGTTCTAGTGAAAAATAGTATCTGCTTTCAACATAATTCCACAGAGGAATTATTATTATGCAACCTTCTATCACATGTCAGTGGTAGAGAGTAAACAACAAGTTAAAACTCCTCTCTTGTGAGCACTATGCTTTTGTCTTATGGCAAACTTTTTGTGACAGAAAACCGTGGGGCCACACTGTGCTTCACACGAAAAAGCTCTGTTTCACCTGGCGTGCGTCCTTAGTTTACACCGTGATATGGAGTCTTCAGCAGTGACTAAACAAACCAACTTTCACCTGAACTCAGCTGCAGGTGTTAAAATGCCATAAATCAAAAAGCTTATTGACTTAACCGTGAGCCATGTCAAGGTTAATGGGCCCACAGCTTGTTTTAGGATCAGCCACCTGTGTTTTTGCTACCTCAGGGAGTTGTGGGCCTCAGTGCTGAACTTGCTAATCTTGGTTTATGCTACTGCTGCTGATAGAATGCAAAACGATTTGCAGATTAGTGGCCATACGTTAACGCTCAGAATCCAGGACTATTTGCAGGTAGCTCAACACGAAAAGAACAAACAATGAATGACTTTTTAAACCAGATAAGGTTCTCAGTAATGAGTATTACTTCATCTCACTGAACCGGTTTGCCTAGCTTTGGCCACATGGAGGTTTTTCTGAATACGCGCCCAACTGTCCTTTTCATGTACAGTACTGTGCAAATGATTTGTGTTTAAACAAGCTACACACTATGTAGTATACGTGTATACAAAAGTATACGTGAGCATCACTCCTACATGAGCGTGTTGGATGTCCCATTCCAAAAACAATGGGCATTAATATGGAGTTGCTCCCCTTTGCGGCTATAACAGTCTCAACCCTTCTGGGAAGCTTTCTACAAGATTTTGGAGAGTGTCGGTGGGAGTTTGTGCCCATTAAGTCTAAAGAGCATTTGTGAGGTCAGGCACTGATGTTGGACGAGAAGGCTGGACTCGCAATCGACCCAAAGGTGTTTAGTGGGGTTGAGGTCAGGGCTCTGTGCAGGCCACTGGAGTTCTTCCATACCAAACTGGTCAAACCATGTCTTTATGGAACTCGCTTTGTGCTAAGGGGCTCAGTCATGCTGGAACAGGAAAGGTTCCTCCCCAAACTGCTGACACAAAGCTGGAAGCGTATGATTGTCTAAAATGTGTTTGCATGCTGAGAAAAAGCCCCAGCCCATTATCCCTCCCCCACCAAACTTTACTCTTGGCACTACTCTTGCTACGTAGGTAGCGTTTCGTGAACTCTTCAGTACGACCCATTCTACTGCCATTGTTTGTGGAAATTGCAAGGCTGAGTGCTTGATCTTACACTCTTGTTAGTAACGTATGTGGCTAAACACACCTGAATCTAGTCATTAGGAGGGGTGTCTACATACTTTTGGCCATATAATGTATTTACGTGGACTCCGTTTCCCAGAAACATCTTAACAAGTTGAGAGAGTTTTCATTTTGATGCTTGTTCTACCATTTGAGAATCACCTTTGCGCTAAGATGCCCAGGGTGTTCAAACTTCTGCATACAATTGTATATAACATGTTTTCTTTCCTTTTAAAGGGATCTACTCAATAGTGAAAACCTCCAGCATAACACAGAGTGCCAAAGGAATCATTACAGCAGGTAAATCAGTTTGTCTGTTTTATCTCATATACATTTTTCACTTATTAACCAGTTTCATATTATCTAAAGTACAAAAACTGACACTTTGACTCTTTCCAAAGGACTCATGAAATCGGTGTCATATAGTACGAAAAAGCTGCGGAAAATGTGGAGAGGCTGGAGGAGAAAGACGCCATGACTTCTCGTCTCTTTCCCTGCTTTTAACGAACTCTGTTGCACTGACTGACCATTATCTGTGTGTGCACCCTGTCCTTGTTAAATAATTTCAGATCTGAGTGTATAACATTTTATATAAGAGCCCGCAAGTTGTGTCTAAGTGTAATACTGGTAGAGAAGTATTCAGATGAACGGAGAGAGATTTATTTATGGTTGTATGTGATTTATATGTTGTATAAATTCCATAATGACTGATTTTAGGCATGTGTGCAGATTTGCTGTCTTTGCTCTGTGCTGCTCTGTGGGGGATTCATGATGGACATCATACTGTTACATCTTTAAACTGGACTGAAAGTGATTGCCAACATGCCACAGGTTTCTGAACAGATTTTGTAAAATGAGTATTGCCAAATGGTTTGATTTCAAATAAATAAATCAGTAAACATACAAACAAATCTGCCAGAATTGACTGGATGCATATCTGGCAACCCCAAGTGATACAGTACAGTCTTTGGTACAGTAAGTTAGTAATAGTAGAAAATAAAGGTAACGATTTGAGTATGTCTCGTTTATTATTAATATATCCCGTTTCCATCCACTTTTAACACAAATTGCAATTTGTTTTTAAAAAGATTTTTGCTGCCCAGCAGCTTGTTTACATCACGCTCACTTTTAGTGATACAACACTTTACGTAATGATGCCCTTTGCTGTTTTGTAAGTTTTGGGTTGCTTTTCGATTAAAAAAAAGTTGTTAGACATTTACGTCTATAATTTCATGTTTGTCACAATTTGTCTATGTTTGGCTCCCCTGATTTCCCCAAAACCTACTGATAAGGTCATTCTGTTTGTTTTTATTTGTTTCTTTTTTTAATTTTATGAATTTTATGAAAGTTTGAACGATCACATAAGAGATGATATTTCTCTGCCATAAAAGGATTAAGTTGGAGCAATCGAGCACAATCATAGTTTATTAATGATTAAACATTTTTAATATGAAAGAATACAATCATTTCCTGAACAGAGAACAGCATGAAACATTTTAACACTGCTGTTATATATTTAAAAGCTTTTGATCTTGCGTTATAGGAGTTTAAAACGGCACCTCGTGTTCATGACGTCAGTGAGCGTGAACAGCCAATGAGCTGCTCCGCTCGCCAACCAATCTGCACTCAGTAGCAGTAATGTTAGAGTCCTGCTGCCCAAAACCCGTTAGTTGTAGAAAAAAGGAAACATACAGGTCAGTTGTCTTTGCTTTTTTAGTGAAATACGTCCTACTTTCTAAAATTAAAGGAAAGTTCTTGGGGAGTAATTAGAAACGAATTTAATTTTTAGGTTTTAGCCGTTTAGCTCTGTTTACCCTCATTCACTGAGGACTTGCTCGCGGGCGCCCTCTGGCATTTTGCAGTCATGTTTTTGATATAACGGGGGAAATAGGAAGAGGCCAGACTCCTCATAAACCAGCTCTGATTTAACTTCTCTGAGTAGGATTAGTGAGCTCAGTTACAATGGCTGAGCTTGATAATGTTTGTAGTGTTTGTGTGACGGAATCTGCTGTTGCACAGTAATGAGCAAACCCGTATGACGTAACGTTAGTGTCGGAAATTGTTTACTACCATGCGCCAGTTCTGTTCCCTACAGTGTTCTATGTAGTGATCCAGGTTTTCCAGTGTAGGATTTAGTGATTCGGAGATTTGAATAATCCATGCTGGGTATTGTAGTGAGAAAATACTGATGAACGAAAACAATATAAAATCGTGAGTTAAAAGTAACATTACACACTTAAAAAAGATGTTTTTTTAGTAAAAGCAGCAGTTCTTTATAGAACCATGAACACTCAAAAAATCATTTGCATGCATAAATGGTTGTCTGCTTGGTGAAATATTCTTCAGACTGATGGAAATGTGTTGTACACTGATCAGGCATAACATTATGACCACCTCCTTGTTTCTACACTCATTGTCCATTTTATCTGCTCCACTTACTATATAGGTGCACTTTGTAGTTCTACAATTACAGACTGTAGTCCATCTGTTTCTCTGTATACTTTGTTAGCCCCCTTTTACCCTGTTCTTCAGTGGTCAGGACCCCCATGGACCCTCACAAAGCAGGTGCTATTTGGATGGTGGATCATTCTCAGCACTGCAGTAACACTGACGTGGTGGTGGTGTGTTAGTGTGTGTTGTGCTGGTACGAGTGGATCAAACACAGCAGTGCTGCTGGAGTTTTTAAACACTGTGTCCACTCACTGTCCACTCTGTTAGACACTCCTACCTTGTCAATCCACCTTGTAGATGTAAAGTCAGAGACGATAGCTCATCTGCTGCTGCACAGTTTGTGTTCGTCATCCTCTAGTCCTTCATCAGTGGTCATAGGATGCTGCCTACAGGACACTGTTGGCTGGATATTTTTGGTTGGTGGGCTATTCTCAGTCCAGCAGTGACACTGAGGTGTTTAAAAACTTCAGCAGCACTGCTGTGTCTGATCCACTCGTACCAGCACAACACACACTAACACACCACCACCACGTCAGTGTTGCTGCAGTGCTGAGAACGATCCCCCACCCAAATAGCACCTGCTCTGTGAGGGTCCATGGGGGTCCTGACCACTGAAGAACAGGTAAAAGGGGGCTAACAAAGTATGCAGATAACAGATGGACTACAGTCTGTAATTGTAGAACTACAAAGTGCACCTATATAGTAAGTGGAGCAGATAAAATGGACAATGAGCGTAGAAACAAGGTTATCACGAGTAACGAGGTGGTCATAATGTTATGCCTGATCGGTGTACATGGTTCTACATAGCACCAACTCATGGTTTTAAACACAACCATTTCCTTTACTAAAGGACCCTTGAAAAATGTAAATGTGTATATTACACACGACTTAAAGTCCACTTTTTGGCTTTAGCTTTATTAAAACAAACGTAAACATCATTAAATACCTTCATACCCTGAAAAAAATCGTGATATTTCCAGCACGTTTGTAAACTCTACCTGTTGCTAGGATATGATGTCACCCGCGTATTTGCATAATTTATGCTGATCTCATTTTATGGTCCTCAGCCAATCAGAAACTTCCCCTCTCACCACCTGCTAGGAAGAATTCCATCATTCCAATCATTCTTCCCTTCAGCTCGCCCAGCGCTGCGCCTCAGCGGAGTCCTGGAGCACTTGGAAGCACTTGGATCACTGCTGGCGCTTTCTGTGGACCTAAACAGCACCTTGTGGGCTTTTTTTTTATTTAAAATCCTTTGTTTTCGTGACCTACGACCTTCCAAAGTGGCGCTCCAAAGGGGTATGTAACTTAGGCAGATGAGCTCTTTCTTTACGCGCGTTGAGAGCACGACTTTTATTCTGTAGTGGCACTTATTTATGTCATGAGGTTTGTAAAACGTTAAGGAATATAGGCTTTATTTGAGGTTAAATGCACTTACAGCACGTTACAAAGTAAGTTGTGGTATATACACACACCACAACTTCATTAGAGTAGTCAAATAATCCATAGAACTAAATTAAAATGCACTTTGTGGTTTAGGCTGAAATTGCCTCACAGAGTGGTTAGCTGATAAGAAAAAAACACACTGGTCACTTCCTGGAGAGCCATGCTTCACCCTGTTACTCCGTTGTAAATAACTAAGCAGAGCTTGGCTTCTCAGTCAAATTTCCCGTTCCACCTTAAATAATGCCGCGGTTTCATTCTGACGCCTCAGGCGTGAGAATGCAACTGCGGCTCATTTAAGGTGGAATGGGGAATTTGACTAGCCTCGTTTGCGAAAATAAGATCAATGGCTTGAAATGGTGCAAAACAAGTTTCTAAACCTCAGTTTTCCTGCTCAAGTGTCCACTGCATACATTTTTAAGTGACCCCCCCTCCCCACCCCCCAGTTCAAACTAACCTACAGTGGTATCTTTGGAATGTTAAGTGTGGGAAGTGGGACGAGGAGATATTTGGCACTTCATTCATGCAGTCAGGATTTTTATTTTGTATATTTTATTTTTTTATTTTTAGTTTTTATTCAAGAACTCAGTCACACAGGAGGGATTTGTCTTTCTCTCCTGGCTCGTCCAGCAGCAAGAAAGCTGCTGGTTTTCTTTTTTTAGACCCTGTTTCAACCCCCTGGCGTTTCAGAACTTATAATTTTCCATCAGGGTTTTGCTGCCAAGGATGGAAACGCCTTTGGATGTTTTGTCAAGAGCAGCATCTTTAGTGCACGAGGATGATGAGAAACGTAAGTACTTATTTTCTTATTTATAACCCCGTGCAGTGTGGTTCAAAAGTTTGGACACTTATTTTGCCTTATAAATGTATCTAAATTTTTTTTTGTGTGTGTAAAATGATGATAGTAGTGTAAGAAAGATATAAAACATGGAGAATGAAGTTGCCTTACCTCAAAAACAACTTGAAATATTGAATGAAAACATATTAAAACGCCTTCTGCCTACACTGTAAGAGTTATTATTGAATAAAATAAAAAAATATTATTGACAAGTCATTCCAAACTTTTGAATTTGAATTTCAAAATCTCTATGTTCATTTGTTTGTTTGTTTTTACGTACTTTGAAAGTGACATTTGCCTTGTACTTCATTCCAAACTGTGCAAACTGTGCCTCGTTTGTATTTGGGTGAGCTTGTCCTTTGGCTGCTACATTGATATTGCCCTTTTTGCGTACTTTTACCATTATATTCTAATTTGTCTGGCACAATTGGGAGTTTTTCTTGTATGCACATGCTGTGCCTACGCATTTGGAGCTCATGGTTCAGGTGGTACTGATGAGACATCGTGCAGTGTGACATCATGTGCCTGGAAGTGCAGCAGGACCAGTCTGGGGTTGTAGCAAGACGCTGCTTGGAAGGCCTCCAGAAACCACCACCACCACCTGGTCTGACCGCTCAGCCTGCACAGTCATACCCCAGCCAAATAATATTTCCATAATCGCTTGGAAAAAAATTCCTTCCTAGATTAAGCGCAAACAAATCCTACTCAGCAGGCGTTGTAATTCCGGGTGCCCAGCGTACGAATGGAAAAAAGCCGCAGCTTTTCAAAGCGTGCTTAACCAGCACTGAGGGCTACAACGGATTTTTAAAGGGCCCATATTTGACATTTTCATTCTATTTTAATCCAGTTCATATTTGAATATTTGCAGGCTGCAAAAACAGCCTGTTTTTTAAAATAGTTTTTGTCATGTCATGAGAACCAACTCATTTGCATATTTCCACCTGTTCAGCCCACAGAAGTTTAGCCCCGCCCACTCATACTGAAGTTATAAGGAGTGTTTCAGTTCTGAATGAGGCACAATACAGGACAGCCAATCAGAACAGAGATGATTTATATATAATATCTTAAAGGCACAGTGACAAAAACAGCCTCTAAGGAATAAAGAGAGGCTGGAAGTCTTCGGTTCCGGTGCTGGGTTCTAACTCATCTTTGATAAGGACGGAGTGGAAACTGGGTCAGCATGTCAAAGCTGAAGGTTCTCGCATCAGTTGCTTCGGTGACTGTGGACAAAGCATCTGCTCGAAGTGGCTTGCGTGCACCACCTCCCCTGCTGTGTTTTTGTTTTGGCCTGGGCTGATGTCACTCTTGTTGTGGTTGTGCATGCCCCTTTGTCCTCTCACAATGCGCTCGACCTGTTTTCACAATAGTGAGCCCAGTTGAAGCGCTTCCCGCTTGTTTTCTTTTATGACAAAACCTTTGGAATGCTCTCGCTTGCTGGAAC